TTATTCATATTTAAAGCAAAATATTCCTTTAAACATTCCTTTAATTTATGAACATTTTTTTCTTGTTTAAATAAATTCTCATTCACCCTCCAGGATCTCCTGTCTTCTTTCTCAGCAAACAATTCCATCCATACTGGACTATGGTCAGACAATGTCCTAGGAAAAATTTTTACATTCTTCACCCTGTTGTATAAGTCTGTTGTAATCAAAAAGAAATCAATTCTTGAAAAAGATTGGTGTCTATCTGAGAAGAAGGTAAAATCCCTTTCTTCTAAGTTACGTTCACGCCAATAGTCCCTCAATTCCCAATCTTCTTTCATGTCAAAGAAGGCTTTAGGTAGTTTAGCCTGTTTAAAAAAGGTAGAAGAGCCTTTTTTGTCCTTTTGTATGTCTAAGACACCATTCCAGTCTCCCATTAAAATCACAGATCTATAGTCCAACAAAGTTATTTTCTGATGTAACAACCTATAGAATTGCTCCTGTTGCTGGTTTGGTGCATACAACCCCACAATAAGAATTTTCTTGCCATATAAACCAAGTTCAAGCATAACATATCTTCCATGAAGATCTGATTCTAACAGGGTAGCAGATAAGTTCTGTTTAACATAAATTACCACACCCCCTTTTTTCCCAGGGGCGGGAGATACGAAATGAGATCCCAAACGAGGATTGTTTAAGTATTTTTGGTCTTTAGATGTAATATGAGTTTCTTGCAAACAGATAACATCATTATTGTGTTGTTTCAAATAGTGGTAGATTTTTTTTCTCTTTTGAGGAATATTTAATCCATTAACATTCCAGGTCAGGAGCTTTGCCATCTCCCTTGGCCTTAAGCCTGGAGAAGATCCCCTCAAATTCTGCTACTGAAGAATATGTTGCAGAGCTTTTGGGTCTTGCTCCTCCCACCGGCACTGAAACAATTTGCTGAGTAGATTCTTTGATTTCTTTTTCTTTTTTCTGTTGTTCTTTTTCTTTACGTTTGTGTGCTGCACGGGTCATTCTCTGTTCTTTAACCTCTGCTTGAGACATCCATACCACCTGTCCAGCAGTCATCGCACCTGTATCTTCAGATTTCTGTTCCATCTCTTTATCACTCAGGACTTTGTGCATCATGGGCAAAGGTGAGCCTGCACCCAGGACCGTTTTATAAAATTCCTTAGCTTTAGCAACTGTATTAAGTCTATAACGTGTCCCCGCATGGCTCAAAACAATGCCCATCGGAATCTCCCATCTAAATGGCATTTGTCTTGCTTTAAGTTCATTTGCTAGAAAAGCAAAATCTTTTCTGCTTCTTAAGATTTTAGGTGGAATTTCCTTTAAAATAATAATATCTTGAGCAGCAATCTGGAATCTTTTATTGTAAAAAGTTTGTAGAATCTGATTTCGCAGGGACTTCTTAGCAAAATATATCACCACATCTCTAGGCAGATTCCTCTGTTTTGCAATCCAAGAATTAACTCTATAAATTCTTTCCACTTCCCCACGTAACTCATCTTTGTCTATATTCAAAATAACAGCCAAGTCATTGATCACCATTTCCATCAGATCTTGAGTTTTATCTTCTTTCAGGCCCCTTATTCTCAAAGCATATTCCATCTGTCTGTACTGGAACATAAGAATATCATCTTGTGAAGTTTCCACTTTTTTCTCCATATCTTGGAATTTATAGTCCAAAAGTTCTACTGTTTCTTCAATTTCCTCCACTCTAGAGTCCAGCTTCACAACCACTGAGGCCACTCCAGATAAAGCTAGAAGTATATCATCCCTCAATATAGTATTATTCTGTTCTAAAAGCTCCTTCATCTCTTTCTTCATTTCTTCCTTGCTTTCAGATTTATTCTGTTCCAAAAGTTGCTTCATTTCCTCCCTAAACTGTGACACAGCACTTACCATTATTTCTTTAATGTCTTGTGCTGATGTGCCAGATGGGGGAGGTGAGGGTGGAGTAGTTTTAGGTTGCTGCACTGAGGGTATTATTTTAAGTTGTTGTTGCACAGTAGAGGTAGCAGGAGAAGAAGTTAACTTAGGAGCTGTAGCAGCTGGTTGTCGTTTTGAAGCCATTTCAATTTATCTTTCTTTCTTCATAAAAATACCAATAAAAAGTAAATAGTCCAAAAGTTAAAAATAAGGTAAAATAGGATAAAATGGAATCAATTTAAAAGCTCCCAAAAGATAAAGAAAAACTTAAAAAGGAAAGCAGTATTAAACAACAGTTCAGCCAGTCCGTCTTTCAAAAGAAAAAAAAAAAACTTTCAAAACGCCATTTTACTTTCACTCTCACTTTTCCGCCCGGAAAAAAAAAGAGAAAGCTCAAAAAATAAGAAAAAATCAACACATGCTAAATGAACTAAATAAACTAAAAAAAGATAAAATAAAACTAAACTATAAATAAAATCCTTTAAACAGTTCTGTCCGGTTTAAGATTACTCACGGTTACTTTAAATACGGAGATGTTAGCGGCGTTTCGCTTTGTTTCCAAAGAAACAAAGACAGCTGAGAGGCGGAGAAGGCAATGAACTCCGAGGGAGCACTCTTTCTACCCCCCTAAAATAAAAATCCAGGGAGGGTTAAGAGGTTCTACCTCTATTCATGCGATCTCTACCCCTTCCCTTCGCCCGGGAAGGGGATTGCGAGCCGCGGGCCAGCTGATGAACGCTGTGCTCCGCGGATCTGACACCGTCTCAGGAGGACGGCTACAAAGTAGCCGCCATCTCCACCGCTTTAACCACCGGAAGTCCGGTTGTTGTTGATAGCCATTCAAAGTGGCTAGAGGTTGTTCCTGTTTCCTCCATTACTACTGCCAGGACAATCCAGGTGTTGAGAGGCATTTTTGCAGCACACGGCCTTCCAGATGTTCTGGTTTCAGATAACAGTCCTCAATTCACTTCTTCTGAGTTCCAGGCTTTCCTTCAGGCCAACATGATCCTTCATGTGACTTCGGCTCCCTTCCACCCCTCCACCAACAGTATGGCTGAGCGAATGGTGCGCATCACCAAGGATGCCCTCAAGAAACTGACTTACGGTGACTGCATCACAGCAGACTTTCTTCTTGCACACCACACCACACCGTGTACATCCACTGGGAAGAGCCCAGCTGAACTCTGCAGGGGTCGCAAACTAATAACTAAACTTGACAGATTGCACCCTGATCGGGTGGCACCTCTGGTCTCACAGCCATGGGCACCAAGGTGTTTGCAAGTGGGCGCTCCGGTTTGGACCTGGAACTACGGGCCCGGTCATCTTTGGATTCCAGCTTTAGTCTGCAAGGTTTCTGGACCTTTGTCCTATGAGGTGTCCTTGGGCAACAGCCGCGTTCTCCAGCGGCACATAGATCAGCTGTGTATGAGACTGGACTCTTCCTCTTCCACTCCTGATTCTTCTCTGGGGAGGGGAGGGTTATAGTGTGCATGTGGAAGATTGCTGTCAGCAGTCAACGGCAGCTGAGGAGGCTAGGGAAGGCCCCACTTAAGGTTCCACAAGTGTGCCCAACAGGAGTTCATGGGGACAAGGAACAATGCCCACACCATTACTTACTCCAGCCAGGGAGTCACACAGGGGGTACCCACACTACTCACACACACACTACACCACTCCAGACAGGGAGACTAACCGGGGGTATCCAAACAATTCAAAGACTACAAAAGAACTGGCATCAACCCAAGGAAACTGGCCCAATTCCAAAATTGCTCCCAGAAGGAAGTCTCTGGGAAAGGGGGTAGACAGAGAGGCGAATCCTGACTCTGGTACCTCTGGCACGGAATGGGAGGCCACAAGGTATTGGGGCATAGCAGCTACCCCGGACAACTTTCCTGCTGGGTTGGGGAGTGAGGGGCTGTGTTTCCAAGGAAGGTCCATTGTGGACCTGGAGAATACCACAAGTCCACGAAATACTGAGTGGGACTCAGAGGGTCCAGCCAGCCTAAACTCAGGCAGGTCAACCGGGTATGGGGAGGAGTGAAGTCCTGGTCTGCCAAGGCCGGTGGGCGAGCAAGCAAGCCAGGCAACAGAACCAAGGTTACTGGGGCTACCAGGCCAGCAAAGAAGGGGCACCGTAACCCCGGTAATTGAACAGGGAAGCCAAGGGTGTTCCCAGGGTCCGAGGAGGTTGCAACGGGTTAAACACCCACCCAAACACCTTAAGGAGTTTGTGACGTTGTTGTCAAGTCACAGGAAAAACAAGGCAGCTATGCTATAAATGAATGGTGTAGTTATGGGTTTTGGAGTGTCAGGTACCATTATTTCCAAAACAATAGCACGGCATCACACAAGGGTGTGATCCATGAATAACATATATATCCACAGTCCATGCATTTAAGTGATGGATTCTGATACCACGTCCATTCGGAGAAGTCGCACATGTGTGCGGAGTAAGCTTTATCTGGGAGGAAGGGGTGTTGTGTCCTGAGCCTGCAAAAGCAGGCTGGGGACATTGCTATGGTCCCAGGCTTCTGCAAGCTGCCCAGGACCAGACTGACCAGCACCAGCCTTGCGCGCATGCACGAGGCGCGAAAGCATGCCAGTCCCTGTAACCGTTTTGCTGGGGATCCGGTCACAAGATAAGAGGCCTGCAAGTCTCTGAGTTTGTTGTTGGAGTGAGCAGAAGAGAAATAAAGAGCTGTTTTTCCAAAATGTGTGATCTTCCTTCGCCATTAAACCAAGGACTTAACACCCACTGTACTACATTTTTATCTGTACTTCAACCATGGAGCAACATTTCATTGTTAATGTAAGAATCATGTGTCCTTTAAATGCCTTCACTTTGATAGTGTTCAGCATTGATAAGTCGCTTTTATTTTTCTAATATTGAATGAAATTATATTTGAATTCACTGTTAACTAATCAAGAGCTTTGAGCTTCCCCTGAGAGCAATCTTTATATAAACTTAAACTAATTAATTTTTACAATTAAATTGTAATTTATATAATTATAAGATTTGCTGATTTATTTTTGATTTGGATACTCACGAGTGGTTTGCTTTTCTCTCACCCTTCCTCTCACAGACAACCACTGTTTCATCAGATTTTCATGATGTATTTTCTCAGGCTCAAAATTCATCAAGAGGTCAGTAACCTTATAACCCAGCTAACTATAATTAAATATATTTGTACAATTGTCATGTTTTTTCACAGCTGTTAATGTGAATATTTGCCAAGTTCACTGTTTTAATAGTCAGAAGAATGCTGCAAAAATAGTTGGTTTATTGACATGGCAGATCAAATCCAATTTCAGACCAGAGGAAAAGAATAAAGTAGCTTCCTTTGATTCCACATACATACAATAAATAAACTGGAACAGATTTTTTTCTTTAACATGACAAGAAAGAATGTGACACTATACTAGGGGCCCAGTGAGTATTTATTTGCTTATGGGTTAAGAAATTTAAAAAAAACAGTCACTTACTTGTGTTCCAAGTCAGAAGGTAAACAGGGAGTATAATAAAATGCATTAATATTTATCAATCCATTAAACTGGGGGTGGGGGTGGGGATTAAAACTGAATTTTTCACAAACTGATCAACCAGTTACATTCTATTTCCAGTATTTCTGTCTGCTATGATAAAGCCAATTTTTTTTATTGCATCTTTGCTGGTTAATCCAAATTGCTGGCTTAGTCATTTCATTTAGAACTTTATACACAACTGCACGATCCATATAGGATTATATTTTTATCTTTGGATGAAAAATGCTTTTTAAGAATTCATTTCTGAAAGAATTTCCCCAGATGTTAAAAAAGGAACTAAATATGTGTTTCATCTTAACTGTGATAAAGAATTAATTTATGAATTGTGCATTTTTGCAGAAATAAAAATTTTTAAGTAGAAAAAACAAATTTAAGCAGCTTATATGGAGAAGAATAACAGAAAGCTAGTTGTAGGATGATTTATATTTATTTTGGGCAATCTTTCTCAACTGATCATTCCTTGGATGTGTAGAAATGAAACTGGTCTGGGAGGTACCAGTGCCTGCTTAAGAAATTCCTCTAATCTGAACCCTTATTGACACCTATCTTTTTTTACGAAGCTTCTTGTTCTCAAGATTGTCTTAATGGAGCAGTTTGCACAAAGACAGGAGTTTGTGACTGCGAGACATTTCAGGCACAGGGACAGCGCTGCCAAATCAGTAAGTTCCATGAGAAGGTATGAAGCACTTTTATCATAGGTATATTGCAAAAGGATTCAATCTCATATTTTAAGAATTCAAGCTAACGTTTTGCAAAGATGTAAGTACTGTTAAGCCTAAATGTAACTTGTCATTGTGATTCTGGATCATCCTAGACATTCTTTTAACTGGTTAGACTGCTAGGATTTTTTTTAAAGTCTTTAAAGGGGTTTTTAAGTGTTTGGGACATCAGTTCTTCAAGATAGCCTAACTCAGGAAACAGAGTCTGAAGGAACCAAAGGAACTCTATTTTACTGTGTAACGTATAATTATTACAGAATCTTGAAAGTCTGCCAGCTTCCTTCTGTCCTCTCTAATGCCACATAGAATCATGGTAGTGTTACTTTAAGTCTTTTAAAGTATGCTTACTACTTTCTCAGGACTGAATTTTCATTTACAGACTCTTTCATGAATTAATGGCTCTTACATTCCTTCCCCAACGTTATCCCACACACCACCTGACTGCAACCCTTTGTAACTGAACAGATGCAGAGTATGAATCTTTGAGGGTGTGTGCAACACAAAAGCCTTGAACTCAGTCCCCAAAGATTTACCATTACAATAATTACTAATTTGTATTTAATAAAAATGGGAAATTGTCACAGGTAAGTATTAAAGAAAATAATATGGAATCTTTAAGTTTCAGTTATGGTCCCCGATCACTTTTGGAGATGCCATCGAGCACATAATTCAGAAGTCAAAGGTTATCCTCATCTTGGAAAATTTTCTGCAGTATTCTAGTGGTACACCTAAGAAATCTCAGTACCATGGTACTATACTGTTTGTGGTGACAAGCTTTCATAATTTTAACATTTTTGCAACATTCTTGCAAAAGCCTCTGTTAGAATAAGTTCCAATTTAATTCTGAAAAAGCCCAATTTGCATAGATAATCTTCACTATTTTTTCATGCACCAGTGTTTTCATGTCATTGCAATATTCCTGAAGAAGCAAGGTGAAAAGATGCCAGCTCTTTTGAAAAAGACAGCTACTGCAGGAAATATTCAGGAAGTTAATCTAGTTATAACATTATCTAGTTGTACTTTAATTTGTCTTCAGAGCATATTTTATAGAATTTCTTTATTTTTATTTATTTAAATTTCCATCTGTAGGTTCTTTTTAAACATCTGATTATATTGTGATGTTTCATGTGTTTGGGTTTTTTTTACAACATAATATGATAAATATCTTTGGAATGGGCAACACTCGTCTGAAATGATTGTTTCTGCTGGCATGGCTTGCAAACAAGTATATTTGTTTTCTTTAGTTCCAAACATTGGCAAAGACAGAGGTGGGATTTGCAAATCATGGGGACAATACCACTTTGAAACATTTGATGGCATCTACTACTACTTCCCAGGAAACTGTTCATATATTTTTGTGAAAGATTGCAGTGATCCAGAACCTCAGTACACTGTGTGGGTAAGATTTGAAATTGGGTCAAAAGGGACCTGAAAAGAGCAGGCTCTTTTCTGTCAATTATGTAAGAGATTCCTTTGTACTGTGTAACTCTGTACTGTGGTTTAGATTATGATATGAAAAGAGAAAGAATTATTTCTGTTCTTTGTTCACTTACTATTCTGTGGTTCAGTTTGTGTTCATGATTCCATTCATTGACCAATTAACAATTATTTGGTTCTGAGATCAAAAAGCATTCTGGGCAGCCAAAGGATAGGAAAATGGGGAAGTGATAAGTATACTTTAATTATATTAGTCAATATTGTTTCTAATATTATAGAAATATTCTATAATATATTATAGAAATATTATAGAAATATTTTCATTACCCATAATCCCTAGACATTGGTCTGAATTCTTATACACGTTTCATTTTGTAACCTTCATATGGATTTGATAGAATTTTGTTACTGCTAGATCTAATTTTGAATACATTAGGTAGATGATGGGGATTTAGTAGCCTACATTTATCTAGTAGATTGGAAAGATAGGTGTATTATCTATAAGGTTTTCAATCACACAAACATTTTTACAAGAAAAAGGTACCAGAAGATTTCCTTACTGAGGGGCACAAAAATCCATTCAGATATTCCCTAATAGATTGCAGATAATTGCAGATGATAAAATGGCTGTCTGTGGTTTTCCTTACTACTCCTGGATGCCAATTAGTTGATTCTACTACTCTAGGCTGAACTATTACACTCACTGTTTTTTCTTTTCATCATATGAATTCAGCATTATTAGTTTTTTGAAATATTAATATATTCTGTATTGCCATAGAATATCTTATGTGAAGATTAATAAAAATGAGATCAGAATCAGCATTGAATCAAATGATGATCAAAGAATTTTGAAGTTCTGAAATTAGAAAGCACACATATTTAAAATCCTCAGATTAATGTTAATAATACTATTTTGATATTCCCTGAATTGCTGGTGTAAGGGCATGGTTTATCCGATTGATTAGCAAGAACAATAGTAAAGCCCATCCTAAAGCCATGTTTCCTATAGCAAAAATTTTTAAGGTTGCATTAAGACTGCATGTAACAGTATTATTGAATAACTGTTTTAGGCTGGCAGCAAACTTAATCATGTTCTGATTAGTAATAGATCTATCTATCTGTCTGTCTGTCTGTCTGTCTGTCTTATTATCATCAATCATTATCACCTATCATCTAACATCTAACATCTGTCACAACATTTTAGTACTTTCATATCTTCACAAATATATACGTACATAACAAATACACAAATGGTTAACCTGGTATGGAGTGGGTATTTTTATTAGACAATTCAAGATGAATATTCTGATTAGCAGAATGAACTTTTAAACACATAAGTGTTAACCCAAGCAGAGTTTTCAAGGTTAAAATCGGCACCTTGAGTTGGATCTGTAACCCTCTTGCTAATCAGTAGAGTAATCTCAATGTAGGTGTTACACTTTTAAACCTGTTTTTATGAAACCTCAATTCTGAAGAGTGCATATGATCTGATAGTGGAAAATGTACCCACCATACATTATACATGTTAATATGCGTACATTTTTTCTTTAGAGACATGTACACTAAATATGCTATTGAAAAACTGCTCCAAATATTTCTAGTTTGCTTCTTTTGAAAAATAAATTGCATAAAATAAGTTTTACATACTTAAAAATATATTCTTATGTTTTATGTATCTATTTCTTCTCTTTAAGATTAATAATAGTCCTCACTGTGCTGGTTCAGTGTATTCTTGTTTACGGTCAATAAGTTTGTTCGTTTCAAATCAGGATGAAATACACATATCGGGACATGATGTTAGAAAGGGTAGAATCAGGTAAAAACAATTGAAATGTTTTCTTATGTTTCTTAAAACAACTAACGTATTCAGAGGAAAATTATTAAGTTATTTGTCTTATCGTGAAAGTTTGATGATGAAAATATTCAGTTCTGGTTGACATGAAGTCACAAAACCTAGAATAGAATTCCTGTTTTTCCCTTTCAGGGTTACTAGCAAGATTCTGTGAGATTATAGCCAACCAGCTAAGAAAGGGAATCTCACAGATGCTAGTTGAATATCATTGAAACAATATTATAACAAATGTTAATATTTGTATTATATAAAAATAAAAAAGGCTTTAAATAAAAAAATAAATGCATTTGTTATAAGTTGCATTTTATGTACAAAAAGGTGATTTCAATATTATATTGCTATGATTATTTTTTTTAAAAGAAATATAATATTTTTATGGGTAAAATATAGCAGGATAATAGCTAGCTGACATCTTTAAATTACACTTTATTTTATTTTTCAGGTTGTCTTTGCCCCAAACAGTTGGAAATATTTTCATTGAGAAATTAGCAAATTATATTTTGGTGAAAACTACATTTGGCTTTTCCCTAGCTTGGGATGGAAACTCTGGGATTTACATTAAATTGACAGAAGAACACAAGGGAAAAACATGTGGTCTCTGTGGAAATTATAATAACAACACATCAGATGATCTCGTATTACTAAGTAGTAAGCATGCTAAAATATATGATGATAAACCCAACCATTTCCTTGTATTCTACTTATTTGTAATTGTCATAAAAGAATATTACTAGGCTATTGAATCTGCTGTGGATGGTAATCGCATATATTTTGCAAGTTGTGAGGTGAAAACTATATAATTATTTAACAGTGATATAATGTATTCAAGGTTCATAATGTCATTATGATTCTTATGACTTAATCAGTGGTGTTAATACCACTTTATAACACCTTGGTAAGGCCACACTTGGAATACTGCATCCATTACACAATGTAAAAAAGATGTTGAGACTCTAGAAAGCGTACAGAGAAGAGCAACAAAGATGATTAGGGGACTAAAACATAAAGAACAATTGCTGGAATTGGGTATGTCTAGTTTAATGAAGAGAAGGACTAGAGGTGACATGATAGCAATTTTCCAATATGGCAGGGGGTTGCCACAAAGAAAAGGGAGTCAAGCTATTCTCCAAAGCATCTGAAGGCAGGACAAGAAGCAATGAATGGAAATTAATCAAAGAAAGAAACAGCCTAGAACTAAGGAGAAATTTCCTGACAGTTAGAACAATTAATCAGTGGAACAACCTGTCTTCAGAAGTTGTGATGCTTCATCACTGGATGTTTTTAGAAGAGACTGGACAACCATTTGTCTGAAATAGTATAGGGTAGAGGTAGGCAACCTTGGCTCTTTTATGACTTGTGGACTTCAATACCCAGAATTCCTGAACTAGCCATGCTGACTCAGGAATTCTGGGAGCTGAAGTCCACAAGCCATAAAAGAGCCAGGGTTGCCAACCCCTGGTATATGGTTTCCTGCCTGAACAGGGGGGTTGACTAGAAGACCTCCAAGATCCCTTCCAATTCTATTATTATTATTATTATTATTATTATTATTATTATTATTATTATTATTATTATTATTATCATCATCATCATCATCATCATCATCATCATCATCATCTGCCTATTGCAAATAAGGACATATTTTGAAATGGCATAAACTGCAAAGACTAATGAAGTGAATTTGTGTGTATGGCAAAATTTAAACTGGATGTTTCTTAGGTGGTCTTGTCCAACATTAATAAGATATATTAGTATCAGCTTTGATTGTAATAACTCCATGTCAAGGTTCAAATTGATGTGATGGCAGACATGTTATCTATTTTAAAGGAAGTATACATAATACGCATGATTTACAATCTAGGGATCCATCATTTGAATAACTGCACTTTGAATATCCTATTGTGTATGCTGGGCTATATATAACATTTATGTTTTTAAATAGGTGACTATACAGAAGATATAGCTAAATTTGCTAATAGTTGGGCTATACAAATCCCAGATGATGCAACCTGTGAAGCTATTGCATCTAGTTTTCCTAGTCCTTGCAACATTGATACAGAATCTTACGAGGTAAGCAGTTTAGGTTGCAATTTAGTATAAAATATTTATTTTTATTGGCCTTGATTTCAAGAGACACAAGTAAAAGGAAGTTTTGGAGAGCAGCTTTTCTCTTCTTTCCCCTTGAAAAACATACTTGGAAGGTTGGAGGGACTGTCTTTGACTTATGAGGAATGACACACTAGAGTCGAAAGTATCTCACAGAACATCTTGCATTATGTTTCAGCAATGTACACAGGATAGTTCAGGTCATATCTCTACAATAAACACAACTGATATAATAAAATATCTACTGGCCATTCAAAATAATTATTAGGTTAGGTTTATAAATATAATATCCTTGGATGGGGGGGAATATTTTGCATGTTTAAATTTCCTTTTTATGACCCTGTAATCCCTTAATTTGGGGTAGAGTTGAGGCGACTGGATGGAGCCAAGCATTTGCTGGCTGGATTTCCTTTCTCACACCATGCAGTTCGCAGCAGATATTTTTTCTTTGCACCCTAGGAGAGAAACATTAGCCACTACCTAGGCTTGAACTCTCAACTTTCTGAGTGGGAAGAGAGAGCTTTCACCACTAGGCCAACATGCCACTCAATTTTTTTGCATGTTTAATTATATATATATATATGTAGGTATGTATATATCTCAATACGATTTTCATTCTACATATAGAGTATCTACTTCAAGTGCCAAATACTCCTGCAGTTTCCTTTTCTAAGTTGTCATCAAAGCATAGATCCTTATCCCTACATTTCCAGCTGCATGAATGACCTATGTAGGTAAGCTGAATATACTTTTTTATTTTGTTTTGCAGGCTTATTAGTCATCATTATTGCTATTTTGCCTTTCTCTACTCTAACACAGAGGAACACATCTACTGTAATGTCTCTTAACTACAGTAAGAGTGAAAGAAATGGCCTCTTGACTTGCAACAGAATAGCTGGAAATGAATTACTTCCAAAGTATTCCTAGTTTAGTGCTAGTTTAGTTATTCCTCCCTCCCTCCCTCCCTGCGTATCACAGTTCTCCTTCTTCCAACTTTTCCCCCCAAAATTATAGTCATCTGTAAGGGTAAGCTGATAAAATATCAGCTCGATGATGGCTGAAATTTGCTATAAATCTCTGCTGGAATCTTAACTTATTTAACACATTTATTATACTTAGTGAAAAGTGAATAATCAATACATAAGCATGTACAATAACTAACTAAAAGTTTCATTTTGCTGTTTCAGAAAGGATGATGATGAAACCTATTGCCGAGCAGTAACAGAATATGCTCGCTCATGTTCACATGTAGGCTATCCTATTAGAGATTGGAGAGATGACTTTCCAGCCTGTAGTAAGTGTGTTTTAATACTTTGATCAATCAAAAATTAGTTTCATGATGTTAAACAAAAGCAAAAATATTTATTTAATATATTAGATCACTGAACTATAATGGGTAGCATATTGCAACTGTTCTACAAAAGAACGGAACCACTTTAATCAACAGTCCTACATATTTTAAAATTTGGCTTCATAACCAGAATGTTTTAGGGTATGAAAATGATTCAGGGTCATGTTAAATAGGCTATATAAACTCAACAGAATTTTTAAACTTTTAAATAGTTATATGTAACTCTTCATATTAAGTCTCAGAATGATTTAAATTTCAGGGTGTCTTTTTTGTGTCTCTGGTCTCTGACTATAATAAACATTGACTTGACTTAATGTGTGCTATTATTCTTAAATATAAAAATGTACATTTCTGCGTCTTAATATTCATCATACTAAGACTTAATATATAGGTTCTTTATTCTAAATTTGATGGCTTTGGCAAAGTAAAATCTTAATTTAGAAAGTTATTTATATGTTTAACCAACATTTTTAAAAGAAAATAATGCATACTTTTTCTCATTAAAGTGAAGTATACTGGAGTATAATCATTCTTACCTAACTTATTATTTTAGCTGACAGTTGTGAAGATACTTTTATTCACCGGGATTGTATTAGCTGTTGTCCACCAACCTGTACTTTTGAGAAAGACTGTCTAGGTAGTAATCTCCATTGCTTAGATGGATGCTATTGCCCAGATGGTAAGTGAACTTTCATCAGATGAATTATTTTAATAATAAAGTTTCTGTATAGCAAAGAACTATTTGTCTTATATCTTTAGAATTTACCATAGTTTTTAAGGAATTAAATTTTTATTAAATGTGGTTTTTCCTTAAAACATTGCTAATAAATAAGAAATGAACTGAAATATAGACCATTATATTCTATTCTTAGTTCAGCTTTCCAGACCTCTTTCCATCAGTCTCTGCAAGAGTTTATTGTAGTATGCAGTAGTAAGGCCACTATTTCATCTCATTTAGATTTGAAGGGATATCCATTGACAGTATCAGATGCAGACTGGGTAATTCATTACATAATTATTTTAACTTCACTCTGAGCTATACTTTGTACATATTTAACATGTACTATCTTTTATATATTGTGATCTCTTTACATTTTTGCAACCTTTTTATTTTTACAAACTAGGCCTTATAATGGACAATGGAACTTGTATTTCTGCATCAGATTGCCCATGTGTTTATCATGGGACAGCTTTCCCTGTAGGTTCAACAATTGAACAAGAATGTAGTAACTGGTATGTAATTGTCAATAACCTCTCTGATTTGTGTGTCTTGCCAATATTTGCTTTGTTTTATGGAGAACATGAAATTTACACCACAGTTCCTACTGTGGAATAGGACAAAGGAGGGAGGCTATATGAAAATCATTTATTGACTTTGACATAATAGTTTGAACTGGTGGTAGAAGAAATCTTAAGCACACCAAAGAATGAACCATTCATATATTTGATTACCTGATTATAAGTGAACATTAAGACCTCTAAACTGGATTGAGGTTTTAGCACTGCATGGTGATCTTTACCCTTTCACCATTTTGTACAATATCACTCCTTTTTAAACACTGTGGATCCATCCTATCACATTTTACTTTATAGCTTTAGTACCCACATTAAAGTTGCAACCAGGTAGACTAGTCAGACAAAAGAATATCAGATGGCTCCAGTTTCTACCCTTCAGTTAGAGACTCATATCATACCATAACAACTTAATTGATTGACTGAGGATTGGCAATATATGGTGGCAGCCAAGATGAAATTGGCTGGTGTTATTGATGAATATACATACATTTCAGATGAGGATTGCTCATAGATTTGTCTTCTCAGAATTAAAGCATACAGATCTCATTCTGCACTGATTACTCAAGTACTAGGAGCAGAAGTGAACTCATACAGCCTGGTCTGGTCTGTTCTGTGTGTGAAAGAAAAACAACAAAAGGATATTAACCCCTTTATAGTTATTTTTATGTACTATAACAAAAGGGCTATTATATAATATTGTGTTATAAACAAATTTCAGTCCTCAATCCCCAAATATATAAACATTTTAAAATTTTTATTTTAAATTTTGTTTAGCATTTGTATGGGTGGTGTTTGGAACTGCACTGAACATGATTGCCCAGGTAATTTTTTCTTATAAAGATAATTCTATTTGTGTGTGTGTGTGTGTGTGTGTGTGTGTGTGTAGAGAGAAAGAGAAAGAGAGGGAGGGAGGGAGGGAGGGAGGGAGGGAGAGAGAGAGAGAGAGAGAGAGAGAGAGAGAGAACAAACTGTATTCAATTTAGGTATAGTTTCTTTGTCTTTTTTATTTATTAACTTGAAATCTTAATATGTGTGTATATGTGTTTGTATACATATGCACATTTAAATACCAAAAAACCTGAGAAGGTAAACTGCAAAATCAATTTAAAACATAAAATATAATAAATGAATCAATACTGTCCATCATTAAAATCTTGTCCAAAAGGATTAGTTTTGAAAACAAATCATTTTACCATGGACATTAAATGAATCACATAGTCATTAAGGAAATCCAGATTCCCCAATTGATATTGTTTGTTGGAAACTGGCTGGGAAGGTCACAAATCATGACTATGTGACCACAGGATGCTGCCACAGGTTGTAAATGTTGGCCAGTTGTGAAGCATTCAAATTGCATTCATGTGACTGCAGATAAAGTACGATGGTTGTAATTTCAAGGACAGGTTATAAATGACTTTTTTCAAGGCCATTGTAACTTTGAACCATCATTAAATAAATGATTGTTCATTCATTTATTTGTTGTTGTTGTTAATTGCGAAGTTGCGTCCGACCCATCGCGACCCCCTGGACAACATTCCTCCAGGTCTTCCTGTCCTCTACCATCTTCTGGAGTCCATTTAAATTCACACCTACTGCTTCAGTGACTCCATCTAGCCATCTCATTCTCTGTCGTCCCCTTCTTCTATTGCCCTCAATCTTTCCCAGCATTAGGCTCTTCTCCAGTGAATCCTTCCTTCTCATTAGGTGGCCAAAGTACTTGAGTTTCAGCTTCAGGATCTGGCCTTCTAAAGAGCAGTCGGGGTTGATCTCTTCTAGGACCGACCGGTTTGAACGCCTTGCAGTCCAAGGGACTCGCAGGAGTCTTCTCCAGCACCACAGTTCAAAGGCCTCAATTCTTTTGCGCTCAGCCTTTCTTATGGTCCAACTTTCACAGCCATACATTGCAACTGGGAAAACCATGGCCTGGACTATGCGTACTTTGTTGGCAGGGTGATGTCTCTGCTTTTTAGAATGCTGTCTAGATTTGCCATAGCTTTCCTCCCCAGGAGCAAGCGTCTTTTAATTTCTTGGCTGCAGTCCCCATCTGAGGTGATCTTGGAGCCCAGAAAAATAAAATCTGTCACTACCTCCATTTCTTCCCCATCTATTTGCCAGGAATTGAGAGGGCCGGATGCCATGATTTTGGTTTTCTTAATGTTGAGTTTCAAGCCAACTTTTGCACTCTCCTTCTTCACCCGCATCAAGAGGCTCTTTAGTTCCTCTTCACTTTCTGCCATTAGAGTGGTATCATCTGCATATCTTAGGTTGTTGATATTTCTCCCGGCAATCTTAATTCCAACTTTTGATTCATCTAGCCCTGCCTTTCTCATGATGTGCTCTGCATATAAGTTAAATAGGCAGGGCGACAGTATACAGCCTTGCCGGACTCCTTTTCCAATTTTGAACCAATCAGTGGTTCCGTGTTCGGTTCTCACTGTTGCTTCTTGACCCGCATATAGGTTTCTCAAGAGACAAATGAGATGGTCTGGTACTCCCATCTCTTTAAGAACTTGCCACAATTTGTTGTGATCCACACAATCAAAGGCTTTAGCATAGTCAATGAAGCAGAAGTAGATGTTTTTCTGGAACTCCCTAGCTTTCTCCATGATCCAGCGTATGTTGGCAATTTGATCTCTAGTTCCTCTGCCTCTTCGAAATCCTGCCTGTACTTCTGGTAGTTCTCGATCCACATACTGCGGGAGTCTAGCTTGTAGGATTTTAAGCATAACTTTACTAGCATGTGAAATGAGTGTAATGGTGCGATAGTTTGAACATTCTTTGGCATTGCCTTTCTTTGGAATTGGAATGTAAACTGACCTTTTCCAATCCTGTGGCCACTGTTGAGTTTTCCAAATTTGCTGGCAAATTGAGTGTAGCACTTTTACTGCATCTTCTTTTAAGATTTTGAATAGCTCAGCTGGAATACTGTCACCTCCACTAGCTTTGTTGTTGCTCAGATTTCCTAAGGCCCATTTCACTTCACATTCTAGGATGTCTGGTTCGAGGTCAGTGACCATCTCATTGTGGTTATCTGGGATGTTAAGCTCATTCTTGTATAGTTCTTCTGTGTAGTTTTGCCATCTCTTCTTAATCTCTTCTGCCTCTGTTAGGTCTCTGCCATTTTGGTCCTTTATCATGCCCATCTTTGCATGAAACGTTCCCTTCATATCTCCAATTTTCTTGAAGAGATCTCTGGTCCTCCTATTCTGTTGTTTTCTTCTATTTCTTTGCACTGTTCATTTAAGAAGGCATTCTTATCTCTTCTAGCTACTCTCTGGAATTCTGCATTCAATTGGGTGTATCTTTCTCTTTCTCCTTTGCCTTTCACTTCCCTTCTTTCCTCAGCTATTTGCAAAGCTTCCTGAGACAGCCATTTTGCTTTCTTGCATTTCTTTTTCTTTGGGATGGTTTTAGTTGCTACCTCTTTTACAATGTTGCGAACTTCCATCCATAGTTCTTCAGGCATTCTGTCTATCAGATCCAGTTCCTTAAATCTATTTGTCACCTCTACTGTATATTCATCAGGAATATGATTTAGTTCATATCTGAGTGGCCTAGTGCTTTTCCCTACTTTTTTCAATTTAAGCCTAAATTTTGCAACGAGAAGCTCATGATCTGAGCCACAGTCAGCTCCTGGTCTTGTTTTTAATGACTGTATAGAGCTTCTCCATCTTTGGCTGCAGAGCACATAGTCAATCTGATTTCTATGTTGACCGTCTGGTGATGTCCATGTGTAGAGCCGTCTCTTGGGTTGTTGGAAAAGAGTGTTAGTTATGACCATCGTATTCTCTTGACAAAATTCTATTAGCCTGTGCCCTGCTTCATTTTGTTCTCCAAGGCCAAACTTGCCTGTTATTCCGGTTATCTTTTGGCTTCCTACTTTAGCATTCCAATCCCCCATGATGATAAGGACATCATTTTTGGGTGTTAATTCTATAAGGTGCTGTAGGGCTTCATAGAACCAGTCAATTTCATCCTCTTCAGCACCAGTGGTTGGGGCATAGATTTGGACTACTGTGATATTGAATGGTTTGCCTTGGATTCGAATTGAGATCATTCTGTCATTTTGGGGATTGTATCCCAGTATTGCTTTTCCTATTCTTTTATTGACTATGAAGGCTACTCCATTTCTTCTGAGGGATTCTTGCCCACAGTAGTATACCTGATGGTCATCTGAGTTAAATTCACCCATTCATGTCCATTTTAGTTCGCTGATTCCTAAGATGTCGATGTTCAGTCTTGTCATCTCTTTTTTGACTACGTCTAGCTTGCCTTGATTCATGGATCTTACATTCCAGGTTCCTATGGAGAAAAAATCTTTACAGCATCGGACTTTCCTTTCACCACCAGATATATCCACAGCTGAGCGGTCCTTTCGGCTTTGGCCCAGTCGCTTCATTCTTTCTGGCGCTACTAGTACTAGCCCTCTGCTCTTCCCCAGTAGCATATTGGACACCTTCCGACCTGAGGGGCTCATCTTCCAGCATCATATCTTTTTGCCTTTTAGGACTGTCCATGGGGTTTTCATGGCAAAGATACTGGAGTGGTTTGCCATTTCCTTCTCCAGTGGATCACATTTTGTCAGAACTCTCTGCTATAACCTGTCCGTCTTGGGTGGCCATGCACGGCATAGCTTATAGCTTCATTGAGTTACGCAAGCCCCTTCGCCACGACAAGGCAGTAATCCATAAAGGGGATTCATTTATTATTGCTGCATAAATAAGTAAAAGTACATTTATTTTTCCAATTGCAATCTATAACTACTTGAGTCCATGGAATATCTTGAAAGATACCTAAGACTAAATATCTTCTTGGGTGATCTTGAAAATCTGAGCAGGATCAGACAAGAGACTATCTGGAAATCCCCAAGCTGTAGCCTGGACAAGAACTCAAATTAATTACAGGAGAAGACAACGTAAAAACAATTCTGATTTGTTAAAATCCATTTCTTATATGGATCTCTCCATGAAACCACCAGGAGAGTTAAAGAACTGCTCAACTCAAAAAGGGACATTATCTTTAGCAATGAGCTTCTATGAGCCTTGAATTGCAAATTAGAGTATTTTTGAAATTCTCTTGAACTTTAACTTGTGGCATGTCTTGGAATAACTAAGCTTTCATTAGTGCATGTCAAATAATATTAAAAGGATAAAAGAAAATGCACATTGTGTAATGAAGGCTAGAAGAGCAATACATTGTGGCAATGAAGGCATTTTACATTTGCTTTATAGTTTCTAATTTATCTTTGGTTCTATGCAATACAGATATTAGAAACTGCATGCAGATATTCAATATCTACGTAAATCACTGGGTGAGATCATCCCTGGTTTGAGGTTTAGGATCATCAGTATTCTGATGATACTCAGTTATATCTTTCAGCCTCAGGACCAAAGTCTTGTACCTGGAGACTGTGTGGGCATTAATGGAAAGAAACCAAGTCTGGCTTAATCCTACCAAGATTGAGTGGCTGTAACTGTTGGGACCACCTAGGCCTGGGGATTTTCCATCATTATGCTAAAATGGATTGCCATTCCCCATTCTGGAGTGGTGCACAATTTGTTGCCTTTCCTCAATATCCATCTGATGAACCTGTTCTGTCTCCTCCTGGATTCAGACAATCACTCATGCCCTAGTTATCTCAAGGCTTAAACTGTGAGTTATACCCAGTTTATAGGACAGTATATATTCTCCTCTTATTAGAGAGATTGCCAGGGAGGACAGACAATTTTTATGTAGGCTTTCTCCTCCAGGACTCAAACCCTTCTATCACGCATGCAGTGGCAAAATACTGTGTTGCGGCAATGTCCACAAGAAAAAAATTGGTTACGGGTCTATAGCTGTCAACTTGTGCCAGTTTTTTGGAAATATCTCTAATAATGTTTGGAACATTATATTTACTCACACACTAATTGGCTATCCACTCACATAAACTAGGGAGTGACCCTAACATTTTGAGAACATGTATTTTCTTAACAGGGATGTTATTATTAATGTTAGTACTATTTTATTATTATTATTATTGATCATCGCACAGTCAGCCAGATGTTCAGACTGGATCTGGCATTTTGTCTATCTATCGAGTCCTTACCCAGGACCTGGGATAGGCAGATGTGAATGTTTGATGGTATTACAGATATCGTCGCAGGATGGAAGCAGTTCCTAGTAACGCCGCCTTTTCCAATTGACTAATAGCGAATTTGTCAATGCCAATGGTGTTCAAGTGGTGCTCCAGTTTTTTTAGGATTGCACCCAAGGCGCCTATGACTATTGGTACTACCCTTGCTTGCTTTTGCCACAGTCTTTCTATTTCTATTTGTAGGTCTTTGTATTTTGTTATCTTCTCCAGTTCTTTCTCTTCTATTCTGCTGTCTCCAGGCACTGCCACGTCCACTATCCAGACTTTTTTGTCTTTCTTATCGACATTGTTAAGTCTGGGGTGTTATGTTGCAGGTGCTTGTCGGTTTGAATTCTGAAGTCCCAGAGCAGTTTAATTTTATCATTTTCTATGATTTTCTCTATTTTATGATCCCACCAGTTTTTGCTTACAGGCAAATGATATTTTTTGCAGATCATCCAATGCACCATTGTTGCTACTTTGTCATGCCGCTGCTTGTAGTCAGTCTGTGCAATCTTCTTGCAACAGCTTACCAGGTGGTCCACTGTTTCTTCAGCTTCTTTGCATAGGTAGCACTTACTGTCTGTTGCTGTCTTCTCAATTTTGACTTTATATGCATTTGTCCTTAAGGCTTGGTCTTGTGCAGCCAGAATTAGTCCCTCGGTCTCTTTCTTCAATTTTCCTGCTCTTAGCCATTGCAAGGTCTTGTTATTATCTGCTTTCCCAGCTATTTTTTTAATGTATTGGCCATGTAGTGCTTTGTCTTCCCATGCCTCTATTCTGTTCTTCATTTGGTCTTTCTTGTCGGCCAGTTTGATCTCTCCAGTAATCAGTAAGCCTTCCTGATATACTAATTTCAGTGCATCTTCATCATTGTTCTTCAGATATTCTTCCAAAGCCATTTTTTCTTCTTCAACCATCTGATGTACTTGTAGCATTCCACGCCCACCTATTTGCCTTGGTAGATAAAGTCTATCAATGTCACTGCGTGGATGAAGGGCGTGATTCATTGTCCTTATTTTTCTGGTCTGCCTATCCATTGCTTTTAGTTCTGCTTGAGTCCAGTCCACTATTCCAGCTGTGTATCTAATGACTGGGATTGCCCAGGTGTTGATTGCCTTTATGGTATTTCCTCCATTGAGTTTGGACTTTAAGATCTTCTTCACTCTCTTGATGTATTCACCTCTAACCTTTTTCTTGACTTCAGTGTGCTTGATGTTGTCAGCTTGAAGGATACCCAAATATTTGTAGTAATCTTCCTCATCCAGACTCTTAATGTTATTTTCATGGGGCATCTTGATTCCTTCTGTTTTCACTACTTTTCCTTGTTTGATAGTAAGTGTGGCACATTTGTCCAAGCCAAACTCCATAACAATATCTTGGCTATATATACGGACAGTGTTGAGCAGCAATTCTATTTCAGATGATGTTTTTCCATACAGCTTCAGATCATCCATGTAAAGGAGATGGGATAGTCTGATAGATGTTTTTGATATTTGATAGCCATGTCCTGAGTTATTCAGTATTGTTGACAGAGGAAACAGTGCAATAACAAATAGTAATGGTGACAATGAATCTCCTTGAAATATTCCTCTCTTGATATTAACCTCTCCCAGTCTCTCATCATTGATCTGCAACTGTGTCTTCAATTGTGCCATCGATCTTTATTATTATTATTATTATTATTATTATTATTATTATTATTATTATTATTATTTAATATATTGTAAAAAGTGATGGCTATTGCTGGTCTACGACCATAATAAAGTTATTTGTAATTGTATCTCAGGGCTTAACTATTGCAATAGTGTTTACATGTATCTGCCCCTTGAAAATTACTCAGGAGTTTCAGCTGGTTCAGAACACAGTTTGGGCAGTGATGGACATGCCTTGATATGTTCCTATGACACCTCTGCTCCACAAGCTGCACTGGTTGCCACTCAATTCAAGAAAGATACTAATTATTACCTATAAAACTCTAGATGGTATATGGCCCAGTTATTTGTGGCCTATCTTCCATGGTTTCTGCATGGCTAGTATGAGCAGGTGTGCTCCAGGTCCCTTCTATTAAACAATGTAATCTTTCAGAACCCAGGAAGCTCACCTCCTCCACCTACCTCTGGAATTAGGCTTCCCCCCGAGATCTGAAGAGGTCCTATTCTAGAGGCATTCTGGAAGGCCTTAAACACCTAGCTATTCTCTCAGGCCTTGAGATAGGGTAGATGAGACCCTCCTATTTGAAATATTGTTTGTATTCATTGGTTTGCCATCTTACAGCTCCCATGTAAATCTTTTTGGATTTATTCTTATTTTATTTGTTTTTACTAATTTTTTATGTTGCCATTCAGTTGTAATGTTGCTCTTTAGTTTATGTTATTCTTTTAGTTACGTTGCTCTCAGAATTGGTTGGAGTCAAAAAGCACTGAAATCAAATAAAAAAATAAAAAATAATATACTTTTCAATCTTTAAGCTGAATGTTTAATTGTTGGTGAATCCCATTTCACAACTTTTGATGGTCGCCATTATACCTTTCTTGGGAGTTGTCAGTATATTCTGGTAAAAGGCACCGGGAAAGACAAATTCACACTCACGTTACAGAAAAGTCCCTGTGGACAGGTAAGTTGACAGTTTAATTAACATTTTGTGTTAATAAATAAATCCCTATACATCTAACTCAAAGAAATCCAAAAAATTACTTAAGAAGATTAGTGATTAAAAAAAATCAGAATTTTTCTTGATATTGAGTGTCTTGTATGATCTGAACCTGTTTTTTGTTTCAACTGTAAGCACCGGTTTTGTAAAAACAATTGTGCCTTTTACTTTGATAAATCCTTTTACTATGATTAAATCTACAGGGTTTTTCATTCATGCATGATTATACAAGCATCTACATATTTGGTTACAGTCTGACCAGGTGTCTTAGACGGATAAATGCTCTTGGTGACAGGTCTGAACAGCTTGGTATATTGCCAACCAGATAAGAGCATTTGAAGCTGACTGAGATATTTATTAGATACTTTATGTGCTCTTTTCTTGGAACAATAACTCTGGAAGCCCAGAGTATATAAAAATATTTGAACAAGCATTTAAAATGATGGTTAAAAATCTGGTATATGCTGAATGCAATATTTGAATTATTTAAAAATTATTTTAGTTGATTAACTGAAGTGATTGTATTCCAAGAGGGAGAAAAGTTAGCTGTGATGCTTTTTAATTAAAACTGGTTATGTTTTGTGGGAAGTCAGCCCCACCCCCCAGAAGGAAATATTTAAAAAAGCAGATTCCCCAAAAGTAATAATAGGAGAAAAATCTTAGACAGAAACCAGCCCCAGTCTCCCCCAAGCAGAAACTCAGAAACCAGATTTGATAATCCTATTCAGAAAGGTTGGAGCCAGGAAGCTTGAAGCTGATGAGATTAGAAAGACAAAGACCCTAAAATCTACATACCCCACCCAAACTCCAAAGAAATGACCTTTAGGACATAATAGGATTAACTCACCAATACCAGAAAGGCACACTGAACCTCAGGTCAAAGTTCATGCCACAGGAACAGGAAACAATTCCAAAAGCCCAAGAAGGTACAAAAACCCACCATTCCCAGCTACATGTGGTCAGCTTTCCCAGAGCCATGCTTCTGTCTGGCTCTGCTCTTCAATAAACTACAACCTTCTTTCTAAAGCAGTCTCCATTTTGTTTATTCCTGGCTTGGACTGGACACTGATGAAGATTTTTCTTTCAACAGTTTCAATAGTTTTAATTGTTTTAGTTTCTTGTTTTACTTATTTGTATTATGTACATTATGCTGTGTTTTCATTTACATTTTGCATCTCTAACTTACAGTGTATGTCAATTTTCATGAAGTGACATTTTGCTTTATTAATAATTGTACTTTTCTTTATAATTCTAAACTGAACTTTCTTTTAATCCTATCAAGAGCTCATAAACTCTTATACTAGTGCCTTACACTAGCATTTAATTCATCATTTTATCTTGAAAATCACCATGTCACTCTCTGTCACGTAGATCAACATTTCCAAACTCTGAGGCCTGGGGAACTTTAGGCCACCATAAGTCTCAGGCCTGCATAACTGTTAGCTGTTACTTTTTCAGTCTGAGCTTATACTGTTCAATATTCTTAGCTAGATAGTACATATACATTACAATCTTAAAGGTAGTTCAAGATTAATCTAAAATGTAGTAAGAATAAATTTTGGGGTGTTGGTGAGGAGAAAAGTAAAATAAGAATGGAATATAATACAGATTAACAACATTTGCTCTATATGTTCCTTTTCTCATAAGACTCAGCCCTCCTCTTCCTTTGGTTCATACAGAGCATTGATTATGATTGCATTCAATCTTTGACACTAATTTTTGAAGACGACTTAAGCAAGCAAGTGACTCTCTTCCGGGGTGGTGAAATACAGTACAGTTCCTTCAGCCAGGGATTCACCCTAAATGGTAAGATACAATTTATTATTCATTAGTTAATTATCCTCATGTACCTAAATTCCTTTTAATGTACTGATTTAACTAAGCTGTTTCTGAGAAATAAATTTATTATCATATAGTTTGCCACCAGCCCCTTGTGCCCGGCTGCATTGGGCAAAATACAGAGTCCTCTCCTCCTTTTGCTGGAGATCAAACAAGCTCCATTATTTTAAAAATAAAAGCAAAATATTATTGAAGTCTTTTGGAAAAAGCAGCTACGAGCCACTAGCCCAAGCACGGTATGAAGATTCAGAGATTTCCAGAGAATTCTCCAGTGAATGCAACTCTTTCCTGCAATATGGTTCTGAACATATTTTCACAAAAAGAAAATTGATCAACACTACATTTTAAATGAATTAAAATGAATTTATAATTCAAACCTTGTAGCTTCAGTAAACTTCTTATTCAGTTTAGGAGTCAAAGATTGGTTCAAATTAAATAGTTAGACCTGATTGGTGACATGAACTAGTTGGCTGTCTTACACTATTCTATGTGGCAAGACAGTTGAGTTGGGACAAATGTTGTAGTTACAAGCCGTCTCTTGTTGTAGTTAATTGCTGTATTATACTTCCATCACAGAGTCACCATAGTTATTTCATTCATTCATGATGGTCCACGGTTTTATATTTCTGTTTAGAAAAGCAAAAATAGATTAAACACTTTTCATAGTTTTCTCTTGTCATGATTTTTTAGTATGTCACACTTGTCTTTGTGGAAAAATCTAGTGTTTCACTTAATATATAGGAATTATACATTAGCTGCAAGCAATTATTCTAGTTAAAGTCATTTGAGGCTGCATTAACTACTGAGCTTCTTGCATTTTAGGAGGTTCATAAAGACTTTGGAGAAAAATCACAGTCATTTTTAATTCTCTTTAGTTCTTTTTTATTATAGGAAAATGAGGTCATGAGTGCAAAGTTATCTGTCTGCCAAAAATTCAGTTTTTCAACAGTTGATTTATAAAGCGTTAGCTGAAATGTGCAGATTTTGAAAGTTTATTATGAATAATCTCAAAAGAATCAATAAGACAATGGAACTGTTTTTTGTTCAAAGATGTACATCAATTGAGTATATATTAATGTTTCCATTTGAATGGAAAGAATGTTCAGAAAAGTCAAATACTAACCCAATGTTTCCATAGAAAAAGAGGGGATAACAGCAGATTTTTGTGTAGCTCCACCTGCCATGATGTTCTGCAGAATCCATTGGAAGAGGGCAATAAAAAGGAATGTGTGGTGAAACAAGTAAAAAATAGAATCAATAATGGGTTCAGAATGGATATGGATTGAATCAAGTCAACAATGAGTTCTAGTGAACATGGCTGTCCAGTTCAACAAAGTATATTGAAATGGTTTGACAATATAAAGAGAACAAATGAATATTAAATCACAAAAGAAATATATAAAGGAAGAGTGAATGGGTCAAGAGGAAGAAGACTGAAAACCAGTAACTGAACAGAACTGCTGAGATTTTAAAAACCAAAAAAGATGTAATTATTAACAAACTAGAGACACTGAAGCATAAACATGGTGGAAGCAATTATGATTTGCAAGACTAGAAAACTATGAAGCATAGTGAATGGTTTGGGAATATAAACAAGATTTAACCATATTTCCTTCTTTTTTTGTTCTCATATTTTTAGTTTCTTTGCTTGCTATTTCTTATTCCTTTTTTCCACATTGCATACAGGTAGTCCTCAATTTATGACCACAATTGGGACCAGAACTTTTGTCCCTAAGAAAGATATTTCTTAAGTGAGTCATGCCCAATTTTATGTTTTTTGCTGTGGTTGTTAAGTGAATCACATGAATGTTAAGTAAATCTGGCTTCCTCCATTGACTTGCTTGTCAGAGCTAGCTAGGAAAGCAGCAAGTCATGTGATCCCGGGACACTGCAACTGACATGAATATATGCCAGTTGCCAACCACCTGAATTTTGATCACATGACTATGAGGAATGCTGTGACAGTCATAAATACAAATACTAATTGTAACCAACTTTTTTCAAAATCTTTGTAATTTCAAACAACCACTAAACAAACAGTTGAAAGTCAAGGACTACCTGTAATACTGCTTATTCCCAAAAAGAATAGTGTAATGGGTATGAATCTATGTATGCATATAGAATTTAATTCTTTTTCTGTTATATTCAGGATACATAGAAGTACAGAACATGTCTTCATTGTTTGTGCAGTTAAAAACTACATTTGGTTTAAAAATCCAGTTTGCTAAAGATGGCAAAAGAGTGTATATTCAACTCAGCGCTGAGTGGAAGAGCAGAACGATGGGTCTCTGTGGAACTTATAATGGAAATTTGAGAGATGATTTTCTGTGAGTTGGATTTATACAGTTACTCCATTATTGATTCACAAGTGAATAATTCTGATCATTTGCATTGGTTAAATTATAAAATGCATGCTGTACCTTGTTACAAAAAAGTTTAACCGGTTTTTAAAATTCAAAGGAGCCGTATTTTTTGACAGATATAATATTTCATTTATAAAAATAATCCCACTGTAGATATAAGGTAAAGAAAAAAAATAAACGCATCTAAAATTACAAAAGGCAATAAAAATATTTTCAGATAGAACAGATTAAAGCCATTTTAAAGGAGAGCAAAAATAACAGCCTCAGACAAGAGCCAGCAGCACAATTCAACTAATGTTTAATTGATCAAAGGAAACTGCAGTTGGCAAGGAAAGTTATAAATTTAAACACAAACTTCAAATAAACAGGGAAGGAATTCCATGTTCTCTTTTTCACTAGCAATCTGACATTATCAGTATATTATAGCAACTAAAAATGACTCTAGGCACTCTTTTTACCAACCTTTGACTTATGCTGATGGTCAACAGAATGTACTGGGGGAAAAAAATAGCAATTGAAGCATTACAAACTTGGACAAAAGTAGTTGCTTTGTTTGTTTTTGGTACACTTTTAAGAATATTTTTCAAATTTTATTTTAATGTATTTGTTCATTTTTGATAAGACATCCTGAATTATAATTGTTTGTTATGGACAGAGTTTTGTTTTTAGGAGTTGTATTTACAGTGTCTTCCATACTGCACCATATATAGGGTTATATTATTGCAGTTTTAAAAGGCAGAGAACATTTATGTAGCCTTCTAAATGCGAAGTATTCTTGAGGATGGCGATAAAGATTCTCAATCATCCAGGGAGCATTATCTGGAAGTTGGCCAATGGCAACTGGACTTCAGACTGTTTTGGTTTGAAACAATTTGCTGCTTATCGAAGAAGCTGAGGAAGCTACTTGGATAAGCAGCAAAACATTTCAGACCAAAAAAGAAAAGAAGTCCAGTTGCCATGACTCAACTTCTAGTGTTCTGTCAGATGGACACAGAAAATTGTACTAAAGGGCTACATAATTAGTCTCATAATAAGCTATGATTATTGCTAATTTGGAATCATTTATTTAAATGGAAGATAAGGCTTGTCTTACTGAAATCTGGATAGGGCAGAGGAATGTTTTTCTCTCAGGGATGTGGCCATATAGGTTTGCATCAGCTCAGGAGAGAGGAGATGGGGTGGCATGTGAAATTCAGGAGATTTGTTGGCATTGAAGAATATTATCCCCCAGATAACTGGGTGTAAGGGAATGCTGTTCTTGACTGTCCTCCCTGTTACTGGGCCACTGTGAGAAAAATTCTAAGATCTGTAAGACAAAATCATAGATTTACTTGGTGCTCTGGACACAGAACAAAAACAACACCCATCTATCCATCTATTTATTTTCTATCTATCATCTCTATATGATACAGACACACAGACACAGACACAGATACAGACACACACACACACACACACACACACACTGAGTCAGTACATGGAGATCTACAAAGAATATGGCATTTGTATAATTGCTGTACTAATGTGGAGTAGTTCAGAATATAGACTGAGAAACTGGCAAAGTCAACATATGCAACACAGTACAATTAGAAATTTTCAGCTGAAGTTTCACACAGCAAGGTCCTCTTTTGGTATTAATATGAAGTCAAATCAATCAATCAATCTATAAAACCATCATGTTAGCACAGAACTTTTCCATATGGGCGTATCTCAGAAGACAAAAGAATATTCCAGTATTAAGCATATTTTTCTGGACAGCTTGATTCTTTTGTTTTATCATTCCCGTTTTTCCCCCTAGTTCCCCATCAGGAATGATTGAAGGAACTCCACAACTTCATGCTAATGCATGGAAGATTTCATCAGCATGTCACATACCTGTCAACATTCCTGTGGTTGATCCTTGCAACATTAATCAACAAAATGGTACACTTCTCATTTATTTTGCGATTTTTAATCTACATTTTATCATAATTGCATTACTAGATTACAACTCTTGTTTGGTGTCTGAGTTTTTCCCTACTTTCTGATGTTTTAAAACATCAGATTATTCCTTTACTCTTTGTTTAATATTTTTAGTAGAAGCAACACTTTCTATTTGTTTACTCATTACTTTAAATAGTCATTGAAGATGTTTTACTACTATGGTTTAGTCCCATTTAGGTCAGTGGAATGGGACTATATTGATATAATTGGATGTATTACATTTTACTCAGCATCTAATTTTAGAGTAGTATCTATTATTAGATTTTTTTGTTTTGCTTTTTACTTTTGGATTTATATCTAAATAAACTGAATTAATAAAATGTAATAAGTCAAATGTCAAATTTTTCATAGTTGCATATGCATCCCAGTGTGATCTCATCAATCAAGAACTCTTTGCTCCATGTCACATATACATCAATCCAGATTTATATTACCAGCTATGTCGCTTTGATGCTTGCAAATGTGGGAGAAGTTGCTTGTGCAATGCATTTGCACACTATAGTTATATTTGCAGCAAGCATGGGATTACTATAGATTTCAGATCTCATGTTTCATACTGTGGTAAGTAACACAGAAATGAGAATACCAGCCAGATATGACCTGATCTGAATTCCTTTATTTCTTGATCAAGTCTATAAGGTGAAGCTAATTATTATGTTGGATCTAAGTAGATATTCAAAATGCATGAGACTGTGTATACTAAAAAGTAGCTGATTTAAGATAGCTTTAACCCATTTTACTGTACCTCTACAGAAGAAGAAACAAATCTGACACTTTTAGCTTCCTATTGCCTAATATATATATATTAATATATATTAATGTATGTATGTCCCCATGCACATGTACGTTGGTGTTGGTGTACTGGGAATGGGGGTGAGTGTGCATACATTTCAAATTAGGTGATTTAAAATGCAGCATGGGCTGATTATTTATTTTTCTAACTTGAAATTAGGATTTTTCTCTGAGACCCCATGGGAGAAAAGCTGCCTGCATGTATTTGTGATTAAACACTTTCCCCTGCCATCATGCTGCTAACTGTTGTTTTCTGAGTATCTTTGTTTGTTTGCCATCTATTATATGTAACCAATTTCTCAAGCAAAGTGTCTGGAGGGCATTCTATTCTAACCTAGAGTAGGCTTGATTAAGAAAAAAAGAGAGAAGATTTTGTGCTATATTTTGTATAGAATTTTTGATGTTCCTGTAATTTGATGTATCTCCACAGCAATAGTATGCAGAAGTGGAATGCTGTATCACCCATGTTCCTCCTTCTGTGAGCACTCTTGTTCTTCCCTTTCTCTTCTGGATGCTTGTGATAATGACTGCGCTGAAGGCTGTAACTGCCCTGAAGGAAAATACTTTGAAGAATCTATTAATTTTTGCGTGCCAATGTAAGCTATAGCAAATTTAGTTAAATACATTTTTAAGCTAGCACAAAGCCATGCTATTGTGACTGTGTTTAGGAGGAAGAAACAGTGAGGTTTAGTATCATGTCTCTGTTCAATTTCCACATTTTGAAAAGGGTTAGGGTTCAGATTAAAAATGCAAAAGAATGCAACCGACATGATCAGGCAACTAAAATATTTTTCCTATCAGAAAAGGCTAGAACATTTGGGACTTTCATAATTTAGAGAAAAGTCAACTGAGGAAGAACATGATCAAGGTGTATAAAAGTTTGCATGTATAAAAGAGCCATGGTGGCACAGTGGTTAGAATGCAGTATTGCAGGGTAATTCTGCTGACTGCTAGCCGACTGTCAGCAGTTCAATTCTCATGGGCTAAAGGTGGCCTCAGCCTTCCATTCTTCTGAGGTCAGTAAAATGAGGATCCAGATTGTTGGGGGAAATATGCTGACTCTGTAAACTGCTTAGAGAGGATTGTAAAGCACTGTGAAGCGGTATATAAGTCTGTCCTATTGCTAGTGCTATTGCTATAGCCAGGCAAATGTTTCTCTCCAACTCACAAAGCAGAATCAAGTCATCCAATGAAGCTAATAACTAAATAACAAAGAGATGCAGTTTTTCATTCAGCATATAATTAACCTGTGTGATTCATTACCACAAAATCATGATGGTAGGAGATAATATGGATGGCTTTAAAGAAAATTGAATAAATTATTGGAGGACAGTACTGTTGAGATCTATTAATCTTTAAGTCTTAAAGGTACTCCCAGATGTAGGGGGAGGGGTCATCTGTCTCAGAGGTATCTGGTGGGTCACTGTGAGAAACTGGACTAAGATGGCTGTTTTTATGTTCTTAAAAAAATCTCCTACTAGAATTTGCTTCAGCAGGTGGCAGCGTCTAGCTAACCTCAGTTGATCTCAGGAGCTAAGCCAGAGCTTCCCAAACCTGAATAAATTATTTGAAACTGAGTAAAAGTGGGGTTTTGGGGGGGGTAACAACACACAAACCCACTACCCAATCACAACAGGTAGATCATGGAGATAACTTTCTGATAAGCAGTTTTGGGTAATGAAGGAAAAGAATTGCGAAGCACTGAGATAATTACATGAGTAATTTGAATTCTAGACCAGTTGGCTAGATAGGAGAATCAATAAACAAAGTAGAAGAAATAAATGAAATTTGGGAAAACTACCAAGAAGATTACATCAATGCAGCCAAAAGAAGCCAGATTCAGCTCTAGCATATCTATACTTTTACAAATTTTTAGTGTTGAAAATATTTTAGGACTGTGCATAGCAAAAATCCAAATTACATAGTGGAGCAGAGTAAACTGTTACTGTTACATCAGGGTGAAGTGGCTGAGTTTAAACTCACGTTGGAGAGTCATAGCTTTAAACAGTGTTTGTCCTGTTTTCTGCAGTTGTGAATTACTAAATACACTTTCAGAAATGGGAGGCCACCTAATTGAGTAAATACCTACCTTCCTGTGCTTTTCTCCTTAAAAACATGGTAGTATTTTTTTTGTAGTAAATAAGATAATCATAGTTGCAATTTTGTATGTCTTACCATCTCTAATTTGTAAAAGTCTTGTTACTCTTATACTCAAAAATTATTCTAACATTAAGAACTATTAATTATTTCATATACTCCTTGCTATAATACCAATGTTAGTGCAAGTTTGCTAAGTTGTTCCAGTATTTGTTTCTGTGTGCTGGGGCTGGGCTGAGATGCAGTGGGACAAAACACACACACAATCTTTGGTACTTGAACATGGCAAAGTGGGCCATCTGGTGGCCCTTTGAGGACCTCTGGTGATCCACGAATCACATTTGACAATCACTGGCATAAACAACAGAGAGAATTATTCTGTTCTATTATGTTTTATTTAGTCTAATGATTAAGAAACAGGATTACAACTGGGAGACCATGAGTTCTAGTTTATCTTAGACCAGAAAGCTGACTGGGTGACTTTGGGCCATTGATACTCTCTCAACCAACCTACCCTACAGGGTTGGTTTTTTTGGGGAGGGAATAAGAGGAGGAAGGAATATTAAGTGTACTCACTGCCTTGAGTTATTCATAAAGTAAAAAAGGCAGGATAACAACAAATAAATATGTTTTTGTAAAATTAGGGCTAACTGTCGATGTTATTATAAAGGCAGAAGTTTTCAGCCTGGAGAAATTTTGCCCACACCATCAGGGTCATGGTAAGTTTTGATATCAAGAGTTTCATTTTGACTGAATTTGTAGATTGACGTTTTGTGTATTTAATTTTTGAGTTATATACAGGCCTGTTTTAACTTTATATAAATTTAGCATGTTTTCCTAAATGATGTCTTGCTTTTTCTTACTTAATATTATAGTAAAACTGTAAACTATTATTGAAGAATAAATACCGTACTGACCTGTTTTGCCCTCTGGATGCATCTTTCTTAATCACTTCTCTGTATGATTACTAGTACCATACCACTAAACTTGGTATATTTGGCCAAGCATAGGAAAAAGTGTTTTTGTTTATGTTTCTATGGAAATGTAGCTTATTTTAATATATCAAGTCACTTAATATATATATAATTAATTTAATCAGTATTCATTAGGTGCAAATGATGGGACATCCATTAAAACAAAAATATGAGCTAGATTCTGCAAAGGACATGTATACTCTATGAGCTATAAAATTGGCCATGGCTTTTATCATTTCTTATTAAACTTTTTAAAAACTTTTCTTTGGCCAGCCAATGCCTAAATGGAACAATGAAATGCAATGAAGCAGCAGCTGTCCCTGCAGGTAACTTTCTTGACTCATTTAGAATAACAATTACCAACTATGTCTTGATCAGCTTTCTTTTTTGTTACTTGTAGAAATTATGTTCAACTTCTAAGAAAGGGATTAAAATTTGTACCCATATATCTTACTGTGCTTACCAAAGCTTTTTCTGCATAGCTCTTGTGTAAGCCATTATTTTTAGCCTTACAGTCTTTCTATCTGCCTTAAACAGACAAAATATTATCCATCCACAATTTAAGAAAATGACTTTAGCTCTAGCTGACCTTATCTAGTTTTAGAAGCTAAAAAAAGTTGGGCCTGATTAGTATTGGGTAGGAGCCTTCAGAGAAACGAAAGCTATAGGCTATCTAGGAAATTGAAATGGAAAAAATCCTAGATGACTCACAAATGTGACCATGAAGAATTGAACTCAATTTGAAGAATGCTTAATCTTTTAAAAATTATTACTATACAGTATATGAAGTTAAAAGGATATTCAGTTAGGGCATATTACTGAAAATGTACAGTATTAGACAGCAAACATAAACATTAAGTTTAATTAATGGGAAACATAAATATAAAATGATTATACATCATTTGCATTTCATATCCATAGTGCATTCATGTCCTGATGGAAAGATCTACTATGACTGCCAATCTCATGTATCTGGCTTGCCATCAGGTGGAGTAAACTGTGAACTAACATGTACAAATATTGCTATGAACTTTACCTGTACACCTTCTCCACCATGTTTGAGTGGTTGCATCTGTCCCCCTGGGTAAGTGATACCAAAAGTCAGAGCATGGGTACAGCAGTTTATTCAAAGATCAGATGAATGTATCTTTTTTTCCGACTACTGTATTATTTTTATTTATTCCCAACTATTCTGAATGCCAAGAAATTTCAGCAGCAGTGTTTTATTTTAGGTAAGAAATTTAATAGATAAGTTATTGTCTTATCTATTAGGTAAGAATTTATTGGAGGCCTCAAATGGATAGACACATTTTCAAGGAAGTACTCTTTGTGAGAATTTTGGGGCAGCCTGAAAATACCAAAACATCAGCTGCAGCCTGATTGTGGATTTGTTTCCCCATTTCACCATAAAGCTATGTGTAAAGATTCCAAATTCAACTTTCCTTTTTTCTGTTTTAAAATATATTTGTCTTCTGACCCTATAGGATTCAAAAGCTATCTCTGCTCTACTTTGTGACCATTGACCATTGAATCAACTAGAACAAAAGTTAGATTACAAATATATAAGGATAGTTAATTTCTTTAAGTTTTTTTTTTTTTTATTTCAAAGAATGGCGGAACATAAAGGAAAATGTTATGTGCCTGATAGTTGTCCATGCATGTGGAAGGATTGGGAGTATATATCAGGTGAAGTGATAGCAACCTCTTGTTATACATGGTAAGTGTGATTGTTATATTTTAATGATGTAATTAACTTCAGTACTACATAGGTTACAACATGGTCATGCATATGTTCTATGACTATGTGATGATTTAAAATAATTTAACAATGAATGATGATGCTAATTAGAGTCATACATTGATGGACTATAGGTTATATTGGGAACTCAGAAGAATTACCCCAGAAGAATTACATCTATCTATCTATCTATCTATCTATCTATCTATCTATCTATCTATCTATCTATCTATCTATCTGCAGGCATATCCAAGTTGTAACTGCCCAAGAATCTTATTTACCTTCCAACTTAATAGCAAAAATAAATTTTAAAGAAATGTAACATTTAAAATACAGATTAATTACTGAAGAAAGTATTTTTCAAAAATTTCCGTCATATAATATGGTAGGTCTTAAAATCAACCTATCTTTTGCAGAGAATAGCAATATGTTAATAATTATTACAATGTAGGAATATAAATTATCTTAATCTTCAAATCTTTATTCAATCACAGACCAACATGCAAAATACAGAAATTATAGTTACTTAAAATGGAATATAAGACAATATGCTAAAATGTCCAAAATATCTTAAAGGGGGTTAGAATAAATCCTGTGGCATACAGCATATTATTGGCTGTGGACACACTGATGGAGTCAGATTGATCTGATAATAGCATTTTAAGGTAAAATAAATCGGAATGACCAGAGTATTTAATAAGACGTGGAAGTAATATCTCTTGGCATGCTCCTGCATAGAGGGGACCATAGAGCCTTATACTTTCCAACGATTCAATTATTCCTCCACTGCATGGACACAATCTTTGTTTGAAGGAGATTTTTTTTTGTATCTTCCTTCAACTGTCAGAAGGGCATTGAATCTGTCTAAAGAAAGATCTTTCTGAATTTTGGGATTGTTATCTGACTGAGATACTTGGTTAAAGAAGCTGCACAGAGTGGCTCAGGAAGGTATTTCTGGATGGGGCTGAGAAATCAGCTTGCAGCCTACTGTCTAAGATCTGTTAGAGCACATTGATAGCCAATCGAGGTGATGGTTGGCCATGAATAGCCACAGAGTTGTAAATTGGCTTGTACTGCCTGGCTTCAAGAGCACTGAAAGGTGTCAGTCAACATTAGAGGGGTCAGACTGATTGAAAAGAAAAAAGGATCTTAAGCCAGTGGGAGAAAATGTACATCCAGGTGGACATTTCAATTTTGAAAAGGCCAGCTTCACAGAGAAGGATTATGTTTGAAACACAGGGATATGCTTAAAAGATTGTTCTCAGAAATTTGGACTGAATTCTTTCCAAGGGAAGCAATGATCTGTAGAGCCCAACTGAGCTCCAAAAAGGAGTTGGGCTCAGCTGAGACTTTAATTGCTGCAGGTGTAGGCTGAGCTCCTTTGGAGAAGTAAAAAGATTGTAAGGTTGCCACTGTTTTTTGTGCATTTAGAGTGACGCATTCAGCATGAGGTTTGTGGTTACCTATAGCTTAAAAGACAATCCCCATATATTTGAAAGTCTTGACTTGCTATATTTGGTGGTTGTTTAGCTGTCAGGAATGCATCTTAAGGTACTTGGCAAAGACCATGACCTTGGTTTTAGAATAATTTATTTCTAGAGAATTTACTTGAATCTACTATATATATTAAAGAGAAGGGAGGCTAATATACACCTCTATCTCACTCCCCTCTTAACAGGAATTTCTTTGGAACGATGCCCATAAGCATTACATCAGACCTTTTCTGGGAGTTCTCATAAAGCTTATATGTTGTCTTTTGTCTGTTGAGGAAGAGTTCAGTTTTCCCCATAATTTGAGTCTAGGGATGGAACGTGCTCAAAAAGAGTATATCTTGAGTAGATGTTGAAGGAAATATAAATTATAGGGTTTTCATGCTTATCTTAGTATTAATTTTTTTTAATATTAAGTTGCCAAAATATCAAAGTAGTAAGATCAACTAAAATACAAATGTAATAAGGTCTGTCAAAAGGATCACACCAAACTGTGGTATGAACACACAAATGGCAAATATTCAGTACAAGAACATATAAAATGATGCATCTTGGGGTGAAAAATATTCAGTTCATGATGGAGTTTACATTGAAAAAGACTGGCAAGAAAAGAGCTTGGGGTTGTGATGGATGCTTCAAAGAAAACTTGATACAGCAAGAAATTGCTTTGTGGCATATTTATTTAATTTATTATGTTTAGTCTAACACTAATATCATGTCTGTGTATGTGTGTGTATTTCTGCTATAGCACCCACCTTATGCAACATTGTCCCTCCAGAGACTGGGATGGCTCCAACCCTTGCGGGCCTTTTGGGTTTTAAAGGTCAACATAAACACCTTAAATTGGGTCATATAGGCAACTGGTAACCAGTGGTGATATTTTCATCCATATGTATGAAACATTTAATTGAAATGCATCTGAAGCTGTGAGGCCCCCACTTACTCAGTTACCTTAGAATATTTGAGATTATCATATAATTAAAAAAAATCCTTATAACTTATAACTGTCTCTTTTAAGCATACAAAGATGCAATGAATGAGGTGTTGATCACCTATCTTGAAACTGAGCTAGCAACAAAGGGCAAGGTCTCCAGTCTCCATGTCTACAGCCTCAAGATCTACAAGTGTATTGAAGATAATTAGGAAATAAATTAAATATAAAAATATTATATTAATATACAGTGCTTTTTTGTAAAAAAAAAAAAAAAGGTGCCGGAACTCACACACGTCATACAACCCGTCTTGCCTACCCTACAAGGTTCCATCCAAAAAAGATGCCGGAACTCTGTTCTGGGCGTTCTATGAGAAAAAAAGCCCTGTTAATATATAATTTACACATGTATGGTATATAAATATATGTGGAAGCTTCCCCCTTCCATTATGTATTCAAGATGGATAGTGATTAATATTTATATGTTACTTATATATATAACGGTGTAGGTCTATACATATGTTGTATATAGGATATTTAAATGTGTGTTATGTATGTGTACACTTTGAGAGCAAACAACTAAATTTCATTTTTAATGTGTGCCATTGTGCCCACAAGTAAAATATGACAATAAAGGTTATCTATCTATCTATCTATCTATCTATCTATCTATCTATCTATCTATCTATCTATCTATCTATCTATCTATCTATCTATCTTTGCTATTTTGTGTTACATGACAAAAGAGTGTATATATTTTTCAATAAGAAAATCTTGATTCTTCCCCTCACACCCAAGTATTTGCCGACGTGGGATATTTAACTGCACATACTATCCTTGTCCTGCTGTATGCACAGTCTACGGAGATCGGCATTATTATACTTTTGATGGATTAGAATATGACTATGTGAGTGACTGTCAGATTTATTTAATAAAGGTAAGAAGACTTTTTTTGTTTTGCCTTTTTGTATGCAGAGTAATAAATTCTGTCTCATAATCTTTCAACAGCTATGTGGATGGAGATTACCCTGTTTATTTCAAATTTCAACAAGTTCTTCATGACTGAATATTTATTATAGTACAGACACAAAATAGTATCAGTGCAAAATAGTATGTACACATACTTTTAGGTTCTTTCTACATGTGCTTAATATGATTGTTTCTTCATGTTAATAAAATATTACTTTCAATTGGCATATCACAAATTTCTAATGAAACAGGATCACCTGACAGCATCCAGCATCCAATTATTCCTTATCATTTTATGAAAACATGATGCTCATAAAGTATCATGTGTGTCAATTTTAAGCAAGAACTTGCTTTACTTCCTATATTTCTCAGTAGTTGTCAGACTTTTACAGCTTTGGAAAATGATTGGAATGAATGTTCATTCAACATTCAACAAACAAGTTTTGATCAGGAAAATAAATTAGCAGAAAGGTAACAACACAAAAATTCTAGTGAGTATGCTATTTCCAAATGCCTACCCGTACGTAGGCCAATTAAGCCAGCAAGATTTTGTAAATTTTGTAATTTTTCTTGTGCTTTTTTCTATATACAAGGAAGGAAGCCTGCCTTTTTCATGAAGGCAAGGCATCTCTATCTGTTAATTGCTTGGAAGTTGCTACTAGACCATTTACCATAGTGAGCACCAACAATCAATTCTCACAACAACAGATATCTTGATATCTAAAATTAATTTATTTTATTGATAGAAGTATAAAAGAAATATCTATTCATTTAATTTCTCTCTCTCTCTCTCTCTCTCTCTCTCTCTCTCTCTCGTATGTATGTATGTATATATATATATATATATATATATATATATATATATATATGTTCAATGATGCAATCTTCGATCTCCGGGAGATCGAAGATTGCATCATTGAACAAATATGCCCGGGATTCGTATTTTTATAACCATTAAGGATATATATATATATATATATATATATATATATGCCCAAAGGTGAAATCTTTTGCATTGTTTCTATTTTTTTCCAGTTTTTATTTATTATCATTCTTGTATGCAGATGTATTGTCTATCTCACTGTTCCTGAGAGTAACCAAACACATAAAATATCCACTGTAAATCAATTTGAATTTAATTGATCAAATTAAATTAAATTAAAAATAATAAATCTATACACCATCATAACAACAGACAGCATTTAGTTTTTGTTTAACTAAAAGATCTTTATCATTTTTTATCACTGATCTTTAGTACACATAGACAATTGACCTACAAATGCATGATGTGCAAGAAAATTAAACCAGTTTTAACTGGTTAGCCAACATTCAAGGAATATATATTGCTACATAGCTTTCACAGTTCTGCTTTAGTTGTGCAAAATGTCCAAGAGAAATTTTGCAGAGTGAACAAATATGCAATAAAGAAGGCGTGGACTCTTAATGTGGTGTTTGAGATATATAACTACCAAATATTATCACTGAACTAATTGCTTTCACAATAGAATTTCCTTAACTCCAGTCTCCATCTTTATTTATGTATTTCTTTGCTTTGTAATTGATGTCTGATTGTTTACTTGGCAATATATGATTTGGCCATGAGCCTTTGGGAATCTGATACATTTGACTTCATCTGTTCCCTTTGAGTGATTGTTATATCCTACTGTAGAAAAGAGGCATAACACTTTAATAAAGTTTAATAAGGCCTGTAAATATTCTTTAAACATATTAATTTAATTTTACTGTGTTTCCCTGAAAGTAAGATCTACCCTGAAAATAAGCCCTAGCTTGATTTTGGGGGGGGGGTGGACCTAATATAAGCCCTAGTTTTGGGACAAGGTACACACCTTAAAATCAAGCTAGGGGTGGGGGGTGGAGCTGCCCCATGTGCCCTGCACCCACTTACCTTGCAGCCACACCTCTCCTCAGTGACCCACTTCTTCTGTGGCATCCTCAGACTTGCATTTTACAGTCAGAGGCCTTTCAGGAAGACCACTGCAGCCGAGAACCGAATTATGGATTCAATCCATAGTGCAGTTCTTGGCTGCACAGTGCCGGAGGTGAGTGAAAAAGACACACCCCCCCAAATAAGATCTGATGTCTCTTTTGAAGAAAAAAAAAAGACCGGGTCTTATTTTCGGGGAAACACGGTAAGTTGTTGCAATGCAATGCTTCAGTTAGAGGTTATGTTCACTGGCCGGAGAAAAAGGATACATACCAAAAATAATGTGGTATTTGTCCTAATAATTGCATTGCATTGTGCCCCAATTCCAAACAGGCACAGCAGCGTCCATAGTTTCCCAATCTGGTCTTCATATTCATTGTAAATACATCTTAGAGTAACAGTTCTGTGGTGAAAGAGATTAAACAATGGGATAGTTCTGCCTTACCTGCCTGTGAAATAAATCTCTCTTAACATTGTAGAAAAACAGTGGAGAATTACTTTTAGGGGATATTGACTTTCATTGGAATAAGTTAACTCATTTTACAGATTGCTAAAACTTCATATTAATGAAATTTTTCAAGCCAAATAACATATTTTGTTTCTCTATTTGTGAGAAATATTCTGTTTTTCTGCCATTGGATGTCTAGTGCAATTCATTAATATAATAAATTAATTAAATTAATTCCCAAATAGCTGGGAATAATATAACTCTTCTGAATAATACCAATTTTTAAAGGAAATATTTATAAAAATATGTTTGTTGCATTTTACATTTTTGAATTTAACTAGCTATACGCTTTAGTGTCTTCTGTCTTATTTTGGAGGACTTTAATGCTGTGGATTAAAGTTTAATAAGCCCTCTTAACAAAATAGCATTTGTTTCAAACATCTAAGACAGTATTTTTAAATAGAGGTTTGTTAATTTATCTCCTGGGATCTTCCAGACCAAAGAGGTGGGTGGAAGGAAAGTTAGATTTTCCCATTTTATAAAATTGGAGGAAAACAAAGATTAACATCTTAGGGAGAGAATAATAACAGTGGCCCTTTTGTTGTTTTTCTCTCTCTAGAATGACAAATTAGAAAAGGCTGCAGATATCACTATTGCCAACTACAGTTTTGAAAAAGAAGGTATTTGCAGAGTGTGAGGCACATGAGAGAAGATACCTTTTCAGATATATAGCCAGCTGTTCTTTGAGCTTGCAAACATATTAAAATGTAATATAAAACCTAAGCTCTCTTTTAATTTTTAGGTTTCGTATGAAAGGAAGCAAAATTACTTCCACTCAGTTTAATAGCTATATACTACTAAAACTCTCCTGTCTATATGTCACCTTCAATTGGGCAAAATGGTGTATCATAGGGCAAAATTATTAAATGAATATACCTCAAATGAGCTAACTTAAAGAATGGGTCAGTTACTTGTATGGTATTGAGATTTCAAGGATCTCTAGATCTGTTGCATTGGCAAAGTTTTGGTCATTAAAACACCGCTGTGGTTAGCCTTGGTCATATGATCATGATTTACAATGCTCCCTGCTACTTCCCACAAGGAAAGTCAATGGGAAAACTAATCACTCCTGCTCCCACAGCATTTTTGCCTGCCTGTGATCATTCTGTTTATTAAGTAAGGAAATATCTTTGAAACAATGGGGATGGATCTGTCACAGTGTAATTTGTAATTTTTCCCCCTTAAATATAATTTCACCTTGACTGATAAATATTCTTACTGATTTCACCCTGAATATCCTAATGGTGATAAATCTTCAGTCATGATTAAGTTTATTTAACATTGGAAAAACTGTCAACATCTCAGCCTATAGCTATATATTTAGGATTTCCATTGGTCATTTCCACATAGTTACAAAGCCAGTAAAAATGCTCTGAAAACTTTTTGTTGTAAAAATAGATAAATGAAAAGAGTATAGACAAATAAAAAATTCCTGAACTGAATTTTCTTTTAACTAATCTGTGATCCTTACCCCAAAATAAGTTTCATTCTGACTCAAATCTATAGAACTGGCCTGTAAACCAGGAATTCTTGTAGAATTCTTTGAGCTTTCTTCCATGTAAATGCTTATAGAACTATGTTCTACTGCCTAAGGATACAAGCATTAATCTTGTTCATAGAATATTAATAAATACATCTAGCACTTATTTGTAAAGTATTGTCAATTATAAATTATGTACATTTCTTCCTTTCTAGTCCTCATTCTGCGTTAAAAGATAACATATCTGTGAAAACAGATTCATTGCTCTCTTCATAAATGGAACACAGGACACATTTCTTAAATGACTTTTTAGCATTTTGTAGGAGGAAAATGGCATTTTCTCCTGTTTTCTTGTAGATACTCACAGTAAAACATTGTTAGAGTCTGTATTACTCGAAAATTGATACCCAAGCATTCCCAGAACTTAATCTTTGTACTATCATGTTTTTAATTAGGAATGGATTGCTGTAATGTAATCCAATAAATAACCAAACCAATTCTTAGTAGAACAAAACTAAATAAAGGATACAAAAGAGAACTGATTACTATGAATATTTGCAGCATTCATAATAGATGTTGACTGAAATCAAAGAGAAGTAGCACCCTGCTTTGTACTACAATTTTTATAGAAATCAAATGCCCCCTTTGTTTTACTTCTTAGAAGATTTATGCAGGACATTTGGCAGATAAACAGAAAATATACATTCAATAAACAGGTATGCAGTTGATTTATAATATGTATTTATAGAATTTGCTCTTAATATACCTACTATGATTCAGCCATGTAATCCTGGTATTTCCATTAGCTCTGTCTCTCCAATATAGACAATTGCCTTTTAAGCAGATCAGAGGATGTCCTGGTTATAGTTCTAAAATTTGGGATTGTGTATTATATATGTACAAAAATAGAAGCCTCTCTACAGGGGTATTCCAATTTTGGGTTACCTTTCTGAGAGAAATATGTCCAAACACTGCAATACTCTTCTTGATTCTAATCCATCCATCATTTATTGTGGTCAGTGCCAGAATTTGCCATGTATGTTCTAAGTCAAAATGTTTTTATTTGTCCTAGTTCTTTAAACAGAAAGTATATTTAGTAAGGAAGAAAGTAATTTCATTATTGAAAGTACATTAGACACTTGAACTTTTATGCCAATGCTGAATAATATCAATCAGTGTAGGTTTTTTCTATTGATATTTTAGATGTTTCAGTTTGTAATATTACATTTGAAGTTGGAACTTTTTAATATACTATCCTAGGATCCTGTAGTATAAAAACGTTAGCCTGAAATATTATCAAGACATATTTCATTTTGCCTGTGATAAGCCCACTGGCAATCCAGGCAAAGATGCAGAATTATTAGAGAGGTAGGGTGTGGAATTTCTCTTGATGTTCTCCAGATAGCTCATGAGGCAACAAGAAACCCCATGGCAGCTGATTTTATATTTCTTTCTTCCTAATTTATAGACCAAGAAAGGAATTGGATGGAACTTTTAGTATTGTTTCCAGATTGTCTTTCGGTAGTTTTATTAGTAATTGCAGCTACTGCTCTTTGTTTCATGGATTAACTTTACAAGGTGCAATATTTAAACATATTATGACAGTTAAATTATATATCAATACAGTTAATTGGTAATGATTTTAAGACCCACAGTTAAGCTTATTTTTTTCAATTACATTCAGGCTGTTTTATTGAGCTATGATGCACTTCATTTTGGAAATGCAGGTCCATTCTGGTAACTTGCCTGGATTTTTCATCCTGTTTCCCTGTTGCTTAGCAACACCATAGTATTGCAAAGAAACTGGTATAAAATTAGAGCTGTCTTGTTTTGGTAGTTAATGGAAAGATAGAAGATAGTCTTATAAGAAGCAAGGAAATCTTTCTGTTTTTCTTTCCTATTGCTATAAATTAGCTTCACATGACAAATAATAATACTTTTTTTGTTTTTTACCTTAAAAGGAAAATCTACCTCTGAATCAGTGATTACCTAACAAGATATAAATACAGCACTTCATTATTCATCTCTGGGGCTGTATCAAGAAAGTTTAAGGGGACAGGGAAGTCCCTATTCAGTCATGAGGAAACATTTTTCTTCTTTTTCATGGCAATGGGCCCATCTGCAAACTGAGGGAGTTTTGCTCAGTAGTAGAGATTATTTTACACAGAAATTCTCTCCTCAGCCTCTGCACTTAAAGCAACTGCAATTGGAAGATTTCTGCATGAGAATTTGAAAGGTTGCTGACAGCTATCATAACTATGGTTCTACAAAATGCTTAACCATAGGTTTGTTTAATATGCTACAATGGTTGTTGGCATATACAAGTAGTCTTTGATTTACAATAGTTCATTTAGTGACCATTCAAAGTTACAACAGCACTGAAAAAAAGTGACTTACTTTTTCACAGTTATGACCTTTGAAGCATCCCCATGATCATGTGATCAAAATTCAGATGCTTGGCAACTGGTTCATACTTATGACCATTGCTATGTGCCAAGGTCATATGATCACCTTTTGCAACCTTTTGGCAAGCAAAGTTAATGGAGAAGCCAGATTCACTTAACAACCAGATTACTAACTTATGAACTGCAGTGATTCACTTAAAAAGTTGTAAAATGGGGCAAACCTCATTTAACAAATGTCTCACTTAACAACAGAAATTGTGGTAAGAAGTCAAGGACTACCTGTAAAGGTAACCCATAATGTATAGATCATCACACTAAATTAAAAGCAAACAACTTTATGGATTAGTGTGACTATGGACTAAAATGATCAAATTGTATGGCTTTTAAGGTTGACCGGAAATCTGGATAGTCTTCTAGAAAAATTAATGAATTAACAGACATGTTGACATTAAAAAGTGCATTCCATGTGGTATGTATACATTAATGGGGGGGGAGCTGACTACTTTAATTTGTATCTTTAAAATACTTTGTGGCAATTTTTTACATACTGTTTTAACATTTAAACATTTAATTCATTGATTTTCTATATTTTCTTTTAAAATGTTAGTATTTGGGTGAAATTTGTTTAAAGTAACATATAACTATCACATATAAAACAATAGAAAAATTTTAGGGCAGATCCAGATTTAAATCTCTAGTCAGCCATATAAGCTCCCTGATAAATTTTGGATCTGTCAAACGCTGTCAGTTCAAATTAATTCACTGGAAGTTGTTAAGGAAATAAAATGAAGACGCCCAACTAAGGCCCCTTATTATTTATTACTACTATGTTGTCATCAACATCTTCTCATTATCATTTTCTTTCACAATTTCCAAAGTTTATTTCTACTTCATTTCAGATGCTGATATTAAAGCATTTTGGAGTGTAGGCCTATAGTATCTTAAGACATGTCTCTTCTCATACTGTATGTTCTTGTCAATATACAAAAGGCATCAATGGAAGTGCTGCCCTCCCATGCTAATGTGCAGTTAGGCGCTGCCAAGGAATAAAGGTGGTGCCAACTGTGTAGTGTGCCATCTACTTGTTTAAGCTACACAGAACACCTGGCAAAGATCTTTTTACTCTCCTTCCTCTTGTCAATAACTCACTATTTTAAATGTATAGGCTTCAGTGAAACATGTTTGCCTTTGATCATGGTTTTACTGTTTATATATATCATGTTTAACAATGTAGAGCTTAGATTTTTATATAGCACTTTTAATATAATTTTCCCTTGGAAAGCTCTGTTTTCAAGTTTGCATATCAATATGTTAAATAAAAAAGCATTTGGTTTTTTTCTGCTTTTATTAAAATATTATAATAGATAATGATGATGATGCCATCCATTCAGTTGATTGTGAATCTTGGTGATTTTATGGGCCATATCTCTCCATATCTTCTGATCTTGCACTATTTCTTTGAGATTGGCTTGTGCCAACTTCGATGGTGTCCAGCCACAGTATTCTTTGGCAGCCTGGTTTTCTTTTACCACTAACTCTTCCAAAATAATTGCTTTCCCCAGTGAATTTCCCCTGATGACATGGCCAAAGTAAGTGAGACACAATTTTGTGATTTTGCCTTCTAGTGACATGCCTGGTGTTATGCACTCCAGTACTTGCTTGTTAGTCATCTTCGTTGTCCAAGGAATATGCAGGAAACTTCTCCACCACCACAACTCAAATGAGTCAACTTTCTTTCTACTAATTACATTTTTCATTTATCCTGTTTAAATAGTTAGCAGAATGAAATGCTAAAGCTTTCTGAATGGTATACCATCTTAGGCTGCAGGAACAAACATATAAAGAACCAATTCAGTTTAAAGTGTTGATCAAATTATGCACTTTGTTTTAAAGTATTAAACTTTAAGATCAATCAGTAGTGCCACTTTCTCTTCAGATTCTTCCTGTTTGAAAGTAATATTATTCTTTCATTGCTCCTTCCTTATAAGTAAGTATTCTGTATGCTGAAAATTACACAAATAGATCAGAGTCCTTTCACACTTTTTTTTTCAGAATATATAAATGTCTGTAAATCAGGAAAGCTTCTTATTTCAGTTTCCAGCTTAATTTCCAAGCCCTGTTTCTCATTCTGGGACAGACTGAACCACTGAAACTTTTTTAGAGCATTCAGCCTACTCTGAAAATTTATATGGTTGGCAAGGTCTGAAAAGGGGAGCAGGCAAGTAATTACTTTTGGCAAATAGAAGCATACTGGATGTTTGTTTCAGTTCTGCAATAGTGCAATCTGTGACAAAAATTACATGGCTTATATTATTCTTTAAAGCCTTAGAACAATCCAACTAATACAAATGGTTGCACCAATCTCAAAGATTACTGTATATTTCTTGGATTTTTTTTAAAGGAGAGATTATAAAACTAAAAAGAAAGAAGACAACTGTTGTGTTCAATCTGATAATAATACATTTGCAAATCTGCATTAGAAACCACCCTTAAAGGAGAAAATGTGATTAACTCCATCTTCAAGACTGAAATAATATTTTCATGCTCAAAGTGATTTGATTTCACCTCATTTCAACTTCAGTAAAACAAGGATCCCTTATACAGTATGAAATTCAGAGAGTAACATTTATTTCTTTGAAATCTGGCTGATCAAGGTTTATATCTAGGTCAACTTGACATCACTTGATTTAGAACTACATTAACTCAAGTTAACCCAGAAAACTTCCCAAGGCAGTTGTAGTCCAGTTAAGGGAATGCACTGCCTGACAATACCTTATTTGATAGATGTTGCAGTGTTCTGCCACTATGTTTTTAGAAATAACTATGTTATTTCTCCTTTGCAGAGTGTTGACAGTTCAAACTTGTCTCTAATTGTTCAAAATAAGAAGTGCTTCGATAATGACATTGTTTGTTCAAAACATATGTTGCTAACTATTGGAGACTCTGAGATTTTTTTCAGTGAATCTCTAGACATAGAGGTAAGTTTATTTTCCCCGTTTTGAAATTCACTAAAGCTCAATTGATTATCAAAATACTGTTTTTTTACACCATCTCTCTCTCTCTCTCTCTCTCTCTCTCTCTCTCTCTCTCTCTCTCTCTCTCTCTCCCCCTCCCTCCCTCTCCCTCTCCCTCTCCCCCCCTCCCCCCCTCTCTCTCTATATATATGCAACATGATACAAAGAGAATTACAAGATAATCATTAGATAAGAGACTGGGGAAGGCTGGCTTAAGCAAACATACATATAGTAAAATACATATTTTTATAACAATAAAAAGTTTATCTTTTCCTCATACACAATCCCTATTATACTTGGCATCATAGAACCTCTCTGCTGCCAAATTGTCCTGGGCTACTGAGCATCTGGGAGAAGACTGACAGCTTCACTGGACAACACAAAATTAAAGTTAATTAAATAAGAAGTTTAATAAATGGCAGTGGTGGTAGGTTAGAATAAATGTTCACTTTTTCTATCAGGTTCTGTGGTTTGAGCTTCAGCAAAAAACTAAGCTTTAATATTTTGATGATAGGAAAAGCAGCATTTTTTTAAGTTCTCTGTCAATCCTATGAAAATTCTTCATAATCAGTGGTTCAAGTTCAGCCAAATAAAGCATTGATAGATTAGGGATCTAATTTTACATAAATTTTTGATGTGGTACTTTTATTGTATCAGTTTAATATGATAAAGATTTTCCTATGCTTTCATGTGTTTCAACTATTGATCTGCAATGTTCAGTATAGGTCCTTCATTGAAACACAGTACAAATACCTGCTTCAGGTATAATCAAAAGCATGAAAGTAGCAGGTCATCTGTATGATGTATCACTGAAATCTTTGGAGATTTCTTTTAATTTAAATTGCTTCACTTTGTGGCTTGAGACTGGGTTGTGCCACTTCCTTTGAAAGGTAAAAACCTTAATGAATATTAGTAGTTAATTATTATTTATACTTTCATGGAATGTTTAACATGCTATAATTAGGCTGCATTGCAAATAAATGCTTGCTATAGGAAAAGAATTTTTAAAAATTCTAACTGTGAGGGAGCGGGGGAGACAACTATGGCCCTTTTACGGCCTGTGGAGTTCAACTCCCAGAATTCCTGAGTCAACTGGCTCAGGAATTCTGGGAGTTGAAGTCCACAGGTTGTAAAGAGGCCATGGTTGCCCAGCGCTAGTTTACAGCCTTCCTTGAATTGAGAGCTACATGTGGGTTTTGTGGACTATGTTGATTAATTGAAGCAGATAAGACAAAAGACAAACTGATTATGGATGAAGTGTGCAAAAGTATACTTTATTCTTATTCTAAATATAGGTTCATAATTAATGTTGCAAATTATCACATATTCCAAGTGCAAACTGTTCACTTAAAAACAAGTAAAGAATATTGGAGATCTGGCTTGATAATAATGTACATAAAATATTTTGGAATTGTATTTGATTACAAATGAATATGAATCAGCAGTGCAGTAAGGTTGTAAAAATGCAGTTTTAGATGTCATTTTTGGAAGTAAGGTTTCCAAATCATTGGAAGGAATAGAGAAATGTAACTGCATTGTTTAGACCCCACCTCATGTCTAATTCTGGGCACTATGCTTAAAAAATAATTAAAAAAATAATTCAAAACTGGGACAGGTTCTGAGAAGTTTAAATGTTTAAAAACTAGGGCAAATGAAGACAGGCTGAAAGAGTGGGCTATGGTTAACCTTGACAAGAAAAGATTAAAAAGAGGAAATGATGTTGAACATTTGAAAGGATATCATTGAGAAACTTAATAATTATTTGCTTTTGTTCCTAGTTGCAGGATAAGGAATAATAAAATTAAGTGTGTAGGTAGAAAGATTTCAGCTGAATTCAAAGAGAAAAATATATATACCACATGTGACTGCATCATCATCATTAATATCTTACAAGTACCTATTATTTATAGGGGATGCTGAGGAGACATGGAGACAAATCCAAGTATCAAGTTTGGAAAGCTGGATATTATGTGGCAATACATTTTCCAGAGGAAGAGCTCATGGTATTGTGGGACAGGAAGACAACAATGCATATCAAAGTTGGAGCTCGATGGAAGGTGAATCAGTATAAAGCTAAGTCACAATAACAAAAGGAAACAGGATGACTATTCTACAAACAATTTATTCTTGAATTATGCTCACTATAAATAAAACAAGTTTAGAATAATTTACAAAGTATATTTTATAATATTTATTATATAGCCAAGTGCTCCATGAAAAAATATACAGGTATACAGGTAGTCCTTAACTAACAACACAACTGGAACCAGAATTTCCATTGCTAAGCAAGGTGGTTGCTAAGTGAATGATATACGATTTTACAACTTGTTTGCCACAGATGTTAAGTGAATCATTGCAGTTATTAAGTAAATCAGGCTTCCCTCATTGACTTCGCTTGTTGGAAGCTGGCTAGGAAGTTCACAAATGGTGATCACATGACTGTGGGACACTGTATCTGATTGCCAAGTGCCCAATTTTTGATCACATGATAGTTGGGATGCTGCGATGGTTGCAAGCACAAGACTGGTTGCAAGTCACTTTTTTTCAGTGGCCTCGGAACTCTGAACTGTTGCTAAATGAATGGTTGTAAGCCAAGGACTACCTGTATATTTTTTGGTTTAATACACCATAGGTTCCAAAAGTTCCTCAACTTGTCAGAAATAGAAACAGAAATATAATTTTCCAAAATAAACACCTTACTTTCTTTTAGACTAAAAATTATTCTCTGTTGAACTTAGAATTGCTGCATATTTATGGATCATAGTGTTAAATCGCTTGATTATACTATCCTGGAATGAAAGAGGAAAAAACTGAATTTCAAGCTGTGATATTTCCCCCCCCCATAATGAAAATAGTTGCAAACTTTCTTTACAAACACAGTCCTTTAATTGACACATATTTTTATTGGCATCCAGTGATACATTCATCTTTAATTAACTATGAGGATGCCATGGATTTCATGACATCATTTGCTCCCCCTTATCTTCCCCATGTATGCCACATTTTCTTACGCAAGAAGTAGAAACATAATTCCTTCTGATTTAAATTCATTTATATGGCTTGTGATACTTACAGAAATGTTTTGATATTTTAACAGTTTTTTTATTGTTAGGGTCGTAAAAACTCTGGAAATGGCCTTATACTGAGACAGTCCTAGACTAAGATTGCTGATGCTGACTGGCACTGGTTTTTCATGTTTCTAGCAAGAATTCTCTGGCCGTATCTGGAGATACTTGCACTGTTTTGTTTTAAACTAATAACCATTTGTACTATAGGTAGAGGTAAATAAGATTAAGGGGATGAGAGTTTATATCACTAGTAAGCACAGGCTGTGAAAATAATGAAACAGTAAACAAAAAAGATAACATTAAAAAAGTTATAGAAAACAGTACATTTTTAAAAAGCTAGTCTAAATTGTGTCTGTTTTGTGACTATTCAATCTATATTAATACCTAAATTAAGATTCAATTAATCATTTTTTTTTTCAAAAATATGAGTGCATTGTTTGTTAGCTTCATAAATCTTGATTGTTCTAGGTAAAGTGCTTAGGAAAAATGTTTTTCCTAAATAAATAAAATAGTTTTATTTTCAGGGTAAATTAGCTGGTTTGTGTGGAAATTTTGACAAATTTACTTCAAATGATCTGACTACATCCAACAATATGGAGGTAAAAAATGCTCAAATTTTTGGAGAGAGTTGGGCAATAGGACAGGTAAGCATAACATCTCCATTTATTTTAAAATAAATAATGTATTGATATTGCAAGTATGAGAATCTGTGGAAACAATTAATTTTAAGACAGCAGCCGACAGCTCACAGTTATGAAAGCTGGTGGATGTGATAGTAGTAGTAATAGTAATAGTAATAGTGTATACTTACAACTGGTACTTCTTTTCCACACCCTCCCCACTCCTCCATTATCTTTATTCTGTGCATTCTCTTTCTAACTTGATTAGGCAATTGAAATAAAGGAGATCAGGATATTGTGTGGCAGCCTTTTTTAAATATATAGTTCTGTCATCTCAATATCCATCCTGCTGGAGATTATACTTCAAATCATCTGGGAGACTTCCCTTTTGTGGCAGAAATTTGTTCTAAGGGAAGCCTGAAAGGGTTCCTTTCATAATTACACAGCAAAGAATATCACAAAGGTATAAGTACTCTTAAAAGGATATTTAACAGAGTTGGAAGGGACCTTGGAGGTCTTCTAGTCCAACCCCCTGCTCAGGCAAGAAACCCTATACCATTTCAGACAAATGATTGTCCAATCTCTTCTTTAAAACTTTCAGTGTTGGAGCACTCACAATTTCTGGAGGCGGGTTGTTCCACTGATTAATTGTTCTAACTGTGTGGAAATTTCTCCTTAGTTCTAGGTCGGTTCTCTCTTTGGCTAGTTTCCATATATTGCTTCTTGTCCTGCCTTCAGATGATTTAGAGCAGTGCTTTTCAACTGGCGGTACTTGTACCACCTGTGGTACTTTGCCACATGGCAGGTGGTAGGCGACCGTCCTAGAGAAATGTAGCGGGGGAGGGGAATGAGCCAAAGTGACCCAAGCCTGAGGGAGAGGCAGCTGCAGCTGCAGGACTGTGTGGGCTCAGCAGAAGCCCCAGGAGCCAACAGGGCTCCAGCTGATTGGCACTTCTGGAAGCAGCACGGAGCTGGAGGTGAACTGAAGAAAAAGAGGGAAAGAGGAGAGGCTATAAAAGAGGTGGTTTGGGTAGGAAAGAGAAAAAAAGACTACAGGGAAAGGGAAGGAGAGCTCAGCAGACAGGGAGGAAAAAAGGGACAGGGAAGAAACAGAAGCTGTTGCTAGAAGAAAAGGTCCCCTGGTTTGTTTTCTCCAGCCAGGAGAATGCAATCAGCGCTGATGAAATGAAAAACCGGCAGACAAGCATGTTGGAAAGGAAGTGGGTTTATTTAGTTCTGGATCAGCTGGCAGCTTGATTGGGTTACCATAAGGATTTTTGTACAGTTTTTACAGCATTTTGTAATTCAGAGGCTCGGTTTGTGTGCTTTGGTTATTGGAATATTTTAGTCTGAATTTTAGGCTAGCAATGAATCCAAAGTGTTGACTTCTGTAGGTTTAATCCCTTTAAACAAATGTAATTAGTTTTACGCCCTTATCCTGAGTCTGTCTATGGCTTTTAGAAAGTTTTCTTTGAAGGTAAACAGGTTTAATTTAAGGCTAAAGCTTTTCACAGTTGCCAGAGCCTTTCAGCCTTGGGTTGCAACATTGTGACACATGACATGCCTGAGGCAGCTTAAAGAAAAAAACAGAATTTATGTGTTTCTTTATTTTGTGAGCCTTTCTTGCTTTGCACTTGATTCCTGTGTCTTTAAGGGTACAGGGAAGGGATTGGGGAGGAAGGTGCATTCTTACTACATTGTGGAAGCTCAGAAGGGAGAGAGGAAGAAGGGCCAACCAGCTAGCTCAGGACTCTACAAACTTAGCAACTTTAAGACCTGTGGACTTCAACTCCCAGAATTCCTCAACCAGCCATGATGGCCGAGGAATTCTGGGAGTTGAAGTCCAGAAGTCTTAAAAGTGCCAAGTCTGAAGACGCCTGAGCTTGCTGGTAGTGGTGCATATTAATAAACATGGATAAATTTATCATACATTTATCAGTGTAAAGGGAAAGTGATTCAGCAAAGGAACAGCCACCGAAGAAATTAAAACTGGTACTTTTTTCCTTTTTTTTCCTATAGTTTGTAGCATTTTATTAGATTATAGAATAAAATACAAAAACACAAAAACAAATAGTAGGACACGGTGGGGAGGAAAAAGGGGGGAAAAGTGAGAGGGAGAAGGGAAAAAGAACAGACTTCCTCTGTTGCAGTAGAAGGAAGCATTAACATTGAACCTCAACTTTTTACTTTTCCATAATATTATAAACTAGCCATTTCTATAACAACAAATGAATCTAATCAGGAAAACCCAAAATCCCCCCCCTTTTTAGTCATCAAGTTTTTGACACCTTGCTAAGCACTGGTGGTGCTCAAATATTGTCATGTCCTAAAAGTGGTATAATCTGTGAAAAGGTTGAAAAGCCTGATTTAGAGAATAGGTTGACTCCCTCTTCATTGTGGTAACCCCTTAGATATTGGAATACTGCTATCATGTTACCCCTAGTCCTTCTTTTCATTAAACTAGACACCAAATTCCAGCAACCGTTCTTTATATGTTTGTAGCTTTATATGTTATATAAACCATTTTTATATATTTGTGGCTATCTTTTCCATGCTAACCGAACAATGATATTTACCGCACCATGGGCCAAACAACATATGTAGGAAGATCTGTAACATTTAAATTCTTGGTTGGCTTTTCCTACGGGGATGTGATGACCCAGGGCACAGCATAGAGGCAATGCAGTCAGCTGGCAATTCAAACAGTTCTTTTATTGCTCCAAATTTTCCCCAAATGCTCCAACAAAAGAACACCCACACCCCTTCAGCTGACTCTGACTGAAAGTAGGTTCAAATACAGTCTGATTAGCATAAGAAAGTACTCAAGGTCATAGAGATAACAAGAAAGAAAACATAAACTTAATGAGTCTGTTTGAATCCTAGCTTGCCTGAGCAGTTTTCAAAAGAGAGAATCCGAAATATAACCAGACGTCTTTAAACATTCAAGTAACGTGGGCAGTCAATCTAATAGTTCAAGTTTCCAGGTTTCCGAACAGAAGTCACAGAACAAGAGATCAGCAACAATGCACAACAAGAATCAGTGTTTGTTCCCAACAAATGCCGCTCCCCACAGCATCTCCTTAAATCTCAATCTCCAGGTGTTCCTTGTGGAAAAGGGCAGGATGCTCTCCTCCCGAGTAATTGAGCCTGCCTGTGTTGTTCCCTCCTTCTCTCCACTCTCCATGCTCTAGGATCAGGTGGGGGTGGCCCTTGCTCATCACCTGAATTCTGCCTCTCCTGTTCATCCTGTTCCAATCCTGAAGGGCCCTGGCCTGCCTTGGCCTGCTCTTCCCCACATTCCTCTGAAGCCACAGACACTTCTCCCTTGGCCCTCATAGGGTCCCATTCCAGTTCATTTTCCTCCGCAGATTAAGGCTCAGATGGAGGCATGACAGGGGATGAATGTAACATATATTTAGCTGAAGCAAGACTGTTTCTAAAAATACAAAGTTTATCTTGTCTGTGACGTTCTACTATATAAAAGTGCAATAATCTTGTCTTACCTGTACTATTTTATCATATTACAGATCTTTTGCGTTATTTATTTGCTCTTAAGTAGATTTCTCTTGTTTGCTGTCTTATTGTGATATCTGATATCTGTTACAAGTGAAACAATTTTCAATATGAATAATGGAAATCAATGCACTGTACATACAGACTATACTGTATAACATCTGAAAAATACAATTTTAATGCATAATTGCTTGAAATAACAATCGAGGGGAGAAAATATATGCAAACATCTGCAGCACTAACATTTTCTCTTCATGTCTCTTTACTACTAATTATTTCCTTGGTTATATTTTGCTTGTTTTTCAGGAGTCAGTTTATTGTGGATTTTTATTGAACTTATGAATGGTGTAGTTATCAGATCAGCAAATTTTAAGCAAAACTTGTTAGAAGAGCAACTTTTCTTCTATTTACAATTTCTAACTGACTGTTTTGGAAACAGTTATGATGTGTGATAAAGAAAACATTTAATTGAGTATCAAAAAAGCATAAGAATATATATTTGTTTTAAAAGCAAAATGATAAACAATTTTTCCAAGTTAAATATTTTCATTTGAAATGCCATTATGAAGCTAACTTAGTAAAAAGAAATATAAATTCAGTTTTTAAAAGGCTTTTGAATTTTTAATAAATATTTTTAATGGATAATAATCATATTTTTAATGGATAATAATCATATGTCTGAATATGGCAGTATCTAAAAGAAGAGAAGAGAAAGAATTGAAGAAAATCACAAATAACAAAGACCTGCAAATAGCGGTAGAATGACTGTGGCAAAAGAAATAAAAAATAGTATTAATAGTCATAGGTGCCTTGGGTGCAATTCCAAAATTTCTAGAGCACCACTTGAACACCATTGGCATTGACCCAAATCACCATCAATCAATTGCAAAAGGTAGCTTTCCTTGGAAAAGCTTACCTTCTGGGACAATATCTTTAACACTATGAAACAACATCTGCCTATCCCAGGTTTTTGTGAAGGACTCGATAGATGGATAAAAATGCCAAATGCAATCTAAACAACTGACTGACTATGTAACTTGACTATTACGTTTGATAGTTATGCTTTATTTCTTTTTCATTAGTGTGCAAGTCCAAATGAGACCAACAAACAATGTGAAGTCCATCAGAGCAAATTCCCCTATGCCAAAAAAGAATGTTCAGTTTTATACAGTGATATTTTTGCCTCTTGCCGTACTGTGGTAAGTGAATATTTTTTATACTGTAATTTCTCAAACTGGGCAGGACAGTTTGTAGCTCAAGACTTAATATAAAATTAATTCTCTTCCTTTTTAATGTGCCTTTTGAACTTTCTAATATGCTGATATGTTTTTGCAGATATCTATACCCTATGATACAGAATATGTTTTAGATGAGCTTACATTATACTAATTTTAAAATCTCTAGTGTTTCCTGATGGATTTTATGTCTTTAATTATTCCATACTATTATTTTTCTCCCCTATTTTCCAGATTGACGTAACATCATTTGTGAAAAACTGTCATACAGATACGTGCAACTGTAATCTGGGTGGAGACTGTGAATGTCTGTGTACTAGCATTGCAGCTTATGCTCACAAATGTTGCCAGCAGGGTGTAGTAATTCACTGGCGATCTCCTTCTCTCTGTCGTATGTATGCTTTTTGTTATATTACTCAATACAATCCCTATAGATTATTTCACATAGTGTTTTCCATTAAGTCATAGCAGTTCAGTGTGCTAGAATATATATATATATAGATGGTGATAGTAGAAATCATAGCATAGGATTTTTTTTAATCTACTGTATATTTTTATAATTGGTCTTTATGTTAATCAGTACAGCTTTTACAAGCAAAATTTTCCTAATTCCCAGACTCTCTCCTCTCTCCCTTCCAAATCAAATGAGACAGGGCCATGCTAATGAATTCCATCTTCAACATCATATGGACCATTTAGTTACTCCTTCAGCCATCTACCCATAAAGACATGTCTTCAGGCATAGAAACTTTCCTATTTATAAACTGCATTCATGGAGGGCCTCATGTGACTAGAATTATAGTAATGTAAAGTAGAAGCATCCATCTACTAATATATTTTTATATATTACTTATTTTTAAAAGAAAACACCTCTCCTTTTGCATTGGCTATTGAGTGTGGATGAAAATGTAAATGTATATGGACTTATTTTTTTATCATAGGTAGGTGCATAATAATAAAATAAATCTTCATAACTAGTGGCCCTATGCTGCTATATTTTCTTTTATTACTGATGAAACTGAGTAAACACTTAGCTCAGTAAAGGGCTTAATTAGAATATGTAAAAGTAGTTTTTTTGTGAATTCTAGTTGATTGTATATTGTTGTCATGAACACAAATTCTGTTACTGTTGGCCACTGTATACTATTACATTCTTCTTTTTTTTCAGCTTACGATTGTGATTATTACAACCAAGGTATGCATTTTTCTCAGTATTAAAGAAAATAATGTTAGGTGTATATACCTGAACCAAAGACATTTATCCTTTTTTATTAAATAAGTAGTTTGTATTTGAAAATTATTTCAAGTTGCAGAAATAAAACATGGTCATAATGCCATGTAGGATAATGAGCACAATTTGATGCAAATATTTGACTATTAATGTAAATAAATTTAGATAATTTTATTGTTGCTCTGTTTCTAAAAAAGGTACAGATACAAATATATCCAGGGACAACTGTTGTCTAGGATACAGGCAAAATAACTGGCAAAAGGCAGGATGGCATTTTTCTGATGGCCAAGTCTTGTGGTATTTTGAAACTAATTTTAGCCTCGGTAGTCAAAGTTGAAAGAAGCAGATTGTAAATTTGTATCCAGTAAAGGAAATGAATACTTTAAAAATTAATTAATAATTTTAAATTTGCATTTATAATACAAAGCAAATCTCTTTTTCTTTTTAGGCCTTTCTACAATATATCTTTTAATGACAATCTTGTGTTCACAGTTTAGTTATTATTATATCCTGGGGAATATGGAAATCAAACCTCTTGAATTTTGTCTTTCTTCTAATGCCAGTTTCTCTATAAGAAAAAAGATTTAATAGAAGTTTTTCTCTAATTCTTTCATTTTGGAAAATATTTTAGTAGTATTTTGCTGTAAAAATGAGAGGAATTTAAATTGGGTCATCTTTAAATAAGCATTTGGAGGAGCAAATGATAACTTAGTTATCCCTACTTCCCAAAATTGGCTGAAACTATAAAGTAGAAATGTGATTTTAATATTATTGGCATCTTTTTCTGAATGGTGCATATCAAAGAGCTTTGTTAAGGCATATTGGCAAGAACATATTGAGATAATATACTAGCTGTATAAATTATTATTTGGAATGATCATGAAAATTCAAGCTATTAGATGCACTGGTCATCCAGATTTTTGGAACTCTAATTTTATTTCCATTTTACTTTTGATTAATTTCAACAAGTTTTTGTGCTTTCAAGTGGCTTGTTATTCTTAGATAACTAGTTTTCCTATTACTAATTAACATTGTCATTTTTGTACTTCCAGAACTTGGTAAAGGACCTTATATTTTGGCCAGTTATGGACAGAATGATACAGTTATAGGTGTCAATGTTAACAGCAAAAAGATATTTCCATTATTTAGAAACAAGCTCCAAGAAAATGTATATTATAATTTTATGCTAACTCCTGGACTTTACAAAGATAAAATTTTATGTAAGTATTTACTTCTGATCCAATATAATTAAATTCCAGGTTTTATACGTGCAAAAAGATTAGCTTTTGCTGTGCTAGATTGTGTTCTTTTAAACACATGTTCCAAATTGAATTAAATGTTATTGTAATAGACTTGATAAGAAAATCTTTGATGGTGACAAGAGACATTTTGGTGATAAGAGCCATAGTGGCACAGTGGTTAGAATGCAGCATTACATGCTAATTCTGCTGACTAATGACTGCCAGCAGTTTGGCAGTTCAATTCTCACTGGCTCAGCATTGACTCCGCCTTCCATCCTTATGAGGTCGGTAAAATGAGGACTCATATTGTTGGAAGTAACATGCTGACTCTGTAAACTGCTTAGAGCGGGCTATAAAGCACTGTGAAGCAATATATAAGTCTAAGTGATATTGCTATTTTTCTATTTCCACAGTTAAAGCAATACAAGATAAATGTTAACTTTCTATGGAGTTGACATCAAGATATACTATTTGGACACTGAGCAATTAAAAGGGATCTTTTTTTTTTTTTACTTTTAGTAAAATGCTCCATAGCATTTTACCTGTTTTCTTTCCAGCAATATTCAGTATAAATCTCTAAAGCAAAGTATTTTGAAAACAGATCACAGTTTTGGATATTCAGGCTATAGTGTCCTTATACTTTATGAAGAGTCCCAGAATTTGTCCCTTGAGCTACAGCAGTAAATACTCTCCCTTCTTATGGATGGTTGGTTTAAAAATGTACTTTTTAAATTTGTTAAAGGAACTAATACTCTCAGATGGGCAAGAAATATACTTACTGGTATCAGCCTCATCGGGTATTTGGAAGTGGAACTCATTTTATTGCTCGTTCCTTCCCTAATCTTACTATGGATTGATCTGTGGGATTTAGCTTGTTTCTCTGAATTTTTTTTTATCACGTATTCATTCCTACATATATTTAAATGCTGTTGTAAATATGTATTAAGGCTTTTATATGTTGCTATGAATTTCATTTTTTTCTGGCAGCTTCATCTCTGATTTCACTTGAGTGTGCAGAAAGGCCAAACTACTTTCTTTATGTACACAATGACAACAACATTTTCTTAGCACAGTGGGATGCAAGTTTGTCATTTCGTAGAAAAACGACTTTTATCCATCACCAAGGACTTTGGATTCCTGGTTATAGTGCATTTGAACTGCACAGTAACAGAGGTTTCTTCCTTACACTTAGCACTTCAGCAGTGAAAATCTTGAAGTTTGTTGATTCTGAAGAATTCAAAAGCTCAAGTAGCTTCAGTATTGAGGGTGAGTTACACCTCATGATATATGGAGGATGCTGTCAATAAACCCCCATGCTGTAAAACCTATGATTTTTACCAAACCACAGTTACAGTCCTTACTTTGAAATTACTCAACTCTTTTGTGAATAGATTTATTCAGCAGATTTTAGGTAGAATTATATATTTTATTTATAGGTTTCAGTTGCTTTTATTTAGAATAACAATTTATGTTTTATAAATAAATATTCATTGCATATATTTCTACATAAATATTCTTTGGAATCACACTGTGGCCTATATTCCTAAATATATCTACTGTACAGTATATGATTTCATAAAAGATACACATCTAAAAGTCTGCGCAGCGGATATATAACACTATATTTGTTCGAGAAAGTACTGTATTTTTCAATAGGAAAAGGCTTGAAAGATACATTTAGAGTAAATTATCCACAACATTTCTGCCAGCTTCAGCTATGGTTTATAGAGAAAAATGTATCATTTACAAAATGATTTTAAAATTTATTAGAACTCCATGCAGCAATACCTTACAGGAGGATGTGTGAATGGAGATATGAACCTTGTACAAGTCCTTGTGTTAAAACATGCGATGATCCTGAAGGAACGGCATGCAAATTTCTTCCACCGTGAGTAAAAGGAATATTTATTGTAACATTCAATATTATTTCCCCTTGGAAATGTCTACAAATAATATTAAACTGGCTTTTGTTTTTTTACTTTAGTTCAGAAGTTCTATAGAGTGAATAATTCTAAGTCCCGTTCAAGTATATAGGCAAAATAATTACTTATATTGTATTTTTCTTGAATCTTTTATTGTAGGGTTGAAGGGTGCTTACCATATTGTCCAAAAGCTATGATCCTAGATGAAGTCACACTTAAATGTGTTTATCCAGAAGATTGTAAGTGTGCTTTATATAATGTTCTTGCATCCCCACAAAATTATTTATTTATTTATTCATTCTTCTTTTTTTTTTGCTGTAGTAATTAAGAGACTCTCAGTGGGTTACAATTATAGCAAAAATACTCCACCCAGGGTTCAACTACATATTAATAAAAAATGTGCAGTCCTCTAAATTAAACCACAGATAAAATAATTAAATAACCAATCCAAAACAATTGATGAATTTCAAGGTGCAGATGTTATATAATATTGATGCCATCCCAGAGATACAATATTTGTGAGGCTCCATCCTGCTCATCTCACAGAAATGGGGGGCTATGAACAGATTGTCCTGGGAGCTCTGGTGAGTTGAAATTAAGTATAGGCAGTGCTTTTTTTTGTAAAAAAAAAAAAAAAGTGCCAGAACTCACACATGTCATTCAACCCACCTTGCCTACCCTACAAGGTTCCATCTAAAAAAGGTGCTGGAACTCCTTTCTGGGTGTTCTATGACAAAAAAGCCCTGACTATAGGCAACACTTGTGGAATACATTGGTTACCAGCAATATCAATAGTTTTGGTTTCATTTCATAAAATTGCTATTCTGATAAGATTGTAAAAGGCATATTAGTATTTTAGGAAGCAAGTTACATAACAATAGTGAACACAGTTCGTCGAATAGCCAATGAGAAAGAAATGTTCAGGGAAACATTGATGTTGGCAAATGCTTAATTTTTTTTTAAAATGTATCCTGAGGCCAATTTAGGCTCAGTAAAAGAAGTGGCCATATAATGGTGAAGGTGGAAATGTAAAACCCAAAGGAAAGTGAAATGGATGGTTATCTGAAAGAGATACTGTAACTTTCAGATGGTTATCTGAAAGAGATAACTTTGCACACTGTAACATATTATTGTGGAATCTAATTTTTTTTTAAAAAATAAGGTTTTTAATAATAATGTACTGATAAGAAGTGCTGAATTATATATATGATGCATCGAATTGAATGGGGTTTTGTGTTAATATGCAAAGAAGGTTGATTATGTCAGTTTAAAAATACTTCAAAAGGAACTATTGATTACATCTGTCATTATAAATTGCATCATTATTTGCTTATAGATACGTGAAAAGGTATATTAGTACTAGTAATAATAAATGAAAACTATTATGAAGCTATTCTCTACTTTTATTTATTTATCTATCAAATTTAGAGATCACCCATCTGACTCACTGAGCAACTCTGAACCTATTCTCTAAGAGAGTAGATACATGAAATTTAGCATTGATTCCTGCACCTAGCACTGGGACAGTGACACAGATTATAAATCTCACTTTCCATGTTCTTTTCAAAATCATATGTCATAAGACTTTTTTCCTCTCCCAGGCATTCCTGTGAAACCATCAGAATCTTCATTTGGGACCAAACCAGTTAGAACAAACCCTACAATGCTAAGTTCCCAGATAACGAATATATCAGAAACATTTTCTCAAATGCCTCTTACTCTGGTTATTGAAGAGACTGAGCCAACCTATATTAACTTATCCACTAAAATCACAACTGAACTAACAACTGCCAAAGATGCTTATTCAGCAATGGTATCTCATTCAAGCACGCATTTACCTGATTTGTTACCAGCTTCAGAATTCTTTCCTGAAGACAGCTACAACCAAACCACCACACCTGTGCTGCTCAGATCTCTGTCTCCAACAACTTTCCCAAGTACTTATGAAGCTCCAATGGTTAGTGTAAAAACAATATCCTATAATAAAACTCCTAATTTCTTTTCATCAAGTAACCCTGCATCTACTGCTGTACCATCAGTGACTGCTTTTTCTTTAATAACTAAGTCAACTACACCATTGGAAGTTGCAGTTCCTTCTTCGGTGGTAGCTAGAACTCTTCCAACTTCCACAATACTGACAGGTTTACCTTTAACACAAACATTTGCTGTAACTTCAGGAATCAGTTCTTACCTGTCTACACTTACAACAACTATGCCTCCAATTCCTGTATTTACTTCTAGATTTACTTCATTTGCATCAAGTCCTCCTTATAGTATTCCTCTTTCAGACCCAGTGACTATTCAACCAGATTTGAAATTGATAAATAAAACATTAACACCTGCTTCTCTATTGTCAAAAAAACCACATCTAACACCTTCTGAACATATTGCTTCCTTAACCACAAAATATTTTTCCACTGTTGCTGATGTAGTTAATAAAACAACTTCAGTTGCAACACAAAGTCCTCTTCCCATAAAATCTTCTTTTAGTCCCCAAATAACCCACACAACGTCAACATTAATCCCTCCTCCAATTACATCTCAAAGGCCCAAAGGAACTGGGGAAGTGACACTTATTTCAAAGAGCTTTTATTTACGGCCTTCCACAGTTTCTCTTCTAGCAGTTTCTCAGACTTCCAAATCATCAGAGACAAGTTCAGTTTCAGCAGAAAGTAAACATGTGTTGCAGACAGATTCATCTCCAGTTCCAACTGATTTTATAAGTTTGCCAGAGTTTGCTGGTACCAGGGTGTCAAGCAGCATTCCTATTAAGATTTCACAGGATGAAGCACAAATAACTGATGAACCATTTGATTCATATCCAGAATCAGAAATTACATCAACAGTTAAAAGTGTTGATTCTTTTGCTACTTCATCTTTAGAAACCTCTCTTAAAATGTTGACAACAAGAGCTTTTACTCCTCAGATTTCTGTTACAGCATCACATTCTGAAAGTTTATCAGCAGTTCCCACCACTTCTGCTGTAGTACCAACTAGCACTGATAGAAATATGCCTGCTATATTGCTAAATGACCATTTGAGCGTAACAAATTCATCTTTAATTACAAATATTTCCACTATACATACTATGTCTTCAGGTTTTTTGACCACTTTTGATGCATCAGCTGTGTCTTTGGGAACAAGAAGGCCTTCTTTGACTTCTTCATTGGATAGGAGAACTTTATCTTCCTTAACAGATGCTCAGTCTGCAGAACCAGCAATGGAATCAGCTTTGACTCTGGGCAAACTTTGGAATATTACATCAACCCTACAAGATATTACTGAAAAGTACTCAATCAGCTCCTCAGAAAATTTAGTTTCTTCTGCTGGCACAATAGCTCTTCACAAAATTGCTGAAGTTACTGAATTCTCTCCCATAAGTTTTGATTTTCACACAACTACTACTTCAATCCCTGTTCTTTCAGTCTCCCAAGCACCCATTGATGTTCCAAACATCACTGTCTTTACACCTAAACCGTGCAAAGACTCTTTACAAACGATGCCTTTAGAAATGGATAAAGTTTCAGACTGGGTCAAAACAGAAATAATACAGGCTTCAAAATTTCAAAATATAACAAGCACTTTGTATGCCTTAAAAGGTAATAAAACCTCAGAGGAAAACATTACAATGTATGCAAGGACTGAAAAGTCATCTCTACCACCTGTTCAGATGACTACTGATATGTCTGCTAGTCAAAGCAGCACAGCTTCAGTAAAACCAGTTTTTCTCTCTGAGATGACAGATATAACATTTGATTGGTCTAGGATTCCATCAACAAAATCTTACTACAGTGTGACTAAACCAGAGGAAGTAAGTATCATCAGCTCACAGAATTTCACAATAACAGATTTATCTCAAGTCACTGCAAAACTTGTGGAAACCCAATCCACAGAAACTGAAGTTGAAATGATGACAACAAAGACTGATGAACATGCTTCATTTGGCACAATAATACATACACTTGTATCTGTGACATCTTCAGAATGCATGGTAAAGATAGTTTTTTTCCTTTCTTTTTTATTTTACTTTTTACTTCTATATTTTTAAAATATCAAGTGATACCTGCTTTATTGGAGAGATTTCTAGTTTTTTCAGGCCCTGGAACCAGTTAATTAAAAAAAAACCCACCAGTGGTGGGATTCAAATATGTGAACAACTGGTTCTCTGTGTGGATGCTGCTTCTGGAAGTCCATTCTGGGCCTGGGCAAAAAAATTAGCTACCGATTCTGCCAAAGTGGTGGGAACTGGCTGAATTCCACCACTGAAAACAACCCCGGGACTCTTGATTAAGAGGGATGGGGCTTCCGAATATCAAATGACAAGCCCTGCCTTTTCACTGATTTAAATCCTCTCTGCAAGGTCACCTACTGGTTTGTGGTAAGGCTGGATTATAACTTAAAGTCTTTGGGTTTCCTGTCCAGTGCTTTAAAGCACTACACTAAACTGGCTCTCAATATATGTTTGCATATTTCTTAATTATAAAATGGTTCAATAGTAAATACATCCTGTATGATTATCCCTTAATAGCACATTTACCTTATAACTATTGTGACTAATAAAATTAGTGTTATTATAGTTAACCTTCACATGCCAACCATAAGGAACATATGTATTGTAATCCCAAAGATCTATATTTATAAGCCTACACATTTCTGAGGTTTTATGGTAAATGTTTATAAAACCAAAATCAGCAGCTCTTTTAAGTATAAAAATGTGATTATGCACCTATTGAAACCCTGAGTATTGCAGTCTAAATGTTTATAAAAACATTTAGACTGCAATAGTCAAAGTTTCAATAAGTACATAATCACATTTTTATACTTAAAAGAGCCTGCTGATTTTGGTACACAAAATATGTCATCATATGTCAATGACTCAATTTTTCCCCCCATCATGAAAAAGCCAAGATACCTTGATCCTGTAGACAAATGTAGCCAATACGTCTGCATTAACATGGAATGGATGCTGTACAATCTTTCAAAGAACTGCCATAAGAATGTGGAGAAACCTGACTGTGGTTTTCGAGGAATGCCAGTTCAGACCAACAGTGACAGCTGCTGTCCTGAATGGGAATGTCCTTGTAAGTCTTTGCATGGTATATTAGATTATATGTGAAACAGAGAATCCTAAACTTGCATTTTAAATATTACAGGAAAATTATGCCAAGAACATCCTAGAATGCCAATTTTATTTTATTATTTATTTATTTAATCTTACGGTTGAAGTGCCTCTGGGCGCATATACATTTACACCCTGTTTTAACTGCTTGTATAATTTTTATTTTTCATTTATTGAAATTTACTTTTTTCAGTATTGTCAGACAACTGGCTTGCTATATCCTTGCCCAACACATGAATTTTTCATTAGGAGAATAAAATATGAAAGTCTGAATTGAAATAACAAGTTATCTGATAAATGGCTGTATTTATACAGAATGACAAATCAGCTGTTTGATTTACCAGAGAACAAGCAGAATTCCAGTGTTTGCAGTCTGATCACTTCTGCTGATTGCCACCAACTGTAACTGTAACTAAGTCAGACCATTCATTCTCTGGTGACTGTTTTTTTGTGTTTAATGCATAGGTATTATTTTACTTACTTTATAAAGTACCCTTTTTATCAGTATGATGTATTGCAAACTGATTGTAGTATATGGCCTATTGAAATCATAGAGTACTTCTAAGCAAATATTGATAGTAGTATACCTGTATGATTTCTTAAGCAATTTTTATTATTATTACTAAATTCAATGTAATTGTAATTGATTCAGTGTATAATTCCAGATTGAAAGAGGCCTGAAATCTTAATACGATCTCATTTATTGTAATTTGTTCCTTAGGTCAGTGTTCTATCCTCTCTGAACTGAGTATCATTACATTTGATGGAAATAATGTTGCACTACATAAAGTAGCATCCTATATTTTAGTCAAGTTACCCACAGAAATTATTGTGGCTCATATTGAAAAATGCCCTGCTAATCAGGTAGGAACCTTACATAGTACCTTGCAATAATTAGTATTTCATATTTTAAAAACTAAAGATAGAAAATTTTTTTTTACAATGCTTTGAAAATGTTTTGGGTTTCTATATTTCCTATCATAAATGTCAAAAAGTATGTTTCACTTATATATTATACCTGAAATATATTATTAATGATTCTTGATAATTCCACATTAATAGAACAATTAGGAGAAGTGTATTATTGAGCAGACTGACCTAATAAGTTATAAATATTAACATCTAACGCTATTCATACCTTCTCAGAAAAAAAGTTTCTTTGAGTTTAGTGAGGGTTATTGTCAGGTATTGGATTAGATTCAGAATTCTTTTTATTGAGGATATAAATGTTCAGAACAAATGTGAAAGGACTAATGCAAATTATATATGTATACACATGAGGGTAGACTGCAATAACATTTACCATAGAACTGGAGTGATGTTGTGTTTATGTGACAATAAATCTGACTTATTTTTAAAATTATTTTTCAGAGTGCAAATTCAATAAGAAAACTAGTGAGTATTTTTAAAGTACAGCTGTTAATACATCTAGCATTATTTAAGGATTAGTAATCTGCTAATTGTTTTAGTTTCAGGACAGATTGTCCTTTCTTTTCAAGGTCCCAGCAGGAAGTGCTTCTGGTCTTTGTTTTAAGAAACTTAATGTAACAATACCACCTTATGCAGTACTTATTAACCGCTTAGCAAGAAAGGTGAGTTAAGCTTTTGCTAGACTGTAGAATCCTGCTGCAAAAATGTTGTTATGTAGGCAATCCAATTCTTTCACAGGCATAAACTAACTGGTCTTAATGAATAAGAGGCTACTATTAATAGAAAGCTTAACAACTGTGATTATCTTTGTAAGTATAACATATCAGCCATGTATATAAAGCAGATCTGAATTTTTAATTATTTAAGAATAATAGACCATTAAATATTAAAATAATTTACATTAAACTGCCTGACTAAATAGATGTCTTCTAAGTCTTCTAATTAAGCAAAGGAGCAGGCAAAGTACTCTATGAAAGTACTTTCTATAGCTTGGAAATGGTCCAAAGAGCAGGCTAAAGATCTTAAATTTATTTATTTATTAAATTTTACACTATCCATCTCACCCAATACTAAAGACATATTCATAACAAAAAAACAGTCCTTCAGATAATCAGCCCCTAAGATGTTTAGGACTTTAATAGTTTATACTATTAAATTTTAATTTGCGTCCAGAAAGCAACCTGGCAATTGGTTTACATCTTTCAGCCTCAGGTCTGAATAAATATCTTACATTGTATGTTATGACTGTTAATAACATTTGTCATGATTTTTAAAAAACCAATAATGCCTTTCAAAAAAAATACTCCCCAGATCAACATTTCATCTCTAGTATTTGCTTTTACAAAAAGAACATTATTTATTATTATTATTATTATTATTATTATTATTATCATTATTATTATTAGTTCCTTTGTTGTTGGCTGCTGTTGTTGGCTGTTGTGGCCTTAATCCCATTCAACTATTCTCAAAATACTAATACTGCAGAAAAGAATAATACAATCACAAGAGGATTTATAGGCAAATAAGGAATCACTAAGGATACCTTGTATTTACATTTCTCAACCCACAATGATGCTTCCTTGTCTTTTGTAGTTATAATGTTCCTTTCATAAGAGATGCTAAAAAAACAAGGCACACTCTAAGTTTTGTGTTGAAGACAGTTTTTCAGAAACATATCAATAGTATAATCAGTTTTGGGGTAGAATTAAATAACTACATATTTTGTAGTTAATACATAGCTATAAGGCCTTGAAGTACTTGCTAAAAATAATTCATTTTTGAAAAGATGAGATGAGATAAGGTAAGGTAAGGTAAGATAACCTTTATTGTCATTTTTTACAATGAGCACACTGGCCCACATTAAAAATGAAATTCTGTTGCCTGCTCTCAAAAGAAAATATTGTCACTTTTAAATATTGTGAGATTGTTTGAAGGTTTGGAGAGAATTCTTGTCTCAACAGTTTTCAAAAGCATAGCTTTGGAATGATTCTTTTGATTCCTGTAATTTTTCTGGATTATTTTAGGTAATTGTGAATTCTGTAATCCAACCTTTGCCTTTCTTGCAAGAGGGCATATGTATTCAGGACACTGGAGCAATGTATGTAATCAATACCCCAGCTGGAATCAATATTAAATGGGCTCATGTTACAGGCATTATGGACATCCAATATGGCTTTAACTCTAATGTATCTATAAAGACAGAAGGGCTTTGTGGTAAGAATATACATAATTTATTTTGTTATCCTTACTTTGAACTTTAAATTTTTAGGCCTAAATTCACTCACTAATGTCTTCTTTTCTAAGGTCTTACTTCTCTCTTCTCCCTTCCTTCCATGGCTGCCATTTATTTTATGTAAAATTATCACAGAATATTGTTCTAACTTATCCAGCTTCAATATTCATTGCTGAAATTAACAGAACAGGTAATGGGGAATTTGAGGGTAATTCTTTTTACTTTTTCAATTCTATGTTCTTTGCAAATGCTCTGAGTTTTAATTAATTGAATCTGGAATTTGTGCTATATTGTTTAATTTTTATGTTTCACTTCCTGAAATGTATTCTTCTAACACTCCTAGTACTGATTAAAAATTTTGAACATAATTATGATAAATCAGAATGTATGAAACTGTTAAAGACAACTTTTATGAGAATTAAGTCTCCACTACAGGTAGTTGTCGACTTACAACTATTTATTTAGTGACAAAGTTCAAAGTTACAACAACACTGAAAAAAAGTGACCTATGACCATTTTTCACACTTATGACTGTTGCAGCATCCCTGGGGACACGTGATCAAAATTCAGATGCTTGGTAACTGTCATATATTTATGAAGTTGCAATGTACCGGTGTCAAATGATCACATTTTACAACCTTCTGACAAGCAAAGTCAATGGGGAAGCCAGATTCACTTAACAACTGCAGTGATTCAGTTAACAACTGTGATAAGAAAGGCATAACATAGGGGCAAACCCATTTAACAACTATCTTGCATAGCAACAGAAATTTTGGACTCAATTATGGTCATAAGTCGAGGATTACCTGTACCTGATATACTCTGGTTCTTTTTTAAAGTGAAAGATAGGCAGATGGGTGCAGGAAATAATCTAAATAAAAATGCATTCTTAAACTGATTATACCTTACTTTAGTAGTTTTTCTAGTTTTTAACCAACTGATGAGAAAATTTAAATTTGTTTTCTTCTCTTAGAATTGTAATGCTGTTTCAATCATTTCATATATTTTAAATATGTTTATTTTAAGGTGTCTGCAATGGTGATCCTTCTGATGACTTGAAAATGCAAAATAGAACAATAATTACAAATATGGAAGAAGTTGAGATTTTTATTAAAAGTTGGGAAATTGATAAATCTTTTGATGTAACAACAAGAAGACCCGTTAGAAACTGCACAGAGGATAATTGTACATATTGCATGGAACTCTTGCAGAAGTGGGTTTTTGCCCCTTGTCACAAAAAAGTGAGTGTGAAGTAATTACAAGTACCGAAAAGATCAGACTCAAATTTGGGGAGATTAGGGTAGAGTTGTAAGATATGGGAAGATAAGGCTGGGAGGTGGAGATTTTGACTGTTTTTAAAACTGTGATATACATATATATCTATTTAGACTCCCCTCCCCCCAACTCGAAGGAAACAGATTCCTTCTCATCTGTTTTTCAAAGGATTAAAAATGTCTTTGGCTCAACAGTCTTTAGGCTAAATCTTCACATTCTCAATGGGGCCCTTGAAAATCACCATCCAGGAAATTTTACCTACTTAATAATAATAATAATAGTAGTAAAGTTGGAAGGGACCTTGGAGGTCATCTAGTCCAACCCCCTGCTCGGGCAGGAAACCCTACACCATTTCGGACAAGTGGCTGTCCAGTCACTTATCTGGCTCCAGAATGAGTGCAGTTGATTAAATAACTATCTCCATAATTTAATAATTAAATAACTATCTCCATAATTTTTTGCACCAGAATTTGAGGATGCAGAGAAGGAGCTGTACAAAGGAAGTAGAATTAAACTTCCTTTTTTCTACCAATAAACCAGTTTCCATATGTAAAAATGGATCACTGGGCCTTAAATAAATATGACTTTCAAAATGGGGAAAAATGAATGAAAAAACAAAAATCATTTGGAGAATGATTTTTTTTAGATATAGGAATTATATTAATAATATTAATTTCATCAACTTTGATTAAACAGCTATATTACACAAGTGATTGTGGTTTTGGTTATACAAAAGTTGTTAATGTGAAACTCATGATTGTTTTTCTCCAATTTATCCAGATTATTGATTTATCAAATATATTTGATTTAGGTCTCACCACAAGATTTTTGTGAAAAAATGTGGGTTAACAATACCTATTTTGAGAATTATGAATGTGATGCACTTTCTGCATATGTAGCACTATGCAACAAGCATAATATCTGCATTAAGTGGAGGACACCAGATTACTGTTGTAAGTTTGATAGAATCATTCCTGATCACTTGATTTTTACTTGCTTTTATTTTGAGTTTTTAGTTTGCTAGACATTGATGATACACAGAAGGCTAGATTTAGAAAGGAATGATTCAGAATTATATTTTCCTTAGCACTCCACTCAATAATATTCTAGATACTGTAGGTTAATATTGATGGTCATTAGCTAAATGCTAATATAGGTAGCAATTTATGATCATATTTGAGCCTGGAACACGGGAGGTGGGGGTGGAGAAGCAACTGATTGTAAGTTTAGGATTACCTGTATGTTATGATAAACTGTAAATAATCGAATGACTCATACTATCTATGTACATGATGAATTCATAGATTGTTTTCATCATTCTACTTCCCAGATTTAGAATAGGTATGTACACTGTTGTAAAATGCTTTTTATGTAGGATTACCAAATATATGAACAGGCAAAGGAAGACATTGACAATTAGAAAGGAGGACATATGGGGAGGGGACTGGAAGAAGGACACTCTGTTTACGACAAAAAATAAAGTAAAAAACTGCAAAATAATATAATTAGAAATATATGTACATAAAATTACTTCTTTTAAGATCAGAAAAACTGGTTTTTTATTTACAATTTTTTTTAAAAAAACCCTTTATTTCAGAACATATGCTAGCAATAATCTAGAATTGACATCGAGGCACTTTTGAAATTTCACAATTGTATGACCAGTCATGGGATCTACAGACTACAAATTAATCTTTGAAGAAAAATTGAAAAACTAATTAGTTATAATCAGATCTATGAGTTACTATTTCTTCTCCATCACTTCAATATGTAACGCTAAATATGCAAGAGAAAAAACTATATGCTGACCACTTTGAACAAGGATCAATTAAAATTATATTCAGACAAGGATTTTGATGGAAATGGGCCTATATTCCTAATCATGCAAAACTGTTTTTAAATTTAGGATCTATTACTTGTATTCTTTGTTTTTTATGTTTTGATGACAAGGAAGCCAATTTACAAATTGTACAAACTGAAACATGTAGCTAAAACTGGTTATTTAGATAAATTCATGAGAAATGTTTCCTCTTGCCACCTTCTTTCTTCTCTTTTCCAATGAATGTTAAAAAAATCGCAGTAATATTTATCTTCCTCCACATGTAGGGCTTGCTTGTCCTTATGGGAAGGAATATCAACCTTGTGTGCAACCCTGTGATGCTAAAACATGCCTAAATAAATGGTTTTATGAAAAATCATCATGTTCCTATTTAAGAGAAGACTGTGTTTGTAAAAAGGGGACCATTCTTCATAGAACAGACTCTGACCTTTGCATTCCAGAAGAAAAATGTGGTTAGTAAACTTATTAATATGCTGGCATATTTTTCCTATTAGATTCTAGTATTCTTGCTTTCTGGTGAGTCAGAGGTATGCTTTTTATTTTTATCTTGTCTTTTTCCAAATAATATAAAATCAATAAACAGTCCAATGTAACTCCGGAATTTATATTCCAAAATTGGTACAGCTAGGAAGTTGATATTTTTTTACAGAATTTTTACTGTAAATAATCATAACTTCATAAATCCCACTAAATTCATTTAAATCTCATTTACCTTCAATTATTTTGGAACTTCCAACTATTTTGGAATTTGGAAGAACTTTATGAGCATTATGAGGTGCCAGTTTGCTCATAAAAATCCTTCAGAATATGTTAATTTTGAAGTGATAGATTTATAATATCTGAGGCTCAAGGTAAAACAAATAAAGTAAAACAAAGGAGACCAATATGATTATTTTATTGACAATAAAAGTTTTTACCACTTGCAGTATTGAATTAAGCCAGGCCTGTATTTTAATGTTTAAACATTAAACATTAAAATGTAGATACATTTATCTACAGAATAAATGTAGATAATCCTTCTGGATCTGTGTAGCATAATTGCAGTCATATGAGCCTGAGGTCAAAACTACATAGCAAGAGGCATTAATTATAGTTTTGCAAAAGTGAAAATGTCGTAGGTGCAATATACACCTAAGTAACAAATTCTTGTAATATTTCCTTTCCCTCATTGAGAGTGTCAGCATTTATTTTGCTCCAGTTTCTTACAGACATCAGAGGTTATTTAACTTCCAGATGCTGGTGACAGGTATAGTTTATATCAAAATGTAAACAGAGTATTTTTTGGGATGTCATTAAAAAATGTTTTTTACTTTTTTTAATAGTCTGTACAGATAATGGGGGGCATCCTCACTCTGTTGGGGAGGTTTGGATTGGCTCCAATAAAGGATGTTGCATATATAAGTGCATGGAGAATGGGAGCATTATTGATACAGAGCCTGAATGTGATAAGCAGCCATCTCCAATGTGTGACAGAGAGACTGAAGTGATTGTCAGTGTAACTGAAGAACAAACTTGCTGTCCAAAAAATATCTGTGGTATGTAATATTTAGGATAGGCATGATATTCAGTTGACAGGAAAGAATCTGTGTGTAGTATAAAGAAATCAAAAATATTTGGCACATTTGTTTATTTATTTATATCCTGCCTTTATTATTTTTATAAATAACTCAGGGAGGCAACATATCAACAAACCCTCCTTCTATTTTCCCCACAACAGCTCTGTGAAGTGGGTTGGGCTGAGAGAGAATGGTTGACCCAAAGTCAACCAACTGGTTTTAATGCCTAAAGCGGTACTTGAATCTACCGTCTCCCATTTTCTAACCTGGTGCCTTAATCACTAGACCAAACTGGCTCATAGCTAATGTATAGTGAAAAAATAATCTATCATTGCAAATGTCAACATTTAAGTTCTTTTAAAAATCTATTCACCATATTTCATTTCTGTGATCTATTATGGGCACAGCTCATGAAAAATCTTCCTCTTCTAAATTGTGGAAGAAATATTTAGTTGTTCATTTCTCATGAAGTGGGAGATGGCATTCAGGCTTATAGACATCTTTAATTATGTTCAATTAGAAGGTCAATTAAGACATGTGCACTCCAAAACCACTTTGGAAGTTGAAAAGGGGTTTTTGCAAACATTCTCAATTATCTCTTAGAAGTAAAAAAACAACAACACTAGGTAGGATACCAGAGATACCCAAATGGTAATCCAATTGTGCGCTGAGCTAAACCCAGTGACTTGAATAATTCTCTATGTAATTTCAAGCTTCTCTGCTTTTAGTTTAATGCATACATTAAGATAATGGTACATTAATATAAGAAGCCGAATAGCTTTAGAAACAATTTTTTGTTACCACAAGTTGTTTTTTTTCTTTTAATATACTCTCTATATTTAATATAACATTAAGTATCAGTAATCTTAAAATGCTTTCTTTGGAAAAAGAGCAGTTAGTCCATATTCACATTAACTTGTTTATTAATCAGAACTGCTGGAACAGACAATAAATGTTATCCTTATCATCTTCCCATGAAAAGGTTAGGTAGATTGATTTGATTCAGGATTCTATTTTTTGTTTTAGAATGCAACATGACTCTATGCAGCCCTATTATCCCAGTATGCAGAAGTACTGAGAAGCTGACAGTCAGATACACTCCTGTCTCCTGCTGTCCTCAATATCAGTGTGGTAAGTGATAGGATGGATAATGAAACTGAGAAAAGATTATTCATTTAGAGGCGTATAACTTCTAAACTCTTAAAACAGCGAGTCATTGGTTGTATTTTACTAGATAACCTGCTTTGTTTTGCTTTGTTTTTTTTTTTAATTCAGAATGTGATATGTCAGCATGTCCCAATGTTACTCGTCCAGAATGCCGAGAAGATCAGTTTATTGTGGAAGTAAAATTGGATGATACTTGTTGTTTATCCTATTTGTGTGGTAAGTAACATTTCTTATTTTAAAAATCTTGGGTAAATTGAGGATTTAAATATCTAAGATACTGTATGTATGGATTTAGCAGTGACTTTTTAAATTTAGTTACAAAACCACCCATTTTAATGGAAGAATTTGGGTGCTGAAAACTTTTCTTATTGCATAGTAGCTATGTATATTTTGTTTGTGATTGCAGCAAAGAAGGAGATAGGAGTTAATTGTTAATACCATGGTCTCAATATGTACTGTTCTCCTTCCTTCACAATGACATTTAATAAAGAAAGGAGAGAAAAACCTACAGGACTCATTATATGCTTAATAAAATGAACTATTCTATGTAACATTAATAATTGATTTTATTATGAATTACTTAAATATATTAAAATGTTAATATTATGTTATTTGGCTTTGATAAGCTTTATTTTTCATTATTATAATTTCTTCTTGTATTGTAACTTTCATTGGTATTGGTTGGTATAATGTAATTTAATTGCTATGGATATTCTTGTGATCTAAACACCTATGTGCATTGCTTGAGTGGAATATAAGTAAAATATATACATATAAGCATACATGCATACATACTTACTTGCATGCCTACTGTACATACATATTTAACATAATTTGACCATAAGCTAACTATTGTGAAATGTGGAAAGAATATATTCCCGTTTAAATTGAGTTTAGTGCTTGCTTCTTTTGCTACATGCTTATGAACTACAAAAATAGTTTCTCATTCCATCCATCCATCCATCTATCCATCCATCCATGCATCATTTATTTTTCTATCTTCTTGTTATTCCTTTATTTTTCACATCATGCAATAACTGGGCTCAACCTTCTTAGCTTTCAAGCCTGAATGAGATCATATATCTCATATATTCAGTAGAAATATACATAGAAGTCCTGATGTATTATATGACATCTATCTACATATATCATGTATTCCCTGTGCCTCCTATTGACATATTATGGTGCCATCATATTTGCAGTGCAAAATAGGACATTATTTTCCTATAAAGTTTTGCATAGCTTGGCATACATACTTATTTTGGCTATTCATTCATTCATTCATTCATTCATTCATTCATTCATTCATTCATTTCACTCTTGCATTTTTGCAAGCTATTAATATTCACTGATTCAAAACATGGTTACAATTTCTCTTGAATATGCCAGCATATTAATCTAAATATACTGTAAAACTGGCTCATAACTAACGTATATATGGATGTGTGTGTTTGTGTGGATATTTATTTATATATATTACAATATATATATTACATGGTGTTTATGTTTCTCTTGAAGTTTGTGAATCTTGCATTGAACCTGTTCCAGAATGTAATGAAGAAGAACTTCTTGCAGTAGATCTTAGTACTGCACAGTACTGTTGTCCTCATTATCACTGTGGTAAGTTTTGTTTTGGATTACATATCTTGGAATGATTACTACTTGTTTTATTGAGATTTTTCTTTGTATTCAGTCATAAAATTATACTTATGCTTGTAATAAACACAGTATTGTTATAATGCAGCTTCCATAGAGGTAGAGTCAATTATTATCTTACTGCTATTCTAAAAATTCAGGAAAATAATCAGGCAAAAATGTATTTAGCTATGTACAGCTATTCAAAATCTAAGCATGTACCAGTATAATCTAAATGAGTAGTTCTTTATCTCAAGGGTTACCAGTGGCAGAAAGAACAAAAACAACATTCAGCTGTACATAGTTACAGTTTTACTTTAGATTTTTTAAATTTATTCCTGATATCTAGATTTTACCTGGTGCCTACCTTAGTCATTCAATGGAAAATATCTGATACCAAAAAACTGATGAAGACTTATGTATTCACATGTATTCACTTGGAGTGATGCTTTGGGCTTTGTTTTACAAGCAACTGTTTTCTATACTTTATAGTTAACAGATTTGAGAACACCATCAGATCATGAGTAAAGTTGTCTCTTTATCTAAAATAGTTTGTGATATGAAATGTGTTTTGCTATTGAAACCATAAAATTATTATTGATTACTTGAACCTAAAATAATTATTCATTTCTAAACCATTAATTTAAGGTGATAGGTAGAAATAATAATATTACAGAAATAGTAGAATAGTAGAAATAATCAAGTAGCAGAGAAAAGTTTTATATATTTCTTTCTTTCTAGTGATATTTTGTGGCAATAATCTTTTAAAGACATAATTTCTTTTTTTAAAAAATTTTATTTATTCTTTTTTCACTATACAGCAACAACAAAAATGAAAAAATACATTTTTTTCCTTTAACAGAACTGTGTTATACATTAAAGACATAATTTCTATTTCTCTAGTATGTGAAGAGAATCTATGTCCTTCACCTCTTCTGAATTGCTCTACTGATATGCAACTGATTAAAAAAACAGTACCTGGACAGTGTTGCCCAGACTGGAATTGTGGTATCTATAATTTGCTTTTTTACCAATTATATAAATTAATGAAATACAACTTCTATTCCCATGGATGTGGTCATAGTGAATCCTTCTGTCTTATTTTCTTCAGAATGTGATTGTGAGAACAGTACTGTACCAAGCTGTAAATTGGTAAGAAATGTTTAATTTTATAATAATTTTGAAATTCTTATTTTTCTTTCATTTTATGACAGCAATCATAAGTTTGCTAATCATGTAAAATAAATAAAATTGTGTCAGTGTATGAAACAAAAATATCTTGACACAACTGAGATATACTGTGCAATGAATTCTGATAAAATCAGAACTAATAATATAGAATTATGTTTAGCAGAACTTTGGTAAACACTGACACTTGTAAAATAAGCTTTCAGAAATCATTCTGTAACCAACCCATGTCAAAGCAGTGTTAAAATGAGAATGTCTGTAAAAAAGCAACCAAAATAAGTGCCAAATTGGATAATGGCAAATACATACATAGACAATAGATTAGACAGACAGACAGACACACAGACAGACAGATAGATAGATAGATGATAGTGTATGGCATATTATTCTATAGAATACTATTACTAATTCATTTATAGTAATGCAATGTTTGTCTATTATATTCTCCTTTTATATCAGGAGCATAGCAATTTATGATAGAAACTTCTTTGTATCTATGTTATTCAAGTTATATTTTTATTTTTTATTTTTGGGGAGCCTTCAATTCAGTCTTTTGACTTTTGGCAATTACTAGATAAATTCATGCAGTTTTCTTGTCAATATTTTCAGAAATGGCTTGTCTTTGTTTTCTTCCCAAAATTACCTCATTGGCTTTGTATCTAAGGCAAGACTAAAGACAATTTCTTCATTTTAGTCCAACACCATAACTATTACAGCAGATCGGATATTAGTCATGTTAATACCAATATGAAAAACAATGGACTTGATAAATATTAGCTGTAGTTTTTACAAGCTGTAATTATGTTGTTAGCTATTGTGCTTGTTGGACAAATCTAAACCTATTATTAGACAATAAATGTTGAGGCTATCTTAAAATGGCAACATTATTTGTTACATTTATAAAGAATTATTGTACTAAGTCATTCTACTACCCATATTGCTCAATATTTAGTATGTAGACACAATCTGTCTTTCCACCGCATATAATAGAACAGTGGTTCTCAACCTTTTTAATGTCGCGACCCCAACTGGTCATAAGTCGAGGACTATCCAACCAGTTGTAAGTCAAGGACTTTCCCTGCCTGGGAGCACCGCGCATACGTGGTGCTGCCCCCTGTGCCAGCCGAGGCGTAGCTGACAAGCGGCAGAGACGGCGCAGGCCAACCACCGGCTAGGCCACCAGCTGGCTCAGCCCAAGGGAGATAAGGCACCCACCGGGCCCCACACGCACCAGCAACCCTCCCTGTGCCCACCAGCCTCCCACCCCTGGCCCTCTTTTACTTACATTTTTAGTAGTTGCTCAGCAGGGAGGGGTGGAAACTTCTATTGGCTTTCAAAAGCCAATAGAATAAAAGGAAGCAGCACAGCTAAGGAAAAGGGGAAAAAATGGCGGACTGCATTGTTTGGCGACCCCCATGAAATGGTCGTTCGACCCCAAATGGGGTCCCGACCCACAGGTTGAGAACCGCTGTAATAGAATGTCTTGGGGCTATCTAGCACCTACAAAAAACATTCACAGTATTGATCAATCAACCAATTGGCCTTTTAAATAGCTACAGATTTGTGACACACATAAAAAATAGTCAGATATTTGATCACACACTCTTGATTGCCATCATTTTTTTTTACTACGTTTTGTGGACTCCCTGCAGTTACACATGTTTAGTTGCCTTCCCTGAATATGCAGCTGTAACAAGATTGAAAAGCAACAGCAGCTCCCATTTGACTTTCTCATTTCTGGTGAATAACATTGGGTTTTGTAGAAAAAAACTAACAATTATAACAATAACAGGGAGGAGATGGACCTAGTGCTCTTAATATGAGCATATGGCCTAATGGTTCCTCCAAACATGCATTCAAATGTGCAACAATATTTTGCTGCTAAAATGCATTTGCTAATTTTCATATAGTTATTCACTTTCTTATAAATGAAAGTACATGTATGTGTGCAGTTGAACAAATGTATCATTGAAATATTTCATAGGGTGAAGTTTGGAAAATAAGTGCTAATACTTCTACTACATGTGGATGTCCACAATACATTTGTGGTATGTATGAATGCCTATGAGCATTCTTTTCAATAACTTTTTTTAATATTTAGTTTTTAGTACCATAGTTCTTAAGACAAGCCTTATACACTTTATGTGCTTACAATTTTCAGTAATTTTATAGTTTAAAATAAAAAAGGGAGAGATTCTGTTAGAACAGAAATATTCACATGAACTAGCATTCTGCTTTCTGTTCTTTAGTAGTGTTTAATTTATTAAGGGAATGATAACACACAGATTGCTAAATATATTATGTTATTTATATTCCATTAAGACCTAGGCCACAGGTCGGCAACCTGCGGCTCCGGAGCCGCATGCGGCTCTTTGAGCCTTCCCCTGTGGCTCCCAGCCTCCTCTGCCTTTGCAGAGAGAGACAGAGACAGAGAGAGGCAATTGCGCGTCCCTGCTTCTCTCTCTCTCTCTCTCTGTGTGTATGTTTGTGTGTGTGTGTTTGTGTTTTTGTGTGTATGTCTGTGTGTATGTGTAAAAGAGAATGCACTCACAGTGTTCTCCGAGGAGCTGAAAAGCTTACTGGGCGGAGCTCCTCCCTTTGCTGCATCTCTGCAGGAAGCAGGAAGCAGGAAGGACAGGAGAGAGCTAGCTAGCCCAGCTAGGCTGACTCAGGAATTCTGGGAGTTGAAGTCCATGAGTCATAAAAGAGACGAGGTTGCCTACCCCTGAGCTTGTTGGACAACAGCTTGAAGCTTGCCAGGTGAGCAGCAGACAGGAGGTGGGGGAGAAAGAGAGAGAGAGAAAGAGAGAGAGAGGGAGGGGGAGAGAGAGAGAGGAAAGAGAGAGAGAGAGAAAGAAAGAAAGAAAGAAAGAAAGAGAGCGGGGGAAGAGGAGTGGCAGACCAAGGGCAGATAGAGAGGGAGGGAGAGAGAGAGACAGAGAGAGAGAGAGAGAGAGACCCTTTTGACATCTAAAATGAAGATAACACTGCATATATCCTTTTTTTACCTGTGTGTGTATGTGTATGTGTGTGTATATACATATATACATACATACATGTATACATACATATACATACACATATATACATATACATATATATACACACACACATACATACACACACAAACACACACACACACAAACACACACACCTATAATAAAGATAAAAAAAGATATATGCAGTGTTATCTTCATTTTAGATATCAAAAGGGTTTTGCGGCTCCCAGTGTTTTGTTTTTGGTGGGAAACGGGTCCAAGTGGCTCTTTAAGTGTTTTGGGTTACCTACCCCTGACCTAGGGGTAGGTAATATTTAAATATTATTAATAATATTTAAATATTATTAAATTCCCTTTTATCCTAAAATATATGGGCAGTATGCAATGAAAAGAAAAAATGCAATTAATACAATTAATACTAATGCTAAGCTCTAAGCATCAACCATTGAAATTTGCAAATAAATCATAGTTGACCACCAAATGTTTCTTATTGTGTGAAAAAAATAAAATTGATACTAAATAGTACTCTTGTTTTGCATATTCTGTTTCCTTCCTTCCTTCCTTCCTTCCTTCCTTCCTCCCTCCCTCTCTCTCTCCCTCCCTAGAAAAAAGAAATGTCTGTATATTCCAAGAAGTCACTGTTCTGAACCCAGGTCAGATATTGATTCAATATTTGGATGGAGAACTTTGTTATACAGCAAAGTGTTCACAAGAAAGGGACCCTAACACAGGATTTCACACGATGAATCTGGCAGTAGTTAATTGTTCCCAAAAATGTGAAGCAGTAAGTAAAAATAAGCAAACAAAGTCATTTCTGGACATAATTGATATAGCATCATTTAAAATCTATTTAAAATGATGAGCAATCTTAAACTGTGTTCAGAAAAAAAGTAATTATTATTTAGAGAATTTTAAAATAAGGAATTGGATTAAATGGTTCCCTTATTCCAGTGGAATCTCTCCACATCAAAACCAGTTTTGCATCCAAAGTCAGTGACTAAAGTGAAATCTATTTCCCAGGAATGGGGAAATTTGTAAATAATTTATAAGCAATAGATATTTTAAAACAGATGCTGGTGAAATGTATGAATTATGTGCCTATCTATGCAGTGATCCTGTTATTTTTCCAGAGAAGAAACAGGCAATTTATTTCTTTTACGTTATAGTCACAGAGCTTCTCAATCCATGGTCCTTCTATATGTCATATTTTCCTAGTCTTCTTTTATAATTATGATTTTGGCTTTTGTGTGGTAGGTAAACTGCACACTTTGGATTCACTGTCTGAACTTTTAAAGTGGCCCCATATCTCTTTTTGTGGTATTTTGGGATTGTGCATGCATAGAAAAAAATATCCTACTTTTTCACTGAAGACTGAAATAAAATAGCTTCCACAAGACTCAACTTACTATATTCACAGGCATTTTACAAAACATAGTCCTAGTGTGAACACATATCTGACCTACTCTAGTCAGGGGAACATCTTACAAAGCTGTGGGACTTGTTTCATAATATTCTGCCTTATCTTTGCCCTGGGACAGGGAAAGGAATTTGCAGACAGAAATTGAAAGTTTACTTTCATTTTCTCTCCAAGAACATAAAGTTAATTTGTCAGGCAATGTTTAATTCAAACTATACCTTTTTATAATTTTATAGCACAACCTTTTCATTTTTTTTTAAAAAATCACTCTCTCACATCACATACAATTTTTTTCTTTAAGAAAAGCTTGGTAATCCTCATTATGTTATTTCTTCACTAATAGTTGGATGCAAACCTGCACATTGTAGAGGGAAACATTTTTTCATATTTAATAGGGTAGAAAGAAAGTCTTATTAAATAATGTTGAATGTCCTTAACTGTATTTTTTTAAAATATAGCTATAATTGCATGTAATTTCTGCCCTTGTTCTGTTGCTTCCACTTTTAAGAATAACATTCCCAACATATCCAAGCTCTGAGATGAAACTAGATTGTGTACACCTGCTATGTACAATGTTGAGCAATGTAGATTAATGCTTTTTATTTGGTATATATTGCTTTAAAGAAAAAAAAAATGCTATTAAAACTAACTCTTGATTGGCATTGTCAAATCTAAGCTTATATCTCATCAACAGCAAAGATATAGGTATAGTTAACAAAGAAAATCATATTGTTAACATACTGATACATACTGCATATAGCAACTAAATATGTTGTTGTTGTTGTTGTTAATTGCGAAGTCGTGTCCGACCCATCGCGACCCCATGGACAATGGTCCTCCAGGTCTTCCTGTCCTCTACCATCTTCTGGAGTCCATTTCAGTGACTCCATCCAGCCATCTCATTCTCTGTCGTCCCCTTCTTCTTTTGCCCTCAATCTTTCCTAGCATTAGGCCCTTTTCCAGTGAGTCCTTCCTTCTCATTAGGTGGCCAAAGTATTTGAGTTTCAACTTCAGGATCTGGCCTTCTAAAGAGCAGTCGGGGTTGATCTCTTCTAGGACTGACCGGTTTGAACGCCTTGCAGTCCAAGGGACTCGCAGGATTCTTCTCCAGCACCATAGTTCAAAGGCCTCAATTCTTTGGCGCTCAGCCTTTCTTATGGTCCAACTTTCACAGCCATACATTGCAACTGGGAAAACCATAGCCTTGACTATACGTACTTTTGTTGGCAGGGTGATGTTTCTGCTTTTTAGTATGCTGTCTAGATTTGCCATAGCTTTTCTCCCCAGGAGCAAGTGTCTTTTAATTTCTTGGCTGCAGTCCCCATCTGTGGTGATCTTGGAGCCCAGGAAGATAAAATCTGTCACTACCTCCATTTCTTCCCCATCTATTTGCCAGGAATTGAGAGGGCCGGATGCCATGATTTTGGTTTTCTTAATGTTGAGTTTCAAGCCAACTTTTGCACTCTCCTTCTTCAGCCGCATCAAGAGGCTCTTTAGTTCCTCTTCACTTTCTGCCATTAGAGTGGTATCATCTGCATATCTTAGGTTGTTGATATTTCTCCCGGCAATCTTAATTCCAACTTTTGATTCATCTAGCTCTGCTGTCCATGGGGTTTTCATGGCAAAGATACTGGAGTGGTTTGCCATTTCCTTCTCCAGTGGATCACATTTTGTCAGAACTCTCTGCTATGACCTGTCCGTCTTGGGTGGCCCTGCACGGCATAGCTTATAGCTTCATTGAGTTATGCAAGCCCCTTCGCCACGACAAGGCAGTAATCCATAAAGGGGAACTAAATATAGTTTTAGCATTTAATTGCTATACATATTTTGATACAATCCATATGGGCATTCTTTCTTTTAACAGCATCAAGTACACAAACCATCTGATGGTCAACATTCTTGTTGTGGTTCCTGCATAAATGTCTCATGTCCTTTTTATACTGACAATGGAACTCTTGAGATTTATGAAGTAAGTGGGTTAAAAAGTGGTTCAGATAACAATAATGAATAAGGATTCTAATTAAGTCAAGTACTAAATTCTACAATTTTCTCATATGATAACTTTTGATTTAAACTTTTCTTGATTGGAGATCATATTAAACACTGAATATGATTAACTAAATGAGCTAACTATATAATGACACCAGGAATATTGGTGTTAGCTTGACATTAGTAAATGAATTCTGTTTAAGTGAGCAGACATTTAACCAAAGTTACCTGCATTTGTATGGACACCATACTCAATCAGATTTTCTATTTAGCTCAGCAAACTAAATTACATGTGAGTTCTATTTCTGATATTAAGCAAAAAAGAATAGTTGTTTTCTGCTGAAGTTGCCCTTCTTGTAAATGCTTCCTGTGAAAAATAGTTTATCATATTACTTCTTTTTTTTCTTCTGTTCAATCTTGCTTGACGCTTGGATACTTGCTGGCAAGTCCCTGCAGTTTTCTTGGCAAGGATTTTTAGAAATGGTTTGCCATTGCCTCCTTCCTAGGATGGAGAGAAAATGATCGGCCTAAAGTCACCCAGCTGGCTTTGGGCCTAAGGCAGGATTGAACTCAAGGTCTCCTGGTTTCTAGACTAATACCTTAATCACTACACCAAACTGGCTCCTATTACTGGATTAAGCCATTGTTATGATGTTCTCAGTAAACATTGACTGTTCAACAGATTTTATTATTCATTAAACTAAAATTACAGTACTACCCAGCTATGGTCATACCTGAGGCCATTAAGGTTTGGAAAGTTGTCTTAACATATGACTCAATCATTATTTTTGCTATGTTATAGCTAGTTTCCCCTTTCCTTCCTTTTCCCCACTCCATATCTTTTATTTAATAGGAAGGAAGCACATGGGACTCAAACTGCATTAAATATGAATGTGCAAAGATTGGTGTGGAGACAGTGGTACTTGGCTCCAGTGTGTTTTGCCCACCCTTTAATGAGACTGAATGTGTAAAGGTTTGTACTTTATACATAAAAATATTCCTTATTCACATATGTTTAATTTATTGGGAACTTAGTATCAAGTGTGTTTAATATTATAAAAATATATAAAACTGCTTTTACTGTCTTAATTTTTTCCTCCAAATTATACCTGCATACAGATAATACTTTGAAATCTAGTATTCTTTCCGATTAACCCATATTACCTCCAAAGGGATATATATGAGAGCTTCAGGGATTAAACTTGATTCTGTCTTCCCTTTTTCATAATCATTTTAGCAATGTACTGTCTAGTCTTTGATTCTGACATATATTTCTCACATATATTTCTCCAAACGCCTACACATTGTCTGACATTTATAGAAAATATATTGTTGACTTTGTGTCTCACAATGTTATGCTATAGATATATAAAGATATAGATCTCATAAAATTCATTGGAATTTACTCTGAATCAGCAAAAGTGTTGCAGTCCCTGTCCTTAAAAACAAATGCAATTGATCAGATTCATAAGATAAATATGACTGCAACCTTAGATATGGTAGCTAAATAGTACTTCTGAATGCAGATTATTAGAGAAAACTAGGTTTGCCCATGAAATTGCTGTTTAGAAGTTTGCACTCATTTAAACTACCAACTCTGTAAACTATCATCTAGCAAATTTATATATCTTGCAATTAATCAGAGTACTATGTACTTTACCTTAATTCAGTCTTGCATTTGCTGAGTTGCTTTCAGATTATGCTAGGTCAGTCATTTGTATAAGATAAGATAACCTTTATTGTCATTTTTTTACTGTGGGCACAATGGCACACATCAAAAATGAAATTTAGTTGCCCGCTCTCAAAGTGAAATACATACATGACACACACCTTGTATAGTGCAAATAATGCTGTTGCATTAATTAAATTGTAATTATAATGCAAATCTCATCCACAAATAAAAAAAATGAAATTTTAATATAAAAACTGATCCAAAATTATTTTATAATCAATTGATTCAGTTTTTGTATTGTTTTGATTTGTTTGATTTAATGAAAAATGCTGCCAATTCTTCTTCAAAAGTAAAGGTATAGTGGAGAAGAATCAACTCAATCCTATTGTCATGTGTCTGATTAACGAAACACTTCAAAGAACTTTCAGGCATTTTTTTAGCCTAAAAAGCCTTTATTAGTATTACAGAGATATCAGCACAGCATGGTGGAATTGCTAAGATCTGAATTTCCCTTCCTTTGCACATAACATTCCAGGCATTTCCCCTCCCCTATTTTGGGGTCATGAGTCACATCTTCCAATTAACTTGGAGGGCAAAGATTCATTTCTGTTTCTTTTCCCCGGGGCTTTCCTTATATTCTCCTCCCCTTTCACTGCAACTGCATATATTGTCAAAGAAAGAATATTCAATATTAGCAGCGTTGACACCTATGTTACATAGTTTTAATGAGTTCTAAATAAATGTATTGAGGCAATACAGGCAGTCCTCTTACGATCACAATTGAGCCCAAAATTTCTGTTGTTAAGTGAGAAATTTAAGTGAATTTTGCCCCATTTTATGACCTTTCTTGCCACAGTTGTTAAGTGAATCACTGCAGTTGATAAATTAGTAACCTGGTTGTTAAGTGAGTCTGGCTTCCCCATTGACTTTGCTCGCCAGAAGGTCGCAAAAGGTGATCACATGACCTTGGGACACAGCAAAGGTCACACATATGAACCAGTTGCCAAGTATCTGAATTTTGATCACATTATCATGGGGATGCTGGAAAGTTATAACTGTGAGAAATGGTCATGTCACTTTTTTCCGTGCCGCTGTAACTTTGAACGGCCACTAAATGAACTGTTGTAAATTGAAGACTACCTGTATTTGAGAGGCTTCAAAGTAGGTTGTTATGTATAGTGGCAGCCACTACTTTTCACTTTTTCTCCAGGATTTTTGGCTGCATAACTAATTTTTAGTATATCAGTATATCTCAAAATGTTTCTTTGAGCACAGTCTTTTTTGAAATATTCCTTTTTAATTTTCCTAGAATGGAGGCTCTGTGCAGACCTATCACAATGGCTGCTGCAAGACCTGTAAGTGAAGACAGCTATATTGTGTGCTAGTTCCATGTTGGTATGGCTTTGGGTTTGGACAGCTCTGTGCATTCTTAACCTATTTAAGGAGACATATGAAAACAAAATAGCATGCTGTCTCTGAATCATGTCATATGTGTCCAGTCCTTAACAAAAGTAATTGTCAAGCCTGGCTTTATATGGCTGCTAACATGGTGATATTAAAATTAAAATTTTTAACCTTTTCTTTCTGGTATATAACCAGTTTCCCCAAAATAATAGAGATATGGCTAAAACTGTTTTGAATATCTTTAGAAAACAAAGGTTATCCAATTTATTAATAGGATTTTTCTTTAGTTTGTTAATCCACATATAATTATAAGAAAATGGGAAAATATGAATATTTTTTTTAGGTTGGTCAATGCAAAAAAAAACACAGATGATAGTGGTTACTGATCTATGTTCTACGGAAATACGTTAAATACAATCATAAGAAGATTACATGAGAAAATTATATAAAACACTTATATAAAAAGGAATAATTGTACTTTTGAAACATTAGATAAAACATTAAATGTGAAAATGTATTATTTTTTTGAATACTGGAATTTCAGTAACTGTACTGTAAAACATATTGGCCAGCTCTAAAAGGTCATAAATTTTCACATTCAGGATAATGATAAATATTCCACTCAAAAAAATATATCAAGGATTATTTTCTGATAACCTGACTTCTCAAAGCCTCAGTTTAAATGAGAATTTAAATGTAAGCATGATTACTTTTCACAATGGTGGAATTTGGATATTTTATTAGAGATAGTAAAAGTCCATCTAACCCAGGATGGTTCTTTGGATTCCTGCTAAAGCTGGAATTTTCTACTTGAATTGGAAGAAACATGTTCTATAATGAGTTGTTGTTTTTTTTGTTCATAATACAATATTGCCAGCAAAAGAGTTACCTTCTCCTAGCCTTACTTGAAAATTCAATAAAGAAACCAGGATCAAATACACCTGAATAAGAAGCACAAACAAAGAAAAAGATAGCTGCATTTTGATAACTGCTAGCACTTCAAAAAATGTTTTTTTCAAACAAGTATCCTTTATATCTTTTACTTTTATTCTTTGGGAAATCCTTCATGTTGCAGCTCAACAAATCAGGGTGATATCTTGTCAATCAGTGGTATGTGTATCTAGTATCTTCTAGAATACCTGTCTCTAGTACTTTTTAAAACATGCTGAGAAGTCTCTATTGTGTAGCTCTCTTTGTATGTCTCTGGGATTCAAAAAGGCTGTACAAAGAGACTCTGAATTCCATAAATTCATACCCACATATTACAGAACTTACCCAACATCTAAAGCAGTGTTTTTCAACTTTAGCAATTTTAAGATGTGTGGACTTCAACTCCAAATTTCCCCAACCAGCTATACTGACTGAGGAATTCTGGGAGTTGAAATCCATGTATCTTAGAATTGCTAAGGTTAAGAAACATTGATTTAATGCCAAGATCAGGAGTCATTCTAAGGGATTGTGTGGAGGAAAAGAACAAAATAAACTCTTGCTGCAAAAAAGAGCTCTTATCTTTGGATCCTTCCTCTAATTCAGGGGTGTCAAACTGCTGGCCCATGCATCATCCTAAAACCGCGCCCACCCCATTGCCGGCAATGGAGAAAAAGCTTTGATACGTCATGTACTACACTGGCTCTGATGGAACACTTATGGAAAAAGATAGCTCATCAAGGAAATACCACAAATAATTCCTTTATCATCTTTCATATTTTGCTAAATGTTCTCTTGCACTCTGCATTGTCATTAAATGGTACTGCCCAGTGGTATAATGTCAGGGAGAAGAAGAAATCTGCAAACGCTGTATGTCTCTCCATTTTTTCCAGAATATTCTGGAACCTGCTACACACACACACACACACACACACACACAATAATTTGAAAGTATCTCTTTCTTCACATCACATCTTAAATCTAGAAATTCCTTTACCTAAAAAAAGTTGCTATTGTGAGTAGTACAATGACAAGGAAAATATTGGTAATTATGTCACTAAATTGATATTTGAAGGTTAATAACAAACGTCTCATGAAGACCATAACTATCTCTCTCCCCATCAATATTTTTATATAAATGAAGTAAATCATGTAAAAGCCAGCCCTTGGTGGGTAGAAGAATTTTTCTTTACTGTTTTCTAAAACAATTTTTACCTTAACCAAATATTTAGGCTTTAATTGTTATCTTCAGAACTGTTTCTTTAAAAAAGACAACATTAAATGCTGTTTTATATACTAATAGAGTTTTTTTAGAACAAACTAAAAGCATGTACTTTTAACGGTTAAGGAGTATAAGTGAGCAACAAGTACAGTTTAAAATTGGGTTTTAATGGTAATGAATAATCTTTATTTGAAAAGGTGAATGATTATATGCATGCTGAGTGAGTTCATATGTTTAATTCTTACCTTGCCAAATCATGTTCCAGGTTTCTTTTTTCACATGTAAATATAATGATCTTATTATCCACATGGATATTAAAACACAGGGAAATAATTAATTTAGAAAAATAAGAATACTTATTTCTTTTTATAAAAAAGAACAGCTTCCATAAAAAACATTAGCAGTTGGCAGTGTAAGAATTAATGTAATGCTATTTATGTAAAAATGTTTTTGCGTATTACAAGAAACTTATATTCCCAATAATTCTGCCAGGTTCTGGACGGGGTGTATTACCCTTTGCCATTAGCCCTGTAGTCTCTACTGATAGTATTAATTGTGAACCAGGTATTACTATTTTTAATAAATGTATTTTGTTTTTGTTTTTAAATGTTGATATACGTAGATATACTACATTAGATAGTGATCCAGAGAAGTGTTGATTGACTCTATAATTATAACAATATATGTATATATATTATTCCATGGTAAAACTAGTGCTATCTAAAGATAAGCTTTATGAATCTGATTTTATAAACATTTCTGTGGATATAATACAAGCATTAAACATGGCCAGAAAAGGAGCAAAAAATATAGTTCTAGTAGATGTGTGCAACACTCATTTTATGGAGATGTTAAATTTCTGCTGTTGTTTTCCCTCTATTGATTGAATTGTTCTCCAATGTTCAAAGTAGCTTACAATCAATTCATAAAATAATATAACATTTAGAAGCAAATCTTAACCAATATTGAATACATACATTATAATAGAATACATACGTTATAATACATCGGGGAAATCTACCCAAAGAAGATATTAGTAATAGCAGTCTAAAAGCTGCATCAAATAAGCCAATCTATCTTTCTAGAAATGGAGCTTGAAAATCAGAATGCCCTTCTTAATTTTCTACAGTATGATGGGATTATTTTACAAAAAGGACCCTGAGTGATGAATTATAACAATGAAGGAGACTATTAATTATACTTGTAATAATATTACAGCTGAATTGAAATTGAATTGAAGAAATAGGAAACTAGGGATAATAGGCAAGTTTTAATGTTGTGTTATGTTGTCTGTGCAATGAAACTGGAAAGCATTCTGCCTTTGCACATTATGCTTGCTATAATTTTGGATGCAGTCTAATTCAGATTGCAGAATATTTTCTGCAAATACTTTCTTCCCATTGGCTATGCTATTACTTAATAGTAGGTTTTTTTGATGACCATGTGTGATGTGTCACACAAAAAGACTGCATCTCTTGGAAATCCTCCAGCATTCAGAGATCTGATAGAAATTCTAAATTAGCTGCCCAAGGGAACCAGATAAATGAGATAGTGACAGAACTGCCAATACTAAGCACTCCATACTCTTAACTTTTATACACATTTTGATTTGTCTATAACCTTCTTAACACTTATTGAATATGCTTGTTCAACCTATTTTAAATCCAGTTGCTGTACAGCCTTCATGTCTAGGTGTTTAGGAAGGGAATAGGAAAATAACTTGAAGTATAAATGGATGTGCATAAACAACTATGAGATATTCTCCTATTACGAACAAAACAAAGCTTCACAAACTGATTATGGGTGGAGGATTAGACACCTCAGTGCATGTTCAGATAATGACACAAAGCAAAAGAGCTGTAACTAAAGATGTAGTTAAAATGTCTTGGTTATTATCTTCATATTTTATGCTTTATCAGGTAAAAGAGAGGAAAGGATTTGCCAGAAAATAATTGTTAGAACTACAGTAAGAAAAGAAGACTGCATAAGCCAAAGTCCTGTAAGTATAAATGCCTAATTTGGGAAATACGTCATATATCGGAGCACTTTTTTTTTCTTCCATTCAATCCTGTTTGAGTCTTGGAAACTGCCTGAACAAGTTCCTGCAGTTTTGTTGGCAAGGTTTTTCAGAAGTGGTTAAGATAAGATAAGATAAGATAAGATAAGATAAGATAAGATAAGATGATAAGATAACCTTTATTGTCATTTTTTTTACTTTGGGCACAACGGCACACATCAAAATGAAATTTAGTTTACCATTGTCTCTAGTCACTTTCTCTCAGCCTTAGAGCATATCAACTGCTAAAGCATGCTTGTAATTAGTGTGGTAAACATACATGCAAGTCCTGTTACTATTTTGACATCTGGAAAACCTTTCTTCCTAGTAATATCCTCCTACTCATACGAAGAATTTGCAGTTTAATTGCTTTTACCCTAACATTATTTAAATGCTGTCTTCATCCATTTGGAGACATCTCAAACCAGATGACTAGTGCAAAATAGAATTGCCTCTCCTAATTAGGCAATGACAAGTTCTCTAATTTGGATACCAAAGCCAACTGATAACCCAAGTAAGAATTGAGTTGAATTAATATTGAGGGGACTTGTTCTGCCAATAATCAAGTTGTTGTATTTACACCAGTGTAATCTCTAAGTTATCTCCAAAGGCAGGACTATGTGTGTCACAGTAGTTCAGCCTATTGGAGATCAGGGCCTGAGGTCGGCTCAATAGTAGTAACTCTGGCTCAAGGTGGCGCAGCAGTTAGAGTGCAGTACTGCAGGCCACTTTAGCTGACTGTGTTCAGCAGGTCAGCGGTTCAAATCTCACCGGCTCAAGGTTGACTCAGCCTTCCATCCTTCCGAGGTAGGTAAAATGAGGACCCAGATTGTTGGGGGCAATGTAAATATATATATATACATTGTTTACTGGTGTACACCGCTTAGAGAGTGCTCGCACTTAAAGCGGTATATAAGTCTCATAAAATAAATAAATAAATAAATAAATAAATAAATAAATAGTAATAACTGTTTGGAGTCTTGGAATCCTAATGGGCAATCAATTAAATATGAGCCAGCAGTGTGCTGCAGTTGCCAAAAAAGCCAACACAGTGGTAGGCTGCATTAACAGAGGGACAGAATCAAGATCATCTGAAGTGTTATTACCACTTTATAATGCTTTGGTAAGATCACACTTGAAATATTGTCTCCAGTTTTGGTCCCCATGATGTAAAAAAGATGTTGAGACTCTAGAAAGAGTGCAGAAAAGACCAACAAAGATGATCAGGGGACTGGAGGCTAAAACATAAAAGGAACGGTTGCTGGAATTGGGTATGTCTAGTTTAATGAAAATAAGGACTATGGATGACATGATAGCAATGTTCCAATATCTCAGGGGCTGCCACAAAGAAGAGGAAGTCAAGCTATTCTCCAGATCACCTGAAGGCAGGACAAGAAGCAATGAATGGAAACTAATCAAAGAGAGAAACAAGCTAGAACTAAGGAGAAATTTCCTGACAGAACAATTAATCAGTGGAACAATTTGCTTCCAGAAGTTGTGAATATTCCAACACTGGAAGTTTTTAAGAAGAGAGTGGACAACCATTTGTTTAAAATGGTATAGGATTTCCTGCCTGAGCAGGGGGTTGGACTGGAAGACCTCCAAAGTCCCTTCCAACTACAATTCTTTTCTGTTATTCAGTATCTCTTGGATGGTGATGCAGAAACCAGGAGTCATCAACATGTTATCAACATTACACCCAGATCAGTGGGTGATATCTTCCATAGCTTTAATCTAAATGTTAAATAGCAAGGGAAGAAGTCTGGGCTTTGGAGGACTCATCTTAGGGGTTCCATGGGTTCAAATTCATCTGCCCCAAACATCATAGACTAGAACCACCTACTCAAGTAAGAGCATAATCATCATTAAATAGTATCTTCCCTACTTCAAATCCTTATGGATACCCCTGAATGGTTTAATGGTAGATAATACTGGATACCACTAAGAGTCTAATAGTACCAAGAGGGACACCATTTTCCATAAGGAGGGATATGCATGTACAAGAATAAGTATTTGTTTGAGCATATTACCTCATCTAACATGTTCATGAATATGGGTATGCAGGAATATTAAGCTTGCTGCCTTAAACTGGAGATGTCCTGTTATTTATTGCTTTTTTTCCTTCCATGTCAGGCATGGATGCATTTAGGCAGCACACTGATACATATATTAAAGTAATATTTGCATGTGTTTCATAATGGTGCACAAATGTTCTTGTTTTCAGAACTAAATGGCAAAGCTATCATAAAAAGGAAATTGGCAGAGGAAGTAAATTGGCTGATAGTGAATAGACCATGAGCCTATTGCAGGAGACCTGAACACACAAAAGATTCAGCAAGATGATGAATTTCCAGATTTTTAAAATAGATTAATGATTGAAGCTTTCAATAAATTAAATGATAAAATTTGAAACTATCAATGATATCCTTCTCCTTCCTGTCTCCAACAGATAAGTGTGGCTTCTTGTGATGGGAAATGCCCCTCTGCTACAATTTTTAATGTCAACATTGATAGCCATTTAAGGTTCTGCAAATGCTGCTGTGAAAATGGAGTTCAGACTCTAACAGTGCCACTTTACTGCTCTGGAAATGGCACTGAAATTCTGTATGTCATGCAGGAACCTACGGACTGTTCATGCCAGTGGAATTAAAAATTTTATGATTGCATACAAACCAAGATTTTGTTCTTTCCTATGATCAGATTAATATTTTCTCAATTTAAATATGGATATGTAAAAAGGGGGCATATTAATTTTTGACACATATGGAAGACTTAATTCACTTTACAGTAATATACTTCTATTCAGACATGTGAAATATTTATGTAATTCACCATCATCAGCCATTCAATTGTGTCCGACCCTCAGCCACTCTATGGATCAGCATTCTTTATATCTCTCTATCTTGCATCACCTCATTTAGATGTGCCATGGTCATCCCAGAGTCATTCTTTATGGTGTTGAGCCAACAGATACTAAGATGGCCCCTTCTCATTTTTCTGCTGATCACTCCCAGCATGACAGATTTTTCAAGTGAGTCAGTTTGCATGACATGACCAAAGTATGACAACCTCTGTTTGGAGATCTTGACTTCAAGTGATATTTTAGGTGAGGTTGTTTGTTATTTTTGCAGTCCATAGTATGTGTAATAGTTGCCTCCAGCACCATAGTTCAAAGGCGTCCACCCTTCTCCTATCTGCCAAGTTTTGCAGTCATAAATAGCAATCAGAAAAATTATTGTATTAACTAATCTGCATTGGTTGTGAGGGTGATCTCTTTACTCTTCCAGATGTTATTCATGCCAGACATTGCAGTTCTTCTAAGTGCTATACGCCTTCTGATCTCATCTATGTAATTAGCCAACATTAACTACCTAACACGTGCCTAGTTCTGGGGTTATATAAAAACTTTGCAGTTTATCAGCTTCCACTGACATCATTAATTGTTCCTCAAGAATCCCATTCTGCATTGTAATATTTGTGATGTTTTATTAAAATTTTGAAATCCATAACCTATTTCTTATTTTTCTGGTTCTAGCCTTTTCTAGCGTACTTTTTATTACTATGACTGCATGTGGTAATTTCTTATAAAGCATTTTGACATTATTTTATATTTACAAGAATTTATGCAAAAGTAAATGATAGTTTCTATACTTTGCCTGGATTAAAGTGTAATTTGAAATGCTGTATGCACTCCTTAAGAGGAAAATGCATGAAAAAGCTGCAAGTTTTTTTAGAAAGCACATGTTGTGTAGAAGGTTAACTATAATAGACTAATGTATATTTTGTGCAATTGTTCATGGTATTTCCAATATCTCTTTTAAACACTTGATTATGTGTTACAATATTTGTAATACATAAAATACTTATATAAATAAATATTTTTTAAAAGGAATTGAGTGTTATTGTATATTGTTGCCATTGGAAACTCTTTTAATAACTAAGACTTTTATTGGAAAGGTAAAAGGAACATTCATGAAAAACCCTTTAGAAAGTCATTTTATATACAGCCTTTTAACAAATCATGTCAATGCTGCTCACATTGGATGTTCTTGCTTTGACAACATATGGAGATGCAGCCTTTTTCTTTCTTATGCTTTACTCTTAGAATTAGATATACTGGGGGAGGAGGAGGAATGTGATGGGAGTTAGTTAGACATAACAATATTGTAATTGTGTGTGAACTCAGGGCTTTTGAAATAAGAGATGATAAGAAATGGGTTGGAATAAAGGAGGGAAAGCCTACATTTCAAACTAATTGGAGAATGTGATTTATGACTGTTAATTAGAGGACGGAATTGTGTTTGATACTATGTGCTAAGAGGAGGGGAATCCAGATTTTGGCTTTGCTTATGTATGTGCCGATGTTATGCTGATCGAATAAAGATTCTTTAAGGTAAACAATGCCTCAAAGTTCTTTGAAGAGTTTCATCTGTTGGAACCATGACAAATCATTTGTTAAGTTCTAGGGCAGCGGTTCTCAACCTATGGGTCGCGACCCCATTTGGGGTCGAACGACCATTTCACGCGGGTCGCCAAACAAGGCTGTCCATCATTTTTCTCCCTTTTCTTTAGCTGTGCTACTCCCTCTTATTCTATTGGCTTTTGAAAGCCAATAGAATAGACTCTATTCAAGAGACTCTATTCTATTGGTGTTCAAAAGCCAATAGAATTTATTGGCTTTCGAAAGCCAATAGAATAGACTCTCCTTCAATCTTCCTTCCTTCCTTCCTTCCATCTCCATACCTTCCCCTTCAATCTCTCTCTCCTTCCTTCCCCTTCAATTTCCTTCCTTCTCCATCTCCTTCCTGCGTCCTTGGCAGCGCCTCCCCCCTTCAATCTCTTCCTTCTCCATCTCCTTCCTTTCCCCTTCAATCTTCCTTCCTTCCTTCCATCTCCAACTCCATTCCTTCCCCTTCAATCTCCCTCTCCTTCCTTCCTTCCTTCCTTCCTTCCTTCCTTCCTTCCTTCCTTCCTTCCTTCCTTCCTTCCTTCCTTCCTTCCTTCCTTCCCCCCTCAGTCTCCTTCCTTCTCCATTGCCTTCCTTTCCCCTTCAATCTTCCTTCCTTCCTTCCATCTTCATCCCTTCCCCTTCAATCTCTCTCTCCTTCCTTCCTTCCTTCCCCTTCAATCTCCTTCCTTCTCCATCTCCTTCCTTTCCCCTTCAGTCTTCCTTCCTTCCTTCCTTCCCCTTCAATCTCTCTCTTCCTTCCTTCCCTTTCAATCTCCTTCCTTCTCCATCTCCTTCCTTTCCCCTTCAATCTTCCTTCCTTCCTTCCTTCCCCCTTCAATCTCCTTCGTTCTCCATCTCCTTCCTTTCCCCTTCAATCTTCCTTCCTTCCTTCCATCTCCATCTCCATCCCTTCCCCTTCATAAACTGCTTATAAACTGCTTTGATTCTTCCATTTATTGTTTAAAGTGGTTTAATACTTCCATTTATTTCCTTTTATTCCCTTAAAACTAGTTTGAATCTTCTATTTGTTGCCATTTATTCTCTTAAAACTGATTTAATTGTTTTGTTTATTTCTGATCCACGAAACCATGCCATTTCTCACTCTTCTTATTCCTTTCTGCTTTGCTTTTTATTCCCTCTCTTTCATATACTTTCTTTCATCTTCAGTGAAAGAAAATCCCTCCAGGTCCCCACTATAATCTATGGTTCAAATGAAAGCAGCCTGTTCTTATTTATTATTTACTAACTTTCTGTAAATTTTGGTCCCACATTTAAAGGCAGGATAAACATGCATTAAAATACATGCAGCGGCGGCACAGCATTAATGGTGGCCAGGGCTGTTTTTCTTGCCACGCCCACTTGGTGGCCACACCCACTTGGTGGCCACACCCACTCGGCCACGCCCCTGGCACCCGGTGATGTATAAGTGGTTGGGGGTCACCACAACATGGGGAACTGTATTATGGGGTCGCAGCATTAGAAATGTTGAGAACCACTGTTCTAGGAGAAGATTACAAGTTACATGAAAGTATGAATAATGAAGTTCCCAGATGTGCTCCAATTATATAATAAAGGGAAAATGGAAGAGATAAGGTAGAGAGGTGATTAATGCTTAATCCCATTGCTCATTTTCATTTTCCAAATCAGTAGAGATACCAAGCATTTGTTTATTTATACTTCAGAGGAAAATGAAAGGCAAATTAAACATATGTGCCTTCCTTCATCTGCTTTTCTCTTTAAAATGGTCCTCCTAAATAAAATTTTATTAGAAAAACTACATATGTATTAAAATGTAGTTTGGTACCTCACTTTATTTTGTGATCAATTACTAGAAACAGATTATGAAATGAAAATATTTTCACTTAGGGGAGTATCCATTTAATTAAAATGAAATATGCTGTTCCAAACAAAGATGTTTACTCAGCCTGTAAAAGGGGCTTTTCTGCTGATCATGTAAAACTGCCTTTAATATTGATGAAAGCTTCATGCAAAGCTGAGAGCTGCAAATATAGTGCATTTTTGCTCTAGAGAGGTTGTCACTAGATGACAAGCAAATATATGTCAGAGGTGTATTTTAGCTCCACAATAGCCGAGAGTGAATAGGGAAAATGTTTATCTTTCTTTAAACAAGTGGTGTAATTGGAAACAGGGTATGGGAAAATGCACTTGAAGATTTTAAACAGCAGTCCTAAAACAAACATTTCAAACTTAGTAACATTTAAGTAGCTTTGGACAAGATTTCATTATTAAAAATGACTGAATAATTATCTAATTCACTTAGGCTTGAAGGCAAAATACCTAGTTTATATACACAATAAAATGTAATTTCCTACCCTACAAACACAATTTTCTATATGAAGGTGCCATACAACAAATAGATAAATAAGGTGTAATCAACCTATTTTAAAATCTGTTAGGATTATTTATAAAATAGATGACAATATATATTTACTTTGATTTATATTCATTTTGAATAAGTCTGTTTAATCCCCATTTCCCTAAAAAAAAAACCCAACAAAACTCTTTTATGATTCTGTTATTCATACTGTTTTAAAATATTTAAAATATTTTTCCAATACTATTGTGTAGTAGTTTAATCTAGGAATCCTTTTCTTAACTGAATGCTGACCCATTTCTGTGATCTTTAGCTGACTTTACTTGCAAAACCCATACATTTAACTCCAAGCCTTTAACAAATTTCAAAATCCTCAAAATTATCCAATTTGACCCCAATTACTCTAGGGTCCCTTTGAAGATAACCAATTGAATGCAATTTTCCTAACTATGGTATCCTAAGTCCACTAGCCATCTACGTGGCTCTTGATCCTTTAAATATTAGTTGTACAGAGTTTTCAGCAAGTAAGACAGTAAAATGAATGAGGATAATATTCATTGCTATTACTGAAATGCCATATGAATCTGATGCATGAAATAAAAAAAAGTTGTGTTTTCCCAAGAAAGTTCTGCACTTCCGATGGTGGGGATGACTGTATCAATGCCACCAAAAACGTTCCTGCTGGAAGGCAGGCGGACCATCTGTCACCGGTGGAGGAATCCACTCCTCCCTCAGACCTCTTTCGTTCAGTCAGGTCAGCCCTCCCGTTTACTTCGAGGCGTCCCTCAGTCCACTCAGCGGGATGGTGAGGTGGTTAAAAGGAGCTGGACTGGGGGAAGTAAAGGCAGCAGGGAAAACGGCGCGTCACTCCTGCAGGGGATCCGGAGGTGCTCGCAGGCTGTCTCCCTCTTTCCTCGGCGAGCAGCAGGTGGGTTTTGCGCGCGAGAGGCGGCCGAGAACCTACTGGCGCTGGGCGAGGTTTGTCGGAAGGAAATTGCCGCGCTCTTTTGGAAACACTTGGTGAGCCAAACCAAGTGACAGAGCGCGAACGCTTGATTCGGCAGCAAGGTCTTCCGCAGGTGGGCAGAGCAAGCTCTTTTGGAGGCGCTTGGCTTCTCACGCTGTACAGAAGAGGAATGAGGTCTTGTACAAACCGTATTTTGGCTATGCTGAACCGTATTTTCTTCCCCATGCGACCTGCCTGGCTGATCTTCGCTTCAGACGTTCAGTCTAATTTCCTTTGAATAACTGAGAACCTCGTGGCTTTGAAAAGAGGATGGTTTCTGGGTTAAGAATTATAGCGATCGAGGTTGGGCACATTTGGTGAATAATTCTGGCAAAAAGGAATCCATGAACTCTATGTTCCATCATGTGCATAGAAACATCTAATGATGAAATAGGTGTCATCTGTCTTGTCTGCTGTCTGATTATTCAGATTAATGTGTGTTTTTGTATTACCCATCTAGGTAACTTTGGTTGATTTCTGAAAAACTGAATGAAGTCAGAAATGATAGGCAATCACCAAGAAACTTCAGGGCTATAGACTAACTGGGAAAAGCCCTCCTGGATGAAGGCAATGGCAATCTTGTTTGCATTATTGTTCCATCAACATAAAATTAACAGCCCTCAAATTCAGCTTGTAGGAAACTCACCTAATCAAGACAGGGTGGTAAGGGAAATCCAAAGTTCAAGACTGCTTTCCCTCATAGAAACTCACTGGGTGATTTTGAGACCCAGAAAAGGATCAAGGCACCTAAAGAAGCCATTTATTCAAGGTTTCTGGAAAAAAGACCCAAAACAGATTGTCTAAATGTTGTTTCCAACAAACTTGACTTTCTTGCCATGGGTTTTCTTCAGGCAGCTTAATCCCTTCTAGACATAGTTGTCACTCACTGTGGGTTCACAGTAGTAAGAGGTTGCTGCTCCTTGCAGGCTAGAACTCCCAAATGAACTATCCCTTGTCACTCAGCTCATTCCTTCTTCACATAGTAATAACCACATTTTAGGATTCAGTAGCTGATGTGTTGATTACAATTAGGAATAACAGAGTCTATAGAACTAAAAGAATGGCATCCAATTCAGGCTTTAGATGATGGCACCTCCTAGA